CATGATTTTGGACATAGGCCAGACTTCATCAACAGTTTGAAGCAATGCAGTCAGGAGTTTTGTATTTTGTACATATTGTCAGCTGTCACAAACGTCACATAATTGCCTGATCACAATTATTTATCCTGAGCAGCGGTTATTTTCCACAGTTGTTAGCTTCTAAAGTGCTTCTATGTTTCATTAATTGCGTTGAGGCATATGCATGTAAATAAAAGAATCAGAAAAACACATTTATTGAGACTCTAGAGAGCAGTGTTGTGCAAAGTTTGTTTATTTGAGCTTTATGTCTGTTGCCAGTTGGGAACTACTAGTAGTCTAAGTATTGATGTATTGAAGCCATCAGCCAATTTACCCACTTTATGCTTGTAATTTAATAGCTGCATACAATGAACAATGACAGTTAAACTGTTCATCGCAATTATTTATAATTAATAATTCGTAATTCATTCATTACGTAACTAAAATGTGATTGCGTATCATGCAGCCATACTAATACCAACCATGTTGGTATTGAGCCTTGACTTATACGTCGTCAAATGGCTCAGGACGTTGGGAGTGAAATCAGTGGCCTATGTGGGCGTCTGTGACGGTTTGGCTGAGGAGGGTCAATGCTATGGATCCCAAGAGGAAAAGAGAAAAAGCTCCTGAGCCACACAGACACAGAATGATCCCTAGAGGGAGAGGGAGAGAGAGAGAGAGAGAGAGAGAGAGAGAGATAGAGAGAGAGAGAAAATGAGTATGATAGCTTCAAAGCAGAACTCCCACACACTGCAGAGGATTAACCTCCACTGAAGGAAGAGAGGGTGACATTTTTATTTTGTTGGAAGGAGAAGGATAGAGAAAAAAGAATGTTCATGTAAGGAAGAGCCTAAGGAAAAGTGTAATGATGCAACAGAGTGACATGTATATCTGATGAATATATATTCAGGGTACAAATGCCAGTTTAAAGGTGGATAACTGAACTGAGCTTGTTGAGATTGCAGCATTTTGATGCATGATGCTGCATAGAGTTACTGAAAGTGCTGTGAACATCTTTTGTAGGACAGCTCATCTCATGATTACTCAATTAAACTCGATAAGGGCTGTCACGATTTGTTGAATAAACTTACTAGCAATGATAAGTGCAGTCATGATTGGTTGAAAAAACTCGCTAGAAACAATAGGATAAGGGCTGTCATGATTGGTTGATGAAACTTACTAGCAACGATACGAAAGGACTGTCACGACTGGTTGAATAAACTCGCTAGCAATAATAAGATACGGGCTGTCATGATTGCTCAATTAAACTCGCCAGCACGATAAGATAAAGTCTGTTACAATTGGTTGAATAAACTCACTAGCAACCATAAGATAAGGGCTGTCACAAATGATTGATTAAACTTGCTAGCAATGATACAAAAGGACTGTCATGACTGTTTGAATAAACTCGCTACCAATGATAAGATAAGGGCTGTCACGATTGGTTAAATAAACTTACTAGCAATGATAAGGGCTGTCAAGATTGGTTGAATAAACTTACTAGCAATGATAAGGGCTGTCACGATTGGTTGAATAAACTTACTAGCAATGGTAAGGGTAGTCATGATTGTTTGAATAAACTCACTAGCAACTATACGATAAGGGCTGTCATGATTGGTTGATTAAACTCGCTAGCAACCATAGGAGAAGGGCTGTCATGATTGGTTGATTAAACTCGTTAGCATTGATACGATAAGGGCTGTCACAATTACTTGATTACTCTATTAGTGTACATGTGAATAGATAAATAAATAGAAATGGTTTCCAAATGCATAAATACAATAAAATATTAATTGCGCTAATGTATTTTTCTAGTTTGACCAGTTACTGAAAATGTTATTGTCATAGGACAACAAAACAGTAGGATAAGGGCTGTCGTGATGGCGAAAATGACTGAAACCATGCTTTTTTAAGGCAGTGCTTTGCCTAATGTGTTCAGTAATTAAATGTAGGTGTAGGTTGTTAAGTCAGTGCAGGCTCACTTGGTGCAGAGTGTGTGATAGTGTGTGTTCATGTGTGTATCTGGGTGTGTCTGAAAGCTTTCTTATGATACAGCACTGCAGCAACAGCACACTCCCCCACCCTTGATCTGTATGTGTGTGTGTCTGTGTGTGGATGCTGACTGGGCACAGACTGACCACACCTTTCATCAGCTACGTGCAGAATTGTATGAAATGTGAAACCATGCTAAAACTCCTGGATGCTTTTCATACAGCAATAAAATGCTGAAAATGTGTTTGAGGTTTGAACTTTAGGCTTTGAGCTCTGAATGCTTCATACAAAACACTCACGCTGAGCTTGCAGTTGTCAGCAGAGCGGCACGCCTTTTACAGTGTGTGTGGGATGTTCATACGGACTGCTGCAGTCCTGTTTTTCATGCCTGTCATATTCACACACCCATACAGATTCTCAGTGATAAACAGAGCATGCATCACCCACAAGAACAGTAACTGATGCTGTTACGATGTTAATCCTACTGATGTTGCTGCTGTTCTGACATTAATTCTACTGATTCTAGTACCATTATAAGATTAAATCTGCTAATTTTGATGCTGTCATGAAATGCACTACTGATTCACTTTATTTTATAGAATGCAGTACTATTTTTTATAAATATCTGTAATATTTATTGCTATTATCATTTTGCTATACATTCTATATATATATATATACCCCAGTCCCAGTAGCTTATTGTCATCAGAAACTGTGCATAGAGAATACTGTCTTGTTAGGGTTCTTCTCCATCTGCATCCTCCCTGTTGAAACAGTTGTAGCTGTCAGAAATAGTGACAGTGTAAGTGATAAAGGACATGCCAAGACAGCAAAATCTGTCCAGTCTGATTTATCCGGCAATCTATTGTGTCGTCTCTTCCTAATGAAATGTCAGCATCTTTGTCCAAACCTGTGCTAAATTCTAGCTGCCAGGACCGTGTTTAACTGCATTTTAGCCTTGGTGTTGAAAAGGGTCTTACTAGAGAAAGGATTCTTTGTAAACAGGTTTTGGTAACAGGGTAACAGACATTGTGGGATGTAAATGAACAAATATTGGCACACAAAAAAGTAACTGTTGACAGAACTCAAAACTTTGGGGTGGCATGATGCCTTTACATTTTTGAGTTTTTTCAACAGCTGCTTAAATTTGTCTGTTCATGCAACATTATTCTGTCCATGAACCTAAAAATATTTTAAAAGGAGAAAGCTAGCCTTACACATTACGTTTATGGCCGTTGGCACATGCACTTATTCAGAGTGATTACAGCCAAACAATGATACAGAGGTAATAAATGTAGCATTAGGAGTTTTGGGGCTCTTATAAGGGCTCTTCATTTCTCCCTGAGCAGAGAATCAAACCCAAGGCCACTGGCTGGAGGGCAACAGTGGTACTCACTGCACCATACCAACTGCAATATAAAGACAATAATTTATTTATTATCTCTTGTTGAGACATGGTGTGTGTTCAGTAGAAATGACAATGGTAAAATCACCCTTCTGGCCTTTAGATTGGGTTGTATAGCATAGTGGATAACACATCGATCCTTCACCCAGCAGACTACAATTTGTCACAGGCAAATTCCTCGGTTCAGGTATGGATTTTTTGTGGAAAACGCTCCACGGTCTGAATGCAGCTACTTTCACACTGAATGCATAAAAGTCACAGATGCACTAGCAAACACGTTATTTCCAATGGATAAATAATGGGCAGATGTAGTTATTTTGCAGCACAGAGCTCAGGAGTCAGTACACTGCGGCAGGCTTGCAGGGTCATGCAAAGTTCAGATGTTTTCAACTTTTGAGCAGTGTGCTTCGGCCAAGTCAGACTAGCCTTTTGTCCATGTTGGAGGGGACTGACAGACACATCAACTGCTCTCTGGAAGATTTATGAGGGAGCCTGAAAACTAGCCACCTTCCATTGCCGCTCGGTTAAACAGTGCAGGCAGAAGTTCGATAATGCTACTATTTGCAGCCGGATGTGACAGTGCAGTGACTGTGAGAAAGGTCTGTAAGCATCCCTGGGAAAGACTCCTAATGCTGCATTTATTATCTCTGTTACAATAAACTGGAAGTCATTCTGGATAAGAGTGTCCGCCAAATACAGTTCCATTTAAAAAAAAAAGAATATAATTGGAATGTTGGAAAAACAAACTGATTTAAGTTGGTTAATCAAATAAATCTTAGTAAGAAAAACTACAATAGCAGCTGTTGAGAAAACTCAAATGTCTTAATGCTTAATCATGTTAACTTGATAATGAGTTCTTCTAACAGTTTTTGTCTATAGTGCAGTTTAAATAAGCTAATAATAAGTATAATAAGTATTATCTTAATCATTACAGAGCATAAATCTAAATTAAACTGTACAAAAAAGAACCAGAATTAAATACTTTTAAATATTCTGTGCATAAATAAATGAACTTTATAAATTGATATCAGGCCAGAAAAAGGTACTATAGAGTGCAGTGGAATTCCCTCTACGACGTCCCAGAGTGTTCCGCTGTCAGCCCTTCCCTCCTCATCACTGACATTTCTCCGTTCCTCTGCTTCCATTGCTTCTCTTATGTAAGCCTGCCACCTCTCTGGATATGGGCTGCCCACTTTATTATTAAATGTCAGCTAGCATAGTTAACAAGCACCGGAGGGGCTATGCTACAAAGCCTGGTGCGGTCCCTGTGCACTGGGACAGGCAAGTTGCTTTAGTACTTTCCAGCCAATGAGATTGAATTGGAGGAGGAACTTGAAGAAAGGTCATAGTTTAATGTAAAGAAGATCCATGATAATATCAGCTGTGAATATATCTGTTCATCTTTGTATAATTTCTGCATCTTTTTTTTGTTACGTTGACAGTCACTTGTGTGCTACACACTACACATGACCTGTTATAGAGGTAATGAAGTGCATTCTTCCAGCCTTATTTGTATTTGGCTCATGGACAGAAGACGGGTTTGCCTTATGTCTCTCTAAATGGGAATTTTTTCTGTGTTTTACAGACTGACACCAACGCCAGTTATCTCCGAGCAGCCCGGGCTGGAAACCTAGAGAAAGCCCTTGATTACCTGAAGTCTGGAGTCGACATCAACATCTGCAACCAGGTCAGCTATGCTCTCCTTACAGACTTAGTCTAGTGGCGTAGTCAGGGGTTATAATGGTATTCCAGTGGTGGGTAAGCCCTGTGTTTTCATGGATGTCAACAGTGTGATATCATACAAATGAGTTTAAAACTAATAGTTTACCTGTTTCTGCCTTGAAGGCTTAATAAAATCTAATTATTTATTTGTTCTGTCATCGAAATTGTGTCAAAATTCCTTCTGATTCTCATGATATGGGATGCCTGACCACTTTGAGCTGATTTTTTTTACCACTCATGACACCCAGGGTGCTCCTTGGATAGTTCAGAGCTTGTTTGGCCAGTTGAGTATCGCTATGAACCTCACACTGCGCGTCAAAACACATCTGATAAAACTAAAATTCTGCTCTGGTCTGAAATTCACTCAGCTATTAACATTTGGTTTATTGTTTGTGGATGACTTTAGAATAAAAATAGGGCAAGTTATAATTGTATATTGTATTATTTTTGTGTAATATAATATGAGTTTGAAAGGGTTACATGCTTGGACGCGATGTGACATTATTGGTTTATCACTGTACACAACTAGCACTTGACTGTAGTGTTTGAATAGTGCTACAGTATTCAACCAGAAGAAAAAGAGACTGTAAACTGTTTTATAGCAGTTACTGAGTAATTTGTAGTAGTTACTGATTAATTAAAGTTTTTTGTAAGATAAATAACTGAAAAATACGCCTGATGTGTGAAACCTATTTGAAACACTTTAAATAGTCCTGCAAACAGCTCACTGTCCTCTTGTATGCGATTAAAAGTACTTGGAACTTAAAACATATTCTCACATTTCTCGTCTCTGTCTCTTTCTCTCTCTGCATGCAGAATGGCCTGAACGCTCTTCATCTCGCCTCCAAAGAGGGCCATGTGGAGGTAGTGGCACAGCTTATTAAACTGGGGGCCACTGTCGATGCAGCAACAAAGGTAGGCTCAACTTCACAACCTTATTGACTCAGGTGGCTGCTACCCTAAATCCTGTAGCCAGTGATAATCACATTCCCCATATATTACAGTGAGAGTCTTTATTATTGGAGAGCAGTATATTGAGTTTATCTGGCATTACAGGCATGGCTTTTTGATGACTCAGCAGATTTCCTAACTCAAGCTGCTTCCACATGAGTTATGGATGATTATTAGAAAATCTAGAGTCTATTAATAGGAGCTAGTATGTGTGAGTGAAACTTGACACTCGGCAGTGGGAGTTGTTTCCCACCAAAACGATTTCCAACATAATGATTTTACTCAAACCTCATCTTGCTGCCAGGAGGGCAGCCAGAGTTCTCTGTGCAATATATGCTTATTTGTCATTAAGCAATATCTTCTTGTCTGTAAAATGAACCTTTTGAATGCAGTACTTTGATTACAATATGTAAAAAAAAAATAGGAAAAACTGGTATGTGTAAGTGTAGGTATTGCTTTAGTTGTACTATCAATAAAACAGGTGGTGAATGGATGGATGGATGGATGGATGGATGGATGGATGGTAACTTAACCATTCTGCTAAACAGCCAATTAAAAAAACACACACATGCACAGCTCAAAAACTACTCCATCCTGAACTTCAAGCCTGTACAAGGCTGTAATGCTCACTGTTTCTCAGTCTTTCAGTGCATAAAACATGTGCTTGCAAGTCTGATGTCAGTAGCTGTTGCTTTTGTATCTTTGTATTATGTATTATATTATTTGGTTAAAGGAGAGGTTAGTTAGATGTCTGTTTGCACAAAAGAAATGCCAGTCCATCACAGGGCTCAGTGTACATTGTAGGAAAATGAAAAGAAAATAGAGATAGGTTAGAGTAAAGTTTGACATGAGATATTAAATTCACTGAATTCACAAGATACAGGAGACTTGACCCCAGATTTACAAAAGACATAGTAATTTCTGCTGTTTTTTTCTTGTTTCTTTGTTTTTATATATCAAACATACATTCGAGTATTATTTCAGATAAGGTAATGGACAGAACTTAAAAGACACTTCACTCGAGAAACCAGGCTACTGTTAACATAGCATAGCATACATAGCAACATATTATATCTCTTGGCATAGCTCTGTATTCTGGATGGGCTTTCGTAGCTTCCACCCGGACTTTAAACTCATCACAGAGTGTTTATGATTGTTATTTATGTAATAGGAGCTGAAACTGTGCAAGCGGAAGCAGTGCGTTTTTGGCAGGGGTCAGGATGGACAGGAATGAAAACACTGGGCAGCCTCTCCTGGTTGACAGGGCGCTAGCAGGTGTGGAGTGCGTTAGTCGTTTACTGATAGCCTCTAATGTCTTTCTGCCCACAGAAAGGAAACACTGCTCTGCACATAGCTTCCCTGGCCGGCCAGGCAGAGGTGGTCAAAGAGCTGGTGAACAATGCGGCCAATGTCAACGCACAGTCTCAGGTAAGACTAGCATCTGCTGTTTGAAACAAGCTGGAGGCCTGTCGCTGTTTCCTGTAGACACTCATTTCTTCAATTAGGAAGTGCAGTTGCTGTAAATGTGTTTCCTTTAATCCTTGGTGGTTGGGGGGGTCACATTGTATTTTTGAGGACCTTTTTTTCTGTTCTTTTTAATAAGAGAGACACGCTTTAAAGACCTTTTTTTGCACACTGGGCACCATGCGTTTCATGCAGCCTGCCAGGCTGCCTCAAAGGGGCCTAGTAGTATAAGCAATAAGCAGCTTAATTTTGCCAGCAGCCCCACGCTTGCTGGTCAAAGGAATAGTTTGGCGAAAATCTAATTTATGTGATTTATCTCTTACTCTAGATGCAGCCAATGAGACGAGACAGGTTTGATATCGGATGTGTGTCTGTTTAGTTTACAATGGGAGATGATAGGCTAATGTTGCTAACGAGCAATGGACAAATTCGTCTCCATAAACACATGCCCGAAAACGTCTCCAAACCCACTCAGATCCAGATCCTCATTTGTTTCACACAGACAAATGTATTTGGTTTAGAGCACAGTGTGACCTACTTTAGTCTATAAAAACAAAAATAAACTTCTCTGCATAGATGAATGGTGAGTAACTGGAACCACTTTTACCTCAGCACAATATGCGGATAAAGGTGTGGCTATGCAAATGTACCTTAGCAGAGAGGCTAAGCTGTATCCGGAAAATCAATGTCTGATTACGATTTTGATGACCATGTTTTAATATGTTAGAACTCCTGTGAGGAAACGTCTCAGCTAGATTCTGCACCCACTAGTGACATACATACAACACCTCATACGACAAGAATTGAGTTTACTTGTTGAAAGTGGCAGGTGATGCCAAGGTGTAGTGTCTCTGCTGTGTGGAATGGGAGCTACTGATACCAGAGCTTATACAAATTGACACTGAAGACTGTAAAATATATATTTTTTTTATTTCTACAATCAAACTACATAAAAAGCAACATTTTTGGTGCATGTTAGCCGCATATGGCATGACATTAGCTAAATGAGCATAAAAATGGACTGCGAAGGTGGAGATAAAGTAAACAAAGCATACCTCAAATTCACTTCTCAACTGTAGAAAATTGACTTCGACAGCTGTAGATTTTACAATATCCCTTTGACCTTCATTGTAAATATGAGGTAATAAATGCTTTTGCATTTGAAGATATTGTAGTTCATTGCCAAAAGCTACAGTTCGTATGTTTCTGCATCAGTATATCACCACTGATAGTGAATCCTCTAACAGAACCTCTATGTTCTGTTTACTGTTTATACAAAATGAAGAAAATTCATTGTTTCATTGTCAACTTTATTGTTCTTTGAGATGCAACTTCCAGCTAACTGTCTTACATTTTGTTTTTTCTGCCATCACTGTCCGATTTGTGCTTAACTAAACTACTGGTATGTTATATGCAGCTAACATGCTTGATATGCAGTTTGATTGTAGAAATAAATAAATACATTTTTGAAGTCTTAGCTGTGCTACAAACAGGACACTTGGGTAGTGACGTTCTGATGTACAACGCCCCTTGCGGTCCAATTTGAAGACAAAGTAGTACTTCTACGGATGATAATGTAATTACAATTTTGGCTTAAATGTTTAATGCTGTTTTACAAATTATCTTATTAAACTCATTTCTGTAGTTTTTCAATAGATTTTTGAAGCAAACAAATTAAGTTTTTGGGCATGTATTAACAGAGATGAGACTGGTGACAGTCCAAGTCTGGAGTTTGTTAGCAACGTTAGCCTAGCATCTCTCGTTGTCAACTAAAGAAGTACACATCAGATATCAGACATGTCTTGGCTGATCGTCTGCATCTGGAATAACTGATAAATCATTATAATTAGATTTTTTGCCAAACTATTCCTTTAATAGTAGATGTCTATCTGTGAGTATGAGAGCTTTTTGCTTATACATATTGAACCGATAGCTAGCTAGCACTGCTGATTGATGCTTATATCACTATTGTTACTTAGCAACAGGATGATCGGTTGCCAGTAAGAAAACTCAAAATAAACCTCCAAGAAAATCAAGAGTGCACAGTTTGCCAGTTAGCCTTTACAAGAAACGCAGCACAGTTATTGGTGACAATTTTTAAAAAATGTTATAATGTTATATTAATTATTTCTCAATCATAGCTCATTAAAAACAAGTGGAAAAACTCTTTCAAAAGTGTGGATTCTAGGGGAATACAGCCTGCCTACTTTTTTTAAATCATGCAAGATAATTTTTGTGGGGTAGTACAATGTTTGTCAAAAAAGTGTATAGGTTATATGAGTAATTATACAGAGTGATTCAAAAAGATGTCGGGTGTCACTGTACTCAGCTCTTTCAGTGCGATTTCAGAGATCGCCCAGTGTTGTTGGGAGTGGTGGCACATAAACAGAATTGTTAATGTACCCCCACAAAAAAAGTTGCACAGCATGAAATCTGGTGATGCTGGTGACCTTTTTCTTGGAACTGTTGGTACCAGCGACGAATGCTCTGAGCTGTTGGAGGTTCACTTCCTTACTGACTGTCAGAAACTTTATGACCCCCTCTTTCAATTGGTATGCGATTGGTTCCTAGGTGCCTCACGGTTTTAAAAATATGGCACTTTGAAATCAAATGAATCTTTTTGAATCACCCTGTGTTTTCCATTAAATTTCCCACACCAAACAAGCATATTACATTGTTATTACAAGCTAAAACAGAGGGCGACTGTGTGAGTGAAAAAACTGCACACAACCTGAGCTGTGTTAAAAGGTTTCTGCACACAGAAGGGCTTACTGAAGCCTAACAGGTAACATCATTACCTTTTATCAGATATCAGCATTAGATATCATGAGAATGTACTTACTTGCTGTACTTTGTTTACCTAGTTTTATACATGAGAGCTGCAACTTTCATGTGGTGCTAGTAGAGATGGCATTTCAGCGTCAGTGGCTATCAGTATCGGGCTGACATCAGCAGGAAGTGCTCTATACTATAGGTTTCCATATCAGTATCATAAGGGAAAAAGTGGATTAGTGTCATCTCTAGGTGTTAGTATTGTATTTGCGCTTTAGCTTCTCGCTGTTGCCCCCATCCCACTGGTCAGACCAAATTTGCACCCCTGTTGCAGCTCTACGAAATTGTATTTGTGTTTGAAAGTAGAAAAAGTGATAATTAATTGTGATTTGAATTTGTAAAAAGTTATTGTTATAAAAAACTATATGTTTTTTGTTATTACAACAAGCAGAACAAAGCAGAAGACTCAAACTTGTTGACATAGAAATTACATTCAATTTGATTTTGTGGCCTGAACTTCATCAATCATTAATCACACACGTGAACCACAAATGCACGCAAAACTATTGTAAAATGACTCTGTGTAGCTAATTAAGTAATTTGTGGGATGATATTGCAAGCCAAACAATCAACTAACACAGACACACTGATGTTTACACGCAGACACACACTCTTGCACAGCAGCTCAGTCAGCAGCCTCCATTCTGGATTGAATCTTATCACTAGCTGCATAGCTACGTGGTTAGCATTGTGAATGAGCACTGGTTGTGTGTGTGTGTGTGTGTGTAAAGAAGCTTGACGTGGTTGCGCTGACGGCTCATCCTTAAATGACCCTCAGCATAGCTGTAGAGCCAGCAGTGGTCCACTGAGGGCCTGTTACCCCTCCAAAGTGTCCTCCAACTTAAAGGAAAAAGAACTGCAATCATGAATTCTTACAGAAACACATAATGTACGTGTGTGTGTGTGTGCATGTGGGTAAGTGGGTGGGTGCAGTGCTGTTTCTGAAATTTTCGGGCCCTAAGGAACATCCTACTTGGGGGCTCTCTACCCAGCCCAATCAAACTTTTTATATGGAAAAGATTTAATATAATTTATTTTAAAGAAGTTGTTTTTTTTTCAAGGAAAGTGGAAAATGGAATATTTGAACAACTAAATTGTCTGTGTAAATAAATAAAATTAAATAAGAAAATGCAGCACTGTGCAAAGTCAGAGACCATCCTTCATTCTCACTAAGTTATTTGTTTTTCAGTGTCAGAAAAAATAAAGATATTTGACATGCAATTACAAAAATGCCTGAACAACTACATATATAATATATAATAATAATATATAATATTTTTCAGTATTTAGTGTGTACACTCTTTATCTTTATTGCAGCTTCCATTTTTTTTCAAAACACTTGCTTCCAGTTTTTCAGAGAAATCTGCAGCAATATTTTTCCACACCTCCAAAGTTCAGTCTTAGAAGTTGGTTTAATTTTCTGCTTCTCACAATCTGAGCAATCCTAGACACATTCAGTGATGTTGAGGTCTAGACTCTGGGATGGTCAGTCTACTGATTAGCAGACTTTCTACTTGCCTGCTTCCTTTTCTCAGTATGACTTCTTGACAGCTACACATCCTTTCAGACTCATATTGTTGAGTTGTCTTCTCACTATGGAAGGATGGACAGAAACACCTCTAGATTTTTTTTAGATCTGGAGCAAGAATGGAGCTTGATTTTCTCCTCTCTCAGAGATGAAAGTTTTTAGTGCTGTTTATCTGATGAGGACAGTTTTGGTTTCTACCAGGTCTTTCACAGTTGTTAAGAATCACAGGTTCTCTGCAACTTTTTTTTGACAACTGCTATTTTTTACTTAGTTTCTTATCATTTTACTTATATTTATTTGAGTTTTCCCCTCCTTAAACAAGTGGATAAGTTTATAACTAATTTCTTCAGAAATATCTCTAGAAAAACGAATAACGTTTACTTTGACTGGAAATTAGAAAAGTAAGTCTAGTCTGACTTTTGCACAGTACTATGGAAGATACTTTTAAATGAAACATAATAAAAATGATAACAGCAATATGATAATTTCATACTTGTGAGGACTTTTGTGGCTCAGGGGCCCTGAGCAATTGCTTATACCGTTTATAGCAGGAAGCAGCCCCGTGTGGGTGGGTGGGAGCATACAATCCCTTTGACGCACTGAGCACAGGGTGATGAAACAGCAGCTCCCTTCACCGACACACACAGTTCTGCATCAGTGAGAGGTGACATGATTATCTAAGGAGAGGAGAACTCAAGCTTTTCACAAGTGCAGCTCAACCCAGCAGCAGAAATAGCAGCACTCCTCTATTGAAGGGTCATCAAGTTCATGAGAAGGTTGTTGTATACCCTCTAAAGGCCAGAGCACGACAACACTGCAAACACCAGCAAACTCAAACATTCGATTGTGTGCCAGGTCTGTGTGTGACTGCTGAAGTCTCTAAAAACTTCACTCCCTTTCTCACTATTTTAAAATATACTCCCCATTTCACTGTTCTAAATTATTGTCTCCTTTTCTCATTGTTCTAGAATTTTCTCTGCATCACACTGTTCCAGAATGTTCTTGCTTGTTTATACTGTTCTACAGTGTGCTCTCTCATTTATACTGTGCTAAAATGTTATTCCTTAATAACATTGTTCAGTAATGGTTTCCCCTATTTATACTAATCCAGAATATTCTATCCATACACACTAATCTAGATTGTTCTCTCTCATTCATACTGTTCTACAGTGGCCTCCCCATTCTAATGGGAGAATGATCAAATGATCTCTCCCATTCACACTGTTATAGAAAGTTCTCCCTTATTTACACTTTTCTATAATGTTCTTTCCCATTTACACTGTTCTAGAATGTTCTACCCATTAACAATAATCTAGATTGTCGTCCTCCTTTCAAACTGTTTTAGAGTGTTTTACTCATTCACATGAATCTACATTGTCGTTTTCCATTCACACTGTTTTAGAATGTTCTCTGCCATCATACCTTTTTAGAATGTTCACCCATTCACACTAATCTAGATTGTCGTCCCCTATTCACACGGTTTTAGAAAGTTCTGCCTTTTCACACTAATTTAGATTGTTGTCCCCATTCATACTGTTTTAAAATGTTTTACCCATTTAACTATGTTGGCGCCCCCCATTCACACTGTTCTAGAATATTCTTGCTCATTTTCACTGTCCTACAATGTTCTCTTCCATTTTTATAATGCTTTAGAATGTTCTCCTCCTTATACACTGTTCTGCATACTTCACATGTTCCAGTGATTGGATTACAGTTCTTTAGGAAATTATTTGTACATTATGAAAGTAATTATCTGAAATTAATTAAATATTGAAAAACTTCAGTAAATAATAACAGGCTAAATCTGATATTGTGACAGTTTAATGACTCTACCCATAACACATTTTAGACAATATTCAGAGGTTCTTTCTTTACTTTACATTTGTTTATAATTTTTTTCTTTATTCTTTATTTTGCAGGACAGTTGCATAAAAACAACAAAAAAGTGTTATTCACTCATGAATGCTACTGAATCACAGACGTGATGTTAATAACACATTCGCTTTCATATTCTATAGTTTAATACACTGAACACACAAACAGTACTGGGGAAAATACTTGCTTAGTAGTGGAATATATATACAATATAAAAACACACCACACTAACATATGGTGCAGTGTGTATTTGTGTGTGCATGTTTAAGTATGAAAATGGATACAAATCACTTAGAACATTATTGTGTGATTTCACAGAATGGCTTCACACCGCTCTACATGGCTGCCCAGGAGAATCACCTGGATGTGGTACGCTTCCTTCTGGACAACGGCTCCAGCCAGAGCATCGCCACTGAGGTACGCACATCTGCGCATCCATCTACACACCCACTCGTCTACTGAATAAAGGACAACACCAGCCTGCCTCAAGCTGTCCATTACTTTAAACTGTAGCTTACAGCTCCACATGAACCAGTCACATCCATCTCATCTCATAGTAGTAATGGCACTGCCAGTGACATAGTAGCCGAACCAATGACTGTTCTTTTTGTTGTTGTACCGCCTGTCCAATATAAGACACAACTTTGAAGCAATAGTTGGGTGAAAAAGTCTCCCTCATCCCAAATGTAGTCTGTGCAAAGAAAATTCTACTCTGTATTCATATGGAGAGATGTGGACACATTTGTCATGGCGAGTTCTGAACGCAAATGATAAATGATGTTAAAATTTGGAGATGTTGCTATGGGAATATGAGAAGATAACCAAAAGCCCAGTCTACTTGTTTAACTATGTAAAACATCCATGTGACATTTTACTCTGTGCTAGGCTGTGCTACTTTGTCACACAATAAAAAAAAACACAATAGCACTTAACAGCTCAACACAACTTAAGGCAGTGTCCTTATGGGAAAGTCTGTCCACTCAGTAGCCATCTTGGTTACGCTGGTGGGCATTTATTTCCGGACATACAAGACCAGATTCCGTTCTCTTTGAATTGGGAGAGACCTAAAAACTTGAAGCTGAAAGCCAGATTTCCATTTCAAAAACATACAACTCCATTTACAAAAAAGTTGGGATGCTGTGCAAAATGTAAATAAAAACAAAATGCAGTGATGTGCAAATCATTTCATTTTATTGATTTTGAAAAATATATGCCCATTTTGAATTTGATGCCAACAGCACATTCCAAAAAAGTCTAGTAAAATTATGTAATGCTAAAAAAACACCTGGTGGTTAATTGGCAACAGGTCATTAACATGATTGGGTATAAGACAGCATCCCAGAGAGTCTTTCAGAAGTAACGATGAGGAGGGGTTCACCACTCTGTGAAAGACTACACAAGCAAATAGTGCAGCAATTCAAGAATAATGTTTCTCAATGTAGAATAGCAAAGAACTTTTGCTTTTCATCATCTACAGTATGTAATAACATTAAACGCTTCAGAGAGTCTGGAGAAATCTCTGTATGCAAGGGACAAGGCCAAAAAACAATATTGGCTGGATGTGATCTTTGGGCCCTCAGGCGGCAGTGCATTAAAAACAGACACGATTCTGCAGTGGAAATCACTGCATGGGCACGGGAACACTTCTGAAAACCACTGTCTATAAAAACTGTTCATCTCTGCATCCACAAATGCAAGTTAAAAGTCTAAAACGAAAGAAGAAACCATATATAAACAGGATCCAGAAATGCTGTCACCTTCTCTGAGCCTGAGCTCATTTAAAATGCACTGAGGGGAAGAGCGAAAAGTGTCCTGTGGTCCGACAAATTAAAATTTTAAATTCTTTTTGGAAATCATGGACATTGTGTCCTCTGTGCTGAAGACCAGTCAGCTTGTTATCAGTGCACAGTAGAAAAGCCAGTATTCATGATGGTATAGGAGTGCACATGGCATGGGTGACATGCACATCTGTGAAGGCACCATTAATGCTGAACGGTATATCCATGTTTTAACAACACATGCTGCCATCCAGACAACGTCTTTTTCAGGGAAGGGCTTTCTTATTTCAGCAAGACAATGCCAAACCACATTCTGCATGTATTACAACAGCATTGCTCCATATTAAAAAAGTCTGGGTGCTAAACTAACCTGCCTGCAGTCCGAACCTTCAGCCACTGATAACATTTGGCACATTATGAAATGAAAAATGCGACCCTGAACTGTAGAGAAGCTAAAATCCTGTATCAAACAAGAATGGGAAAACATTTCACTTTCAAGACTACAGCAACTGGTCTTTTCAGCATTTCCCGCTTGTGGCGTAACCAGTAAGCCGATTGGCTCTTTTTATTGCAGAGTAGGACTTTCATCATAAGAAGATGCTGTGTTGAGCATTACAAGCTTTCCCATTCATTTTCCAACCAGTGCCCAGTTCCCTCCTTTATAACATTTCTGTTTAAGACTTATGATTGACTGTAAGCGTTCATTCTTGTTAGCTACATTAGCCCCGTAGTTCCAGTGGAAGAATAAAGGAGCAAATTTCAGACCCCAAATGTATTTCAGGGGTGCTGTCTGTCCTGGGCTTCCAGGGCTGAAGCACCAAATATTATTTAACCAGGAAACATTGGCAGCCAGGTTACTTACTTTTTTAAGTCTAAATCAGTTTTTACAGCCTACATCAAAAATAACTCTTTTGAGACCAAGTTAATGTTGTTTGTGAAAAAACCTACCGAATATACAACATACAGAAAATATTGTAGGGCTCTCCAGACTCATAACAATGTTTATCAGGACACAAAATGACCAAGATGGAATGCTTTGTTTTAGTGTGAACTTTTATATTTAAAATATTGTTTCTTGTATAGGTTTAGGCAAGGAGAGTTTCACTGAATGACTTTTTAGCATTTAAAATATGTAAATACTACAGATAAAACATTTGTGTGCGAGCAGGAGATTTGAGAGATGTGTAGAAGAGATTAACGTTGAGAGAGGAAATGTGCAGAGAATTTTAATAATGTAATTATATGGATAATAATGTAATTATATGGTAATCTGTTTTTGACCCACATTTTTCATTTTCTGCTACAAATAGTACTTTCACTCTTCTTTTGCTTTTTTATTATTTTGTTATCAGTATTGCTGAATCGATGCACATTTTGTTGATGTGTAAAACCTCACATTAAATAAAAAAGTATCAACTACACACAGGTTGATTTATAAAAAATTCTGGAGTGATGATATCCCAAACAACTCTTGAACTGGGCTGATCCGTGGATCTTTCCATGCCCAGCAAACACCCCTGATGTGTTGCCTGATCAACTACATTTAGGGTAAGGGGAAACACTTTAGAAGTTCTTGCCGAACCATCGCTCTAAAAGCCTTTGACCTTGGAGTCATTTCCAGGCAAGAGTAAAGAAGGTTACAGGATGAGTTATGCACTGAGGGTATTGGATGTCCTGCTGTGTGAGTAGCTGTGTCACAGAAGGTTGAGAGGGCTTCAGGAGTCCTTGAGAACACATTAAGCATTTCTGCACAGCCATCGACAACACGTCTGCACACTCAGACGCAACACATTATGCATACGGAGGAACATTTCCCTGTTTGAAGTCTTGCATTAATAATTCATGCGTTCTGGAGCGAGGGACTTGATCAAAATTCAGGGACGTGGTAAAACAAAAAAGATCAAAAGATATATATTTTTTTTATCTCTGAATTCTGATTAGTGCCTGTAGATGGAGGAGTTGTTTACATAACGCCTTTTTTTGAGTGAATAATTATACTGATGGAAAAAAGGCCTTAATGATTCATGGATGCTGAAAGAAGGATTCTCTTTTGCATGACTCACTGCATGACTGAAGAAAATACTATCATGCAATAATGATGTTACTACACAGATGAGCACTCCCTAAGGATGTGCACGCGGGCGTTTTGCAAATGACACATGGTCATCATGACAGGGAAATCTAGTAAGAAGTAAATATCTATATAATAATAAACATTTTCCAAATGAACAAATATTCAGTAAATATTTTAAATAAAAACACGTTATGGTACCCAAAAATATAATTTCATTTGTCATGACAACGTAAAGGTCCGCATACAGCCTCGAAGCCATTTTTAGCTGACCTGTCGCTCAGTTAGCCTAGTTAGGTATAGCAACATGAAGTGATAATTGAGTGTGAAATGCTAACTTTAGCAGTATAGGCTTATAAAGAGGCTGTGGCTGCATAAAATGTATGTATGACCGCATGCTACTGTAGTAAATAGTATGCTATACGGCCAAAAGAATGTGAATGTTTAGTTCAGGTATTTCCACCCCAGCCATTGCTAACAGGTGTATAACATTAAGCACATAGCTATGCAGTCTCCATAGATAAACATTGGCAGTAGAATGAATCGTACTAAACGCTCAGTGACTATAAATGTGGCACTCTAATAAGACGCCACTTTTGCTACAATTCATTTCGGGAAATTTCTTCCGTGCTAGATCTGCCTTGGTCAGCTGTAGGTGCTATCATTGTGAAATGGAAGCATCTAGGAGCAACAACAGCTCAACCACTGTCAGCTGCATCACTCACTACAGAGTTCCAAACTGCCTATGAAAGTAACATCAGCTCATGAACTGTGTGACAGGAGCTTCTTGAAGTTAGTTTCCATGGCCGAGCAGCTGCATACAGGCCTAAGATCACTATGTGCAATGCCAATCTCTGGATTGATGAATCACACTTCACTTTGTGGTACTATATATGGTCGTGACCACAAATAAAGCCATTTCATATAGCATTCAAAATGTCTTGTGTAGTTTTGATAAAGGTAAAATATCGGTAAACCTGAAAAAATATGTTTTTGTGGACTATTTTGCCTCACAACGCTCTGCATGTACCTCTCTGCCATAAATCTATGTAAAAAAATTGTAAAAACAATTAAGACCAAAACCCCATCTGAAAACTATTTTAAAACAATTTTTCAGACATCAGGTAGTGTATTTATAATCATTTCATGTAAGAACTCTATGAGGTTGCTTTTAGAGGCATTAAACTCCTCTTACGACGTCTGGTTCCTATCCCCCCCATTGTGAACTATTCTGACTCGGGAGGTTTCTCTAGACCAGAGCATTTTGCACCAAAGCACTCTGAATGACTTTCATTCAAATCAGTGAAATCCTTTAAAAATGTATTTAATTTGGCAGTAAGCATTTATTTGCTCATAAAAATTTGATTTTATGTGTGCCATGTGTTCATTCAGACCAAGCCTCCCCTCAAGAAAACCCGGTAGTAATTGTAGTTATCATTCAATAGCTGTTTGTTTCAGTTTGCCTCTGTTTATCAGTGATGCTTGTCAGAAATTGCTTCATGGTATCAGTAATCTCTATTGTCGATACGGATACTGTATTTAAAACTGCAATATACAAGATTTTTTTGTCAAACTGGAAACAAGTAGCGTTTTTGAGTCGGAAGAAAAAAATACGCAAAAATATGGTGTATGTGTGCTGCTGGGAGTTGGTCTGTAAGCCTAAAATGATAATTAAAAAGTCACAGGTTGGGTCACATTTGGCTGGAGTTTTTCAGACCACGTCATACATCTTTATATATTAATATCACATGCACAGGCTCAAGAAGGTCCAGCTCCATGTTTATGTCTCAATTGCAAAATCAACATTATACTGATGAAGACATGATGGCAATAGTAGATAATTCACATACATCCTTGGAAGACATGTCCTTCACCAAGTTTTGACTGAGTTCTTTTTGAATGCACTTTCAGCGCGCTTGCAATCATCAGATTCTTCCGGAAGAGCAGGCTGAAGCACAGCCCACATTATGGAATGCTCTTCCGCTTATTGCATGCAATTACACATTTTCCCCAGAGAAATCCAAATTCCCAAATCTGTCAGGGTACTATTGTCAATGATAGCGAGGTGTCCCTTCAAAAATGTAATATTCTGCAAATGCAAGTTTTGATTTATAAATGTGATTATGTGGTGCCACCCCTCGCTCCTCTTTTGCCACTCCCTCAGATTGAATTAACATAAAAAGATTCGGATAAAAGATTATAGACAGTCAGTTAATGATAAAAGGCCTGCTGTTGCCCACCACAATGTGAATTCATTACTATGTAAAAAGACATTGTGCAGACTACTCACACAAAAGGTTGTGTGCAGACACAAAAGGTTCCTGCCAGTGTGTAACATGTCTTTATCTGCTTATGTGTGTGTAGGACGGCTTCACCCCACTGGCTGTGGCGCTACAGCAGGGTCATGACCAGGTGGTCTCTCTGCTCCTGGAGAACGACACTAAAGGGAAAGTGCGGCTCCCTGCGCTTCATATTGCTGCCCGCAAAGACGACACCAAGGCCGCTGCGCTTCTCCTGCAGAACGACCACAACGCTGATGTCGAGTCAAAGGTAAAAAAACCTAACCTGACACATGCTCACACACATGACTTCATAGAACTTGATGGTGCTGGGTGGACATTCTCCATCAAATATGAGTCATTTGGTAATGGCAGTTTTCCCTTTAAATGAAATATTCATGGTAATAATAAATATAGAGGCTCAAGCAAGAACTGTATGATGGTGCTTTACATGAGCAGATCACCATTTATTACAAATGCACTCTTCACTATTACAGGGTGCTTACTTCTGATACTGGTGATCTACCACCCTGGAGAGTTCAGAGCCAGCACACCTGGCTTTAATGTTCAGATGCTCCTGAAGACCTTCATTACCTGGATCAGGGGTAATAGATTAGGATTGAAGCTAAACTCTGCAGAGTGGTAGATCACCAGGACCAGGATTTGGCCCTCTTGCTCTGCTGTAATATTGTAATATTAACCCATGTTATAGACCCAGATATTCTCTCCTAAGGATGAGTAGAGGAAGCATCTTCAGTTCTTCGGTGCTTTTAAGTGTAAATTCTCTTCATGCACCATCCAGTTGAGCGCTCTTGGTGTTTTGTGGTGTGCTGTGTTTTTTTTGTTTGTTTGGGTGTTTTTTTGTGACTTTCCCTCACCATGTAGCCTCCCAACAGCTTTTTTTGATGCCACCATTGTGACTGTGAAACACTAACCGTCCCATTCTCTCCCCTCTCGGCCGGTGGGTGTGCACTGCCATAGATGATGGTGAATAGAACGACAGAGGTATATATGTGCGCAATGACTCTGCGCCCTTCTCCCACTTGCACTTGGCTGCCCCCTGCTGCTGCTACTGCTGCTGCTGCTGCTCCTGCTGCTACATAACCCCCTTCCCCCTCTGTGTGCTTCACTTTCCCTCATTGGTTTGGCTGATCACTCGTGTTCAGTAGCACTGACGCTTGTGGCACTGCAGGGCGAAGGAAAGGGGAGCATGGAGAGGAAGCACACTGGCTGAGGAGGTCTGCAGGCCTGGAGGTTTTAGGCTGCGTACACAAGGACATATCATTCTCTGTCAAAAACACCACTGATTTCAATGCAAACAATGCATTGACGGATACCAGCACCAGTCCGTCACTCTGCAAAACAGAGCTGAATATTTGACGGATTCTGACATACCCTTGTATAAACCTATAGGAGATGGTGCTTCAGTCAGTCATGTCGAATTGGAGAAATCACTGCTGTCAACTTCCATGCCTAGCTGTACACTCCAGCTCTAAGAAATAGTAGGACTGGTTTAGTTTTAATTCAGACGTCTTTTTTTGCTTCATTAAATGAAAAAGAACAGCCACTGCCAGCAGTTTTCACTTATGAGCCTTCATTTTAGAATGAGTTTCCTGCTCATATCGATCTCCACCTACAATATACCAGCAATGTTTGGCTGCCTGTGGTCAAATTACATGTTTTGCGAAAATAAGTACACATGCTTTGCAGAGAACACACATCTGCAATTACTGTTTATTTATGAAATTCAATATATTGGGGGAAAAAAACAAAACATACAGTGTGGCCTGTGCAAAAGTTACAGCACATTTTTTAGTTTGTTTCATTTTTTCCCTCAGCAAATAAACAGAAATTGTTGACTAAAATTTGGAGAAAATTAAAAGATTTAAATCAACAAAACAAATGGGGTATTCAAACTTGTATACACAAATGTATATTTTAGAGACCAAAAAAACTTCCCTACACATTCTTATTTAAAATCATCATTATTTAGTGCTTGATTGATGGATTTCTAAAGGACTATTAAAGCTGGATTGCCTTTAGCAGAGGAGCTTGTGTAATGTAAGTATGAGAATTGACTGAATACACAGAGCATAAAGCATCTGTGTAATTTCCCTCAAATCACCACAGATAGCTCAGATTGAAATATAATATCCCAGATGTACACGTCATCATTAAGCTCTCAGTCAAACCAGACTTTCCTCTTACTATTTCGTTCAGGATGAAGCAAACCTCATGGGTGGTCCTGATGTGATAGGACTTTATTGGAAACATTGTTCAGTGAACAGCCAGCTATATAGTTTCCAAAGCTTCCAAGGTTTACAAAGATATCCCAAATGTAAGATTTTCCAATTCAAGTGAATTGACATTTCCACCAGGAAAACTGTAGTTGGTCTGGCTGCAGCTTTACACAGCAGGACCCACACTTGATTACAATAACAACACAGCTGCCTGGCCATGCGTATTAGCAGCTTTCATACTTTGTTACTGTGAGGTCATTTGGAACAGTTACTGATTACTATTAGTGAAGGAGATGTAATTCACTGTCAGAATGCCAGGCAAGACCTCCCCTGCTAACACTCATTCAGCTCAACTAGGATTTTGTATAGACAAAGAGGAAAGTAGTCCTTTCTCATTTACAGTGGTTATTTTAAACAATCAAACTGATCTTTCAAAATTCATAAAATGTTTTCTGCTGTACATATGAAAAGAAAAACAGTTTTTTATAGCTGTTATCTAATGTGAGTTTCTCTCTGGACAGTCAAGGTGATCAGAATTGGTTGTCAGATTTATTAGTATGTTCTCCAAAAAAGGTGTGTGGCTACAGACCTCCTCTAGAGGGCCTGGCTCCTCTCCGATGCTGATTTCAGATTAAGCAGTTGAACCGCTCAGCTGCAGAACACTGAGCTTTCACTCCACAGGCTCGTACATCACACTTTTCCCCTGCAGGGGCCAGCTCAAAGAACTACTGGTATCTACAGAGTCAACTCCCTCTCTCTCTCTCTCACTCTCTCTCTCTCTTTTTCCAAACGTCTGCTTTTTCTGACTTCCACAGTCAGCATGGTTCCCAGGCTTGTTCCAACTGCACCTCGTTTCTGGCCCTAATATACATGCATGACTCACCAGAGACTAAAATGTTAAAGGAATATTCTGAAAATATTTTTCCAGTTTTCAGAGGTTTCTTTTACTCATTTATTTCTTTTGTGAAATGTGTATGTGTGATTCTAAATCTAGGGTTCATGAACGTTTGTTTGTAAGTGAACACATCCTCTTAACTTAAATATGGCATTTTTCTGATAATTTTAGTGCACAGTTCAACATATGATGCAGAGTTTACCATATTGGAAAGTAAATATAAGACATAACGTATACAAAGTGCCATTACAGGCAATATTTTAATGTTTTTTAATAAATAAACAGGAATTGTGCATTAAAATGTACTTATTTTTACTTAAAACAACTGACCAGGGATACCCAAATCTTTGCATATGAGTGTATCACTGTGAGTATCGCCTACCAAGCTAACAGGTAAACAATTTTATGCTAAATAGCTTCAGCAAATGCATTAAAATGTTAAGCTGTTTTACAACTTGCAGTTGTACCATTTTGAAGCTGGAACTGGCTGCAGTTCTGTGGATGTTGTGTGCAGTTCCATGGAAGTCTGTGGTAGATGTGGAGGAATTTTTTCTCCATATCTTACTTCAGAAGCATGCATTCCAAAAAAAAAAACAATGAAAATTGTGTTTATAAACTCTAGAAACTGGAAAAAATGTGTTTCTTGTCAAAACAAAACATTGGAATGTTCCTTTGATTGCTGACACCCAACTGTTCACTAACACCTCTGGAAAATCCTCACAGGCAAGCTAGACTCACAGACTGGACTTACTTTACTGCTTGCTGCTTTTGAGATTATACCGTATTTAACGTCCGTGGATTTTCACTGTTAAGTGAAGTATTGTTAATGATGCTTTACGTTAACCTTACTTTAACCTTAGCTTTACTTTAACCTTAGCGATTACTAGGAGTGGGCAATTTTGACGATCATTAAATTTAATGCTGTTGTAATACTATTCCAGTCATATTGTGAATATTGTTAGTACTTGAAGAACACTGACCAACTACGTGTTTCATTGCATGTTGTGTTGTCATGCTGTAGTCAGTGTCATGCTTATAATACGGCTCTGGGTTTAAGCTGGATTTCTCTATGAGAAAAATGGATGGGATTAACTATCATGCTCCATGGTACATAAAAAGGTTCCAAAACTGATATCTTTTGTCATACATAGATTTTTCTACTAAATGTCTCTGGATCCTCTGAATTATTAGCTCATTATAGGAACATTGCTACATTCGTGCTAACAGTGAGGTATCACTCCTGAACACTGAAATGGTGTTGCATGAAAGTAAGTCTACTATTAAACATCAGCACTATTATATAGACTGCTCTACCAAATTCAGTTTGAATTTGTAAATAACACAGTTGTTACAAAAATGCTGTTCCACATTTTCATGTCGCTGCCAAAACACGAAGGCTACAATTACGCAGCAGGTAAAAGTGGCCTAAATCCAATCTTTTTCTTTATATGTGATACAGATGTGTCATCTTTGTGGCAGAGTGAACAGCAAAAAACACATTGAATCTGACATTTTCGATATGTCCGAAATGTGTTTTCATCTCTGATTTGGAACCAAATCAGTAGAATGATCCGTATAATAACACCAGTTTTGTACTACTGCCCAATCAACTTAAGTGCCACACTTCACAGAGCTTGCTGGATTGTTTTGGGTAGCAAAATTTATGTTCAACAATATTGTAATTCAAAAGATCTAGTGACATTCAGGTTTAAACATATCAAGCTTAGAACGATTTTTTGTACCACAGAGCGTGATAGCAGCAATTTTTGAAAATCTCATTCATTTTGGCCATAGAGAAATCCAGCTTAGACCCGGAGTTTATGATATGAGCGTGATGTCAATTACAGAATGGCGCACGACTTCATTCAGTTCATTCAGCTTATCAAAATTCAGAACAACTATTGTGATGCATATCGTGATGTAATGTGTTTGGAATCGCCCTTCCCTAGTGATTACTAAAACAAAATGGATTCATGGACATTCAGATACTATGACACGGTTAGATTTAGTTAGTGTTACACTTTAATTAGCTGTATTCTTGGCATGTAAGTAGTATTTATTAGGTGCAGTGCATTGTACATATATGCATGTTTGCACAGCAGTCTCCAGATGCACCCCAGACTCCTTGACAGCTTTGTGTCTGTCTGTCAGAAACTGTCTGAAGGCTGATGGTGAAGCTCGAGGTTTAAAGCCTGAGGAGCACACGTCCTTCAATACTAACCCCAAGCCTTTGAGCCTAGTATTGTTTTCAGTAGGTCTGAAAGCTACTGGGCTAATGGTGAAGCATAAAGAAAAGAACTGCAGTTTTTTGACTGCTTGGATGGCATGGAAGGTATTTTTGAAGGACGTGCGTCTCTTCCCTGCTCAGTCGAGGCGGTATGTGTATCTGGTTGGCTGGTTGTTCTGTGCCTGGCCCTGTCTTGTGCTCCGATGTGCTGGGGTTTGGGGAGGTTGTAGGTGACTCTCGGGTGCCCCCTCAGATGCCACTGACCTCTGTGCTCTCCCTCTGACCCCGCCAGAGCGGCTTCACCCCGCTGCACATCGCTGCGCACTATGGCAACATCAATGTGGCTACGCTGCTCCTCAACCGTGGAGCTGCTGTGGACTTCAAAGCCAGGGTAAGTCCCTGAACCTAACTGTGGGCTGTATGGACAAAAAGTCGTATCAGTTTCGGGTTTTTTTTAGGATAAAAGTGGCTGGGATGTTTCTTCACTTAAAGCTATTTTTAACAACCAAAGTAAATCAGAAATATTTTTATTGTGCAAAACAGTAAAAACAAAACTAAACAATACATAGATAAACCTATGTCAATATTGCTTTCTAACAGTAGCCTCGCGGGCACAACAGTGTTTTTTCATGTCTGAATTTCTACAAGGCTGAAGTTTGCATCTTATTTGCCAGCTTTATGTTCAGATTTTCCATTCCTCCTTAAATGAAGCAGTTACATTCTCCATTTACATAAGAATCCATCTTCAGCTTCGTCGAATTTCTCAAAAAAACTGGCGCAAACAAACAACACTGTCAGTGCCTAAACGTCTATCCACCTGAAGGAGCTGACAGAGACGAATCAGGTACTTTGCCAGCCAATGTTTGAGGGCTAAGTTAATTTTTGCTAATGTTAGCTTTCATAATTTGCTTGCTAAGATCAAATATAATTAATGTTATATTTTTATTTTTGTCCTTCGTATATCCTTCCCTGTTTCTTTAGTCTCATCCACATGTGAAAAGCCTGGGATATGACCATATGCTATGTGCTCTAACTGGATAAAAACACATTTAGCATCCCCTGCTCTTAGTTTTGTTCCATAATGCAAAATGACAAAAACAAAACAAAAATACTTTTCCCCAGGCAGTCCATTTTGTCTCCAACCGAAACCACTTGAACTTGTATCATGTTGAGCCTAAGATATCCTCTGTGCAAGGCTGCAAGTCATGTTGCATAGCCTGAAATAATAGAAATAATAATTTAAAAGTCAGAGATGTCGCATTGGGTTACCCATGAGGGTCCAGAAGGATCCTGCATAATGTTTAGGTCTCAAATGCAAAATCAGTAATGTACTTACGAAGATTTGACAACAATAGTACATAATTCAGTTACATCCTCGGAAGACACGTCCAAGTTCTGACCTGAGTAAACTTGATTATTGGGCAAACCATGACTTTAAGGGGGGAACGGTGGATGATGCAGGCGCACATTAGGGTTTAAGACGGTACTTGAGGACGTGGGCCCACATGAGACAGCGATACTGCTTACAGGGAAACATGAAAGTGGAAACTTAAACAAAAAGGCTCAGGAGGTAATGCTGAGCCATGTCTCTCTGCAGCTGCTGATGGCAGTCTATGCATACATACACAGAGCTAAAGCCCCCCGGCTTTGACTAGAGGAAATATGAGCTCATAGGTTTGAATGGAATCTGAAGCTTGAGGTGTGGACATAGTCTGAGGCCATGTTTAGACTGCAGGAGGGAGTGTGAGTGTGTATGTGTGTGTAATGGGGGGGTGGGGGGTATGTGTCCTGGAAATTGGATTAAAAGATCTGGACAAGATTGTATGATGTACTGACTTCAATGAAAACATGGCTGTATACAGTACTGGCTAAAGTCTGAATTATACTTCTGTGTCTGTGATTGTGTGAACATGTGTCAGCGTTGTGCGCAGATGTTTACATGGGTCTCTGTCGATGTACTTGGACATAATGTGAATGTGTGCACTAGGGGGCAATGCTCAAACCTGCATGTTTTTGTACAGCTGATCCCCAAACTACTTCATCTGATTTTGCGCTAGTTCTGGCAGGGCCAGTCTATAGGGAGCCTTGCCACTTTGTATTTCTCCCATTATACCAGAAAAGTGATTGCACAATGCTACAGGTCATCCCTGAGTGAGACCTCATTGAATTCGGGTGAAAGAATCTAAAAGGCAAGAAACAAGAATTTAAACTTGTTTCTAGCCATTTACAGACATAGGCAAAAGTCTCAACATCCCTGATCAAATCACATATTTTGTTGCTTTTCTAAGTGAAAACAAGTTGCCACATCCTCTACAAGGAACAAACGTACGTATGGCATTCTCCTACAAATTTCAGTGCACAATTTCTGTTTATTTGCTGAGTTGAGTAAAATAAAAATGAAACATAAAATAAAAAATGTGCTGTAACTTTTGCACAAACCTCTTTTCCCAATATGTTAAATTCAGTAATTAAACAGTAATTATACATTAAAATGTGCAGATGTATGGTCTATGTAGAGGATGTTTTAACTTATTTTGACTTCAAAATCAACAAAACATATAATTTGCACAACTTAATTTACTTTTGAAAAACACTGCTCCTCAGAGTCACACAGCGCATAGTCAGAGATGAAGTGCAGAAAGTAAAAGTCCTTCCCAGTATTTTAATCCAACTGCCTGGACACATCTGCTCCTGAGCTAACTAGAGAAGCCTGGCAGTAATTAGCCCTGTGCAGGTCTAATTAGTAGGTTACAGTGCACCGTGACAACATGGCGGTCGTTTTTAGGGGTTTGGGAAGGTGTATGTATGTGCATGTCTAAGAACATGGCAGGGTGTACAGCTGTCACTAGGGGGCAGTGTGGGTCAGTTCCCCAGTTACTGTGCAGCACTGCCAGCCGGACTTACCACTTTTCTATGCAAAGCAAAAATTAATGTCTACTGGAGTTTTAAGTGGGCACAGTTTATACTAGGGATGCAAAATGATGACAGAATTATTTTAGTATCAGTAGAAATTTCTTAAAAAATATGTCTGCATTGGACTGATAACTAGATATGACAAATATTTCAAACCAGTACTTAACCCCCTAACAATTCAGGCTTATTACATACAAAGGTTTATTATTCAGTAGCTGCAGGGACTTCAGTGCAGACTGGCTGAGCTGTTCTTCGGTTATAGAAGTGTGCAGTAAAGCTTTGGGCCACTGGTGGGCCCTGGCCATATAAGGATTAATGGCTTAAAGAGTAAAGTAAGTCTTTGTCTTGTAGTTTCTAATATCATGTCATTTGTTCTGCCCTGTTACAGAATGACATCACACCTCTCCATGTGGCATCGAAAAGAGGAAACAGCAACATGGTCAAGCTGTTGCTTGAGCGAGGAGCGCGGATCGATGCCAAAACCAAGGTCAGAGCTGCCCGCGGTTAAACCAACCAACCCACTTCACTCTTTTTACACACTATATTCATCCCTTAGGAAGTGAGTTCATGTTTTAAGATTTTTGCACACCAAAAGAAAAGAACAGGGTAAGATGGCAGTAAGTAAGTCATTTAGCCTGGGCTTTTAACTTATTAGAATATGGTCATTCATTTACAGTGTTAAGGTTGTTACTTAAGAAAACAAATCCATTACAAATTACTAACTATTTTCATCAAACTGCAGTTGGATTATTGCCTGGAAAAAGTAATCTCATAACTCTTTGCTTTACTATGTTAATCCATATAAATCTCTACCAGCATACAAGGAGATGAACAGGTAATGTGTAAGAAATACATATTTCAAATGCATCACTTAGGAAAATCCAGTAGCCTTTTTAGAACTTTTTAGATGATAATGATTCAAATCTGAGGGAGTGAAGTTGAGAAACTGACGCTGAAAAGACAGAAAGGCAATAGTAAATTTGTTCTGTGGGGTTTGGACCTGTAGCCTGATCGGCTAACTTAATGTTAGCTTAGTGAGCAGGCTACCAACCAAAACAGTGCCACACACCACAGTGCATGTCTGATTCTGACCGACTGGTGCTCAGCTGAAACAAGTGTAGATGATAAAAACTAATGTCTGAAAGAGAAAAAGTTGAATGACTGCTGAGCCAAAATCAAACCTGCTCTGTGGTGCTTAGCATTTTGCTAAGCTAACAATAGCTTAGTTAGTTGGACAAACATGCCACACAGCACACAGCACAGGCTTGGTCACAGCTAACTAATGCTAAAATGACACTCTGACACTAGAGGTTATCTGAAAGTGCAAAGTCGAGTGACTGTTGTTACATTGAAACATGCTCCACTATGGGTAAAGCAATTCGCTGTCGCTGAGCTACTATTACTGTCATACTTAGTTTTTCTGAGCTTTTTCCTGGCTCTGAATTCTCCCCTTCTTCTACCAGCACCACCTATCAGTAAGCTCCTATAAAATGTGTTTATTTATCCATTTAGACAAGGAATATAATTTTTTGTGTGAAAATATTTACATTAAACATTTTCAGTGCAATGATAACAAACAACCCAACAGACAAACAGACAAACACAAAGATGCACAACTAAATAGGGTAAATTCAACTAGACAAAGTCCTGTCCCAGACTTTTTTGGCAAAGTCAATTGCCTCAGACCAAGCGACCACAGTATCAGCCTTTGCTCGATTTAATCTGGCAGTGGCCGCTCCAGTACCAGGACATCCATAAAATAGAGCAAGAAGGTAGATCTTAAGTGCACGCTCGCTTCTGCATGAAATTTTAAAATTACTTTCTTCACTGCTGTCAGAGACGCCATTACTATTTTCTTTTGGTGGGGTTTAAAATTCAGTTAAGTACTGAATCGTCTCAGAGCAGAAACAAGGCTGGATGTAAAGGCAGATCTGCTTCTAGAAGAGAAGAGAGCAGGGAAGCTGTTGCTTCCCATAGATGCTTCACTGGGGACACTGCCAGAAAACAGGAATAAATGTTCCAAGAGCATCTGAAGAGCTCAATAAAATTCTAATCCAGAAGGAATAGAAATTTGACACATCATCATTAAATATCATCATCATTTTTAAAACACTGTATCACTGTTATACCGCCCAGCCCAGCACTGTTCATTTGGGGCTTAGCCATGGACCCTTTAACCCTCGCTTTATTTCATGCTCCAATAACTTCATTGAAAACATGCTTGCCTCTCCTTGTGGTGTCCGGAGCACTTACTCACTCACAGTAATCATACGACACACTCTGCTCGACTCTGATGAATGACAACAATCTCATTACTTTAGGGCAACATGTGCTTGACATTACTGCTTAGAAATTACGTGCAGCTGTTGTATGCATCTGTTTTTCCAATGCAGTTCAGAGGACAATACGTGCACATGTGGAATGGGCTCTGTTGTTGAGCTTGGCGCAGAAATGGCATGATGGGGCTGTAGGGAATCAGAAGAAGGGTTTAGAAAGTAGTGAGGTTTTCTGCTTCCAGGCTGTGAGGTAGAGGGGGTGCTTTTTCTGTAATGTCTTTGCATCAACATGTGTGCTTGTATGTGTTTTCTCTCTCCAACCTGCAGGACGGTCTAACACCTCTCCATTGTGGAGCCAGAAGTGGGCACGAACAGGTCGTGGAGATGCTGCTGGACCGTGGAGCTCCGATTCTGTCCAAGACCAAAGTACTGTCACATCAGCTTTAACCACACACAGATGTGGGCCTTAATGGTGATGAATATGCTGTGTAGCTCATCCTTTCATTTAGTTTTCCATTGCTTCACTTGTACTTTAACTTTCCTGGAATTAGAAAGGTGAAAAAAAGTTGCCTAGTCATAGAAGGCTTGACATACTTTTTATAATGCAACATTTGTTGAATGTCACAATGCAGCCTCCAGTGCGGGCCAGAGCTTTTGGGAGATATTGCTTTAGCAAGACTTAACACACAGGAATTTCATTTGTTCTCTGTGTTTTACCTTTCACACCAAAAACTGTCAGAAATGTTTAAAGCCTCAGTCACTGTTTATCAGTCATTTCTGACTGATGCTAACTAGGGATGCACATTTTGGCTTTACAGCCAGCTTTACAGCCAGATTGGTTTTATTATTCTTTTTAATTAAACACGAAGCTCACACTGTGTGGGCTAAATGAGCACATAAAAAACTAGCACACTCCCAGTACTTTTTCTTAGCCAAAGTCATAACCAAAATAACATTATTTGCTCTTAAATGAGCCAAACTTCCATTTTAAATTTGTGACAGATCAGTTCGTATTTAAAAAACTTGAATTGAGTAAAAAGCTACATTGGAAGTAGCAGCAGCATTCAAATAAATCTCTGAAGCTGTATGTCATTCTGTAGTTGGCATCATGCCCACAATAGCAAGCTGGATTTCTTTAAGGCATAAATGAATGGGGTTTTTCGCAAATCGCAGCTGTCATACTATATGTTTTGTCCTGTGTACATTTTCCACTGAATGTCTCTGGCTCTTCTGAATCATGAGATTGTTAAAAACCTCATACATCAGTGGTAAAAGTGAGCTGTCATTCCTGTGCACTGAAATGACATTTCGTAGAAGTAAGTGTACTGTTAAACTTTTTAAACCATTTATTCATTTAAATTGAATTCGACTCCAACCTGGCTTATGTGAGAAAGCCAGAAACAGGACTGTCTTACTAAAGTTAATGTCTGCAGTTTAAAATTGTTTAAAACCATTTCTTTTTAGTTATTGAGGTTAAGGTTGAGGATAGGTTTAGGGTTAAGCTTAGAAACGTATACATGACCCCATGTCCAGATAAGGTGTGAAAACAAACATTTGTGTATGTCCTGCAGAACGGTCTGTCTCCGCTGCACATGGCCACGCAGGGAGACCACCTGAACTGTGTGCAGCTGTTGCTCCATCACGATGTGCCTGTGGACGACGTCACCAATGACTACCTGACTGCTTTGCATGTGGCTGCCCACTGCGGGCACTACAAGGTGGCCAAGGTCATTTTAGACAAGAAGGCTAACCCAAATGCCAAAGCACTGGTGAGTGGACTGTTGACAGGAGAAAAATCCCTTTGCCTAGCAGCCCAGTAGCAGCCCATAGAGTCAGTTAGTAGCTATAAATTGAATGTGATTGTACGCTAAAGAATCAAATTTTCTCTGTATTACAAATGAAGACATGCAAACAAGACGTTTCGTATTCTGCCCTAGAGCTACAAGGCGTGGCTAACAAGCTAACAAGAAATATATATCCCACAAGTTGCCATCAAGCAAACGCATAATAAAAAAAGAAAAAATGTTCAAATAATCAAAAAGCTGAGTTCCACCAAATGTTCTGCGTAATTTGATTGATGAGATATAGACAAAGTCATTCAGAGTGGTTTGATGTTAAATGGTTCATAGCAGAAAAATTTAACAGCTTGGACTTCTTTACATTGGTAGTGATAGGAACCAGGAGTCACAATGTCTACAACACCAATATAGCCATTTTATTTACTATCCAGATGAACATACACATTATCTGAGTTTTAACATGTAGCATTGGTGATGGTAACATAGTGGTAAATCTGTTTTATTTAGGTATTATTTTACTGTATAATGCCCTGCATGCCCCAATAGCCCGTACTGTTGTTTGCTTTAATTTATATTTTTATTTATTTGATTTATATTACCTTAAGGATAGGCATGTTTCTTCTGTAGACAAATATTTTGAAGATATTTTATTTTTTAAAAAAACTTTTTTTATTGTAATAAGATTTATTTTTTAAATTTTGTTTATTTATTTTTTTTTACAAGCAACAGCTATTGGCCATACAATTTTAAAATGCTCATTAGATAACAAAAACACATAAAAACAGTTCAAGGTATACACAGACCAGCCACTTCACTAAGCCTTCTGGTATTTACACTCATTGTCCATTTTATCAGCTTTACTTACCATATAGGAGCACTTTGTATTTCTGCATTTACAGACTGTAGTCCATCTGCTTCTCTGCATACTTTTTTAGCCCTCTTTTACTCTGTTGTTCAGTGATCAGGACCACCACAGAGTAGGTATTATTTGGGTGGGGGGATCATAATAATTGATAGTTCCAGATAATTGTGGAACTACAAAGTACACCTAAATGATGGAGCTGATAAAATGTAGGCATGTGTACTTAAAGAAGTGGCTGGTCAGTGTATTTATGTGTCTTAGTTTATTTTGTTGCTTAGAATAGTCATTAACGGTTGACCTTTTAAAGGTAACCATTGTTGCCGTTCACTTCAGTTAGTTTGTTTTTCTGGACCTTAGTAAGAAAGACATTTGATGTACCCTGATCTTCTCAAGTCTTAGTTGAATACCCCTGCTGAAGAGGACATGTTAACTTATTTTCACCTAGAAAATCAACGTAATGTGATTTGAGCAGTGGTGTTTAAACATTTACAACTGTTTTTACAAAATGTAACACGGTGCACCGGCTTACTAACTTTCAAGGACAAACTTGTTACAGTAAGCATGCTTTGTTCCTGAGCAGCACCATGGAGATCTGTAAAACATGCGTACACGCACACACGCACACACACTTGGCTGAGGGCTGCGAGCATGCTGTCATGCTCTTAAGTAATTGGAACAAAATGGGCGTTTCATTTATTGAGGAGAAAAAAGGGAAGAAACTGAAAGGAAACTGTAGAAATAAGAGGTTGCCAAACCTCCCCAGCAGCAGAGGCCCAGCATTTTTCATTCGGCCTGCACACATGTTTATCTGGTGCTTTTGAGGGCTGGAAAAAAAGAGAAAGCCGCAGCGTTTTCCATACGGCGCACTGCTGGAGTGAGCATGCAAGACTTCTGACTCTCGCCTTTTCTCTTTAGAATGGTTTTACACCGCTCCACATCGCCTGCAAGAAGAACAGGATCAAAGTGATGGAGTTACTGCTAAAGCACGGAGCGTCCATACAGGCAGTGACAGAGGTGAGAGAGAGAGAGAGTGAGAGATGGCTGCGTGTGTGGTCTGTGTGTTCTGTCTGTGATTTGCTTCAGCTTCTTTATAGCTATTACGCTGAAATATGCTATGAATATATTCCAAAATGTAAACACAATGTATTGAAAACATTAACTACATTGAATACACCACTGTGTAAAAGTCAGAGACCACCCCTTTATTTTATTTCATTTCCACTCAAAACGGTCGTTAAGTAAGTTGTTCATTTTTAGGAGATATTTCTGAGGAGATTACATGTAAGAATCCACTTGCATAAAAAAGGGTAAAGTCCAAGGAAAATAAATGAATTTCCAACATTAGAGTGAAAATGTATTAAAAGGTAAAACCGGGACTCCTAGTAACTGTGCAAGACCACCAAAACTGTCACCATCAGTTAAGCAGTACTTAAAGATTTCATCTTGGAGGGAGAGGAGAAAATCAAGCTGCTTCAGATCTGAAAAAAATCCACAGGTGTTTATGTCCATCCTTCCACTGTGAGAAGACAATTCAGCGCTATGAATCCTAAAGGATGTGTAGCTGTCAAGAAGTTATTACTGAGAATTATCACTGGTATTAATTAACTTGTCCTTAATGGCCATTTGGACTGGAAAAAATGAAGAGCAGACTTTGAAACAGTGCTGCACATAATAAAATACGTTTTTGTTTTTTTTGTTTCAATCTTCACTCATTCTTTTGATGCTATCAGAGCTTGTTAGTGTAGAGCTGACACAACACAGCAGCGCGCAAATGTGCAGTGAGGTAATGCTAATTCAAGCCTTTCTGACTCTCTCTCTTTTCTCTCTCTCCTCCAGTCGGGTCTCACGCCGATTCATGTGGCTGCCTTCATGGGACACGAAAACATTGTGACTCAGTTGATGAATCACGGAGCGTCGCCAAACACAACCAACGTTGTGAGTACTGGACCATGCCCCCAACCCCGTTCTCCAGTCAGAGCCTTTAATGTGTCACCGCTGGCTAGCTAATCGCTAAAAAAAGAGCTTGATAATAAGTTCAAGCAAAAACAACAGAAAGAATTCCGGGTCCTGTCTGAAACCTGTCATTGGCTGGCCTTTTCCCTCAGGCCTTGCTTCCCTGGTGTCCCGACGCAATAAGACCTTTTAGGGTAATAACAGTCTTGCTCTTTGTGCTTAAACAGGGGTGTGAGTGCAGGTCTGGCTTGCTAACGTTCCTGTAATTACAGTTCCAAGCCAGCAGTCAGACTATAATCATATACAACTGTCCCCCCCAACCCCGTGCCGGTCAGACATCAGGCCACTGTTTCTGTAGAAACGAGCTTTGGGCTGCATGTGGGGTGCAGCTACTCGTAGCAGTCATAGTAAAGAGAGGAAACCACTGGATGGGAGGGAAAAGGGGGTGGCATTATTTGATACACACACATGCACACTCATATAGGATAAGAGCTTAGCGTGGCAGTGCACTGGTACCTTTTCCCACAAGCCTTTGTGTTGAGTTGCTTGTGTGTGTGCGCGTTGTAGAGGGGAGAGACGGCGCTCCACATGGCTGCAAGGGCCGGACAGACAGGAGTGGTCAAATTCCTGGTCCAGAACGGAGCACATGTCGACGCCAAGTCCAAGGTAAGAGAAAGAAAGTGTTTACGCAGTAGTGTTTTGCTAGCTAACTGTACAACTGTATGACTGTGGTCTGGAAGAAAGACTTGTGAAACTACCATGCAACTAGTTGCGTGTTGTGAGGTGTCTGAGCAATATTTTATTGTTATTGTGATAAATTAGGTCACAGTTTGCTTTTCTGAGTATATCGTGGATATAGTCAGTACTTGAATACTTTAATATTTTTCATTACAAAGAGAGCATAATTAGTCCTGTTTAATTGGATTTAGTGCAGTGCAATTTGTGAAGCAGTGAATAAAAATCATTGTGGTTTATTGTAGTTTTTTTTGTGTGTGTGGTGCAATTTTGTCTGTTCCAACTAATCAAACCTCATAAAAAAATTATGCATATCATGTAAAAATGTCTTAAAGTATTGTGCTATAATATTTTTGCCATATTGCCCACCCCTATGTTGGTATACTCTACTGAAGTACTTAACCTTAGCCTTAGACTTAGACTTTGGTAGACAATCTTGCAGATCAGACATGATAATGTTCAGCACTATATTTAACATCACAGAATATAGGTCCAAAGTCCATGAGACCAGACTCAGTGAGGCTGTAGTCCAGAGATTTAGATTGGGCAGTGGTAAAATTCGAGATTTCATGATGCATCGAACCGATTCCTAGAATGGCAGTCTAATAATCGTTGTGATGTCAGAGATTTACACCCCTGCAGGGTTTGTCTCATAGTTAAAGGAGCTAATGTGTAATCTGTTTGTGTAGGATGACCAGACCCCGCTGCATATCTCCAGTCGTCTAGGAAAGCCTGATATCGTTCAGCAGCTGCTGCAGCATGGAGCATCTCCCGACTCCACCACCACGTCAGGATACACACCTCTGCACCTGGCTGCGCGCGAGGGACACAAAGACGTGGCGTCAATCCTGCTCGAGCAGGGTGCTTCACTGGGCATCACCACCAAGGTCAGTGACACACACACAAACTCACACCCAGGCATGCGAACACACATATAGATACATACGCACACAGTATGGGAAGGTGGGCTTGTTTCCAGTCTGTATCTGGTATTTTGGTGTTGGTCTTGTGCGTCAACATCTGTGGTTAGCTGATTAAACTGTTACTTACTATTCAGTTATTAATCTTAAGACTATGAAATTAAAATGTAAGATACAGTTATATTCAAAAGTCTGAACATACCCCAGTCAAATTACATGCTAGGGTGTGTTGCGCTGGTATGAGTGGATCAGGTACTTGTACCAGCGCAACACACACTAATACTTCACCATCATGTCAGGGTCAATGCAGTACTGAGAGTGATCCGCCACCCAAATAATACCTGCTCTGTGGGGGTCCATTGAAGAACAGGGCAAAACGGGTCTAACAAATGATGCAGGGAAACAGATGGACTACATTCAGCAATATTAGAACTACAGGGTTCACCTATATGGTAAGTGGAGCTGATAAAATGGACAAAATGTGTGGCTGCTCAGTGTACACTGCTCACTCATGCTTGTGGGAATCTACATGTAGGTGTTAGTAGCATTAAAATTTTCGTCTAGATTCTGCAGTACTCTCAACATCTGCGGTGCAATGCCATTTGTTTGTCATGGGCTGCTGCAGGTCAGGCTTGTATGCTTTTCTGGTATCTCTAGAGGTGGTTGGCACTGGTCAGCGTTGATCCTGGCCAGAGCCAGCTGTGCTGTGTGGGAGGCAGATGCACACATTTCCTGAATAGATTTTCCACTGTCCTCTCAGCACTTTTGGGTGCCAGCAGATGCTACTCTTTAAAGAACTCTTTAGTTCATTAAGGTCTTGACTGATGAGCTCTCTTCTTCCCTAATGTTATCAACTCCATTTCCAAAAAAGTTGGGACGCTGTGCAGAATGTAAATAAAAATAGATTACAATGATATGCAAATCATGTGAACCATATTTTTAAAGGAAAATACTACAAAGACAACATATCAAATGTTGAAACTGAGAAATTTTATTGTGTTTTTAAAAATATATGCCCATTTTGAGTTTGATGCCAACAACACATTCCAAAAAAGTTGGGATAGGGGCATGTTTACCACTTTGTTCTTTACCTCTTCTTTTAACAAACTCTGTAAGCATTTGGGAACTGAGGAGACCAACTGCTGTAGTTCTGAAAGTGAAATGTTTTTCTGTTCTTGTTGATACAGGATTTCAGCTCCTCAACAGTTCGGGGTCTCATTTGTCCTTTTTTTAATTTCGTAATGCACCAAATGTTTTCAGTGGTGATAGGTCTGGACTGCAGGCAGGCCAGTTTAGCACCTGGACTCTTTTACTATGGAGTAATGCTGTTGTAATATATGTAGAATGTGGTTTGGCATTGTCTTGCTGACATAAGCAAGGCCCTCCCTGAAAAAGAAGTTGTCTTGATGGCAGCATATGTTGCCAAAAGCAGTATTTATCGTTCAGTGTTAATGGTGCCTTCACAGATGTGCACATCACCCATGCCATGTGCACAATTGCCCCTCATACCATCATGAATACCTTCTTTTGAACTGTGCACTGATAATAAGCTGACTGGTCTTTAGTCCAGAGGACACAATGTCCATGATTTCCAAAAAGAATTTAAAATTTTGATTCGTCGGACCACAAGACACTTTTCCACTTCCCCTCAGTCCATTTTAAATGAGCTCTGACCCAGAGAAGGCGGCAGCATTTCTGGATCCTGTTTATATATGGTTTCTTCTTTGCGTTTTAGAGTTTTAATTTGGATTTGTGGATGCAGCAACAAACTGGTTTCATAGACAGTGTTTTTCAGAAGTGTTTCCGAGCCCATGCAGTGATTTCCACTAGAGAATCATGTCTGTTTTTAATGCAGTGCCACCTGAGGGCCCAAAGATCACATCCAGCAAATACTGGTTTTTGGCCTTGTCCCTTGCATACAGAGATTTCTCCAGATTCTCTGAAGCTTTTAATGTTATTATGTACCATAGATGATGAAAAGCAAATTTTTTTTGCTATTTTATGTTGGGAAAATATTTTTGAAAAAACAATAGAATTTCTCAGTTTCACATTTTCACAGTTTTACATTTTGCACAGCGTCTCAAATTTATGCCCTTTTCCCTTTGTCCCAGATATAGTGCATCAACTAGGAGTTGTTTGGTGTCTGAAGTTTGCTTCTTTTGTTTTGCACTAGAGCAGCATGGCTAATGTAGCTAAGAAGTAATGAAAGCTTATAGCCACCAGTCATCAAACTGCATGCCTAAAATGGACAAAAGCATGGACAAAATCCAGGTTCCAAGGTGGCTGCCAGAACAAATTTTAGCTATGTGACATACCTGTTCATACCTGAGTCAGTGACAAATAAAAATTATAACTAAAAACAATCCTGTTAAAAAGGATGTGATGTTTTGGATATGCAAGAATTTATTCAGTGTATTGATATTTTCATAGCTTTCTTAATGGAACGAATTGTTTTTTAAATATCAATTTTAAATGTCAGGTGGTGCAACCACACTCAAAAAATTTTTTTTTCAATATTTGTGAAAGGACTTCCGACCATGCTGTTGCATCATGAAGGTCACTTAGAGTCTTCTTTATGGTGCAATAGATGAGAGCAACACATCTAGGTGCTTTGCCCTTGCCTAATGCACCTGCCCCTTTTTGGCTAAAAGCAGCTTCTCGACTGGTGGTAAATACAAATGCTGAGGACAATTTAATAACAAATAAAAATGATTTTATTTATGGCCAGTGAGGCAAACAGTCATGTCATGTTATAGAAAATTATATATTCATGTAGAAAAAAAATAAAGAAATGAAAAAAAAAGAAAATAGGGGCTGATCAGCGCTCTTTCTGTCTGTCTCCATCAAAGTCAGCGAAACGACCTGACCCAGTGGCCGGACGTGTTGTATTTACGATTTTTGTATTGACTGGCCGGATCCCACACCATTTTTATCCTCTCTGCGGATGGCCTGAAGCCACAGATGTCTCATTTTGCTGTCCTGGGGAAGTGAACAAAATTGTTTTGTTTTTTTTTAATTGTTAGACTTGCAAAATGCGAAACAGCAGCTTTTAGGTATGGTGCCACTAGTATGTCCAATTTGGCGCCGACACTCTAACTGGGTTTGTTTTCACCCAAAAGAGGGCGTGATCGTTCGGAGGACAGGGAAGTGACATGCCTGCTCTGATCTATAGCTTGGCCATTCGCTTTTTTAAAAGCATGTCAGAATAAAAGTCCCTTGTGTTCCTTTGTGCCATGTGACATTTGAGGAGATCAGAATTTACTGAAAGGTTTTTTAATAAGTTAAATACTTTTAAAGTTGCCCTATTTTACAATATGATTTGTATGAGAAGATTTTTAAATGTTTAAAATTAAAAATGCATGTCATGTCATTGACCCACCTCCTTTTAACATCCATCCTGAGTGATCTGATCACGAGTGGACAGCTGTGTACACTTGGCATTTCCATTGTTTTCCGGTGAACACTTATGATCAGATTTCATGACTGGTGCTGCCTATTCAGTGTGCTGTGAGTCCATGTTTGTGTACATGCAGGCACTGTTATAGATGTTTAAATTTCATGGATTGCTACTTACAAACCGAGAAAGTAGACAAAGAAAAAGTACACTTTAGTACACTTTAGCGTTCGCACTACAGATATTATATGATCATATGCATCCCTGACCACCTCCAGAGGTGAATTGAGTGAACAAATGGATCCCATTCACACCTGAAGTTAGTGCTGTTCACTGATGACCTGAAGGTAGTGATGTCCACTGGGAATCAGAGCACCCAAGACGTATGTTAATGCGTGATATGTTATTAATCCCCAGTGCAAAACTAAAGAAGCAAACAAGTATATTTTGCAGCAAGAGAGTGCACTATTCAGTTTTCAGACCCACACACAGATTTGTGTGGCTAGCACTTCTTATATGAGAAAGGAGGTCATCCATCAAAGCAGATGATAGAGCTGTAATAAGATGACTAAGCAGTTTGAATGAATTGAGGCACATTCGTATGTGGAAGCCTTGAATCCAAGCTATTACTTTTCTCATAGTGTTAAGGAAGAGGTCAGGACTAGCACAGCAGAACAGAAGGAGTTTGACATAGTACTGTGAAATGTTTTGTGACTGATGTTCTTTTGTGGAGGAATTGCTGTCAGTGTGAGGCTGACAGCATGTGTTTGTGTTCTTTGTATGGGTCTGAGCATTTCTGTAGTAAAGCATTTTAGAGTTGCCCATTTTGCTCAGATTTGACATTTGAATTAATAAGGTGTTTTTCCAAAAATATTCTAATGGTAACTTTAATAAAATTCTAATAGTAATTCCAAACAAAACACTAATAGTAAAAAGTTAAAATAAAAAAGGCCTCTTATGACTCCAGCCCACCGCCGACTGAACGCATCAGGTGTACAAAACACAGCGGACAAAAAGTGCCACTGAATATCTCTCTGTTAATGTACTGTATTAAACAGACACCACAGTTCCATAGTAAGTGACGTGAAGCTTAAAATTCTCAATCTAAATTCTTTAAGATACATGCTGATCAAACGCTGATCACCTCAGCTAACATTTCTTGCCTAGTCACATTGTAACTTCGTAACAGCAATCTTATTACTGAACCTGATGAATTTACAAAATGAAACTGAAAGTAGTAGTATGTGGTATACCATTTGAAATTCTTCCTAGACACGAGTCCTAGACACGAGTCAGGTACAAACAGCGCAAACCATGCTAACATTAGCCCATTTAGCTGGTTGACTGAAACTGGGATATGTTAGTCATGTTTCAAATGAAAATGAAAACACAACAGCTCCTTTATCACATTTAACTTTTTAGCTTATTGCATCTGAAGTAGTCAACTTTGTTTTCAAGGCAGTGGACATAAAGGAAAAGCTAGAATTTTGGGGTTAGCTTGGCCTAACTTGGACACAAGTATGATGAGGTCTGGCTGAGGAGCTGGCTGACTTGTTCAATGGCAGTCTCCCGGCCTCGTCCATGCAACAACATATGGAGCAGGACGTGTTCAATTTCAAAATGTTATGCACGGTTTTTGCTACAGTTTCCAGGTTGAACGTCATGTTTCGTCAAAACAATGTGCACCAGGCTTGGACGTACATTTTCTCTCATTTGATGGGCGTGTCATAGGTGTTACCCAATCAGCAGCGATGTGTACACAAACCCCGCCGTATTAAAAACTCAGTGCACACAGTGGATTCTAATGAAGTCCTCAACAGATGTGGCCACTGCAGCTTGCTTTAGGCAACTATTGAAGACGTTAAAAGACATGTTTGTCATAAGTATTTTATTGTATTCTTTTTTATAAAATAAGCTAGTAAGTATTTAATTGTAACTTATTGTATGTGTAGATTTCTAGAAACACTCTTTGTCATGTTTTTGAGAGCATTTTAACTTTATAATGTAGTTATTAATATAATTAGCTTTAAACCTGTTTCATCAGTCTTCAAAAATTCTTTGAAAAGGAAGCCAAGAATGGCTTTCTTAGCTGCCATAGTTGCAACACTTGCATAACACAACTGAGAGGTCAAAGCACCACAGTTTCTGTTTAGATAAACATCAGCTGGTACTGAAGCATGAATTACTGTAATATTTTCCAAATTCCAGCAGTGTCTGACGGTCAGAGGTACGAGTATATAGGACACGCCTATGAGAAAAATCACTTGAGAAATGTGATGATTCTATAATTGGCTTCTTATTTGAATTTCCCATTCCACCCTAAATGATGCAGCAGTTACATTCAGGTGCCTGTACAGGTACTAGAATGTAACTGCTGCTCCATTTAAGGTGGAATGGGAAATTCAAATAAGAAGCCAATTATAGCCTCATCACATTTCTGAAGTCATTTTTCTCATAGGCGTGTCCTATAAATGGAAAATCGAGCTTCAGCCTTGAATAAATTATGGCGCAAAACTTCATTTAGCACCAGTTTGCCAGGCCCATAAGGGTAGTGTTACAAAACAATATTGTCATTGTTTTATCTGCATGTTGTGCAGTTTCTGATATATTTCAGATTTACTTTAGCTGTTAAAAATGGTTCTTATTAAAAAAAGAAGGGACATTGTCAGAATAACAATCCACGGTTTACCAACAAAATGAGGCTTTCATAAACATCTAAAATGGTTTTATTTATTTTAAAAACATATACCAACATATATATACCTGAAACACACACACACACAATTTCTAAGCTGCTCATCCTTCTGCGTTGCGGGGGGGGCTGCAGCCTATCCCAGCGGCCATTGGGCAGAAGGCAGGAAACACCCTGGACAGATTGCAAATCCATTGCAGGGCATATACCTGAAACTGAAAGTTTTATTCCATTATATCTATATGAGTAGAGCATTCTTATTTATCACTGCTTTCTTTGTGCTATAGCTGCAACCTGGAGCCAGAGACCCTTTTGTCCTACGTTGTGCGCTAGCCTTTAGATGACAGTAGCAGTCTTTTTATTCTTCTACTTTAATCAAAAGAGACTAGAGAACTGCTGACCAAAACGTCTGATACAAGTTTTTCACCTGCCTCTGATGGAGTATAGAGTGCAGACATGCTTCAAACTCATGGTTCTTGAATATGAGAATTAGAGAAAAGCTCATTTTCATTTGATTTTTTATTTGAATGTGTAACTCTGCTAAAGGCTTTCATTTGATCACCTCAGTTTGTGTATGTCTGTGTGAAGGTGACCCCCAGTAAAGCAGATTGATGACGCACCCACACAGCTTGAAACATCTGTCAGATAGTTGTCTATCTCTTCTCTTGGGCTTGTTAAGCCACATATGCCCGGCTATGACGCAGAAACTGTTGTAGAGGATCCTACAGATGCAACCTCATTCAGGTAGCACTGCACTCTTCACCCAAATTGCTGTATTGCTGTAGCTGAAGAACAAAAATCTTATTTTGTTCAGCGTGCTTCTTGTCTTTTTTGACTGTGACAGATGTACCTAGCCAAACATGGCTGAAAGGCTGCCAGGTCTGATGGTGTGGGAATGTGCTGAGGGAGGAAGAATTGATTGATGGTGTTGACTGGAGCAGTGACCTCATGCTACACTGCCCACTGTCTCTAACAGAACAGATCCATATTAAAAACTACTAAAACTAGTACTAGTAATGATACGTAAATTTCATGTTACAATGTGTATTATTGTTTTTGCTTCACAATACGATTAGAAAAAAATGCTAACATTATTTTTGTATTTATTTGTTTTTTGGTAATTTCTAAAAATGTTTTGGTAATTTTCTTAGAAGACATAAATAAAAAAGAATATAAACAAAAGTACAACATCTATGCAAAAGTAAACAAAACAGTGTAAACTGCATCTAAGGTGCATCTCAATATTAAATGGCCTGAGCATTTAAGTGTATTTATCTTGTGCTTCTATAAAAAGTGCAGCATCTTGCCTTCTGACTGAATTGAGTGTGAGGGGATTTTCTAACATGGTTCAGTCCTTCCCAGCAAAATTCACTACCAAATAGATAGAGACTCTACAACCGAATAAAGGTGTGCTCCACAACCGAATAGAAGCACAAATTGGAAGCTATAAACATCTTTACAGAGCAAGTTATTTGTTTCACATTGCGGGTGCTTAAACCATGTGGGGAGAAGTTGCTGCTGAGATTCTCCACAAGGCTGAAGTTGGATTCCTATTTAATAAGTTCTTATTAAAATTGTCCTTTCCATCTTAAATGGAGCAGCAGGAGCATGTAAGTACATTTAAGGTGCAAGGGAAAATTCGAATAAGAAGCTGGCTAACTTTAGGTTTGTGTTTTCTTCACTTTCATCAGTAACTGACACATGTGGGTGATGTCCTCACAAATGAGTTAGCATATTTGAGGTATTTTATCCTCGCATTAATGTCAGTTCACTGTCACTGTTGGATCGACCACTTTTTGTCCATCATTATTGTGCTCAACTGAGAAACCTCGCCATTACTAACAGCTTTCCTAATCAACCATCCCACACAGGCAAACAGAAAACAGTTTTTTTCTCAGTTCTGGGAGCTGCACATGGTTATGTTCATGGTTATCACTTTTAGGAATCTATTGGAAACCAATCCTGTTATCATGTACACGTAAACTGATTAGAACCTTTGACCAAAATGTTTGCTGCAGTTTCTACACTAAATATGAGAATATATAACGTTAGAGGAAAAGTAACTTGCATATCAAAACTCATTATTTACTATTTGATTTTTTGCTTTCATGACTATATGAATAGATTTGGGTAGCCATTGGCTGTTATCCACATTAGAATGTTTTTCTTGGTTGTTGCTTGCTTTAGTGGAGGTAAAAAGGTTAAACAGTGTTGTTCTGTTAGCAGCGTAAGATTGACCTACACTTGAGCTCTCTCACACTTGGTGAAAATAGATCTGTTACACCACTGTTTCACCTTTGGCAATAAACCCAAATGGCCTTGAGTTACTCAACGGGAGGGAAATTGTGAAACATGGATGAGGGCGTTTCTATCACACTGACTGTTCTGCTTAATACTGCTTATTTGTTGCAATCTCTTACCCCCTGGTAGTGTGCGTTTACAAAAATGAGACTGACTACAGGTTAAGTTTGTGCGCAGTTGGATTTGATCGATACTACATGCTGTTTTATAAACTTTTTTTTTCCAGAAGGGATTCACTCCACTACATGTGGCAGCTAAATATGGCAAGATTGAGGTAGCCAACCTCCTGCTGCAGAAGAGAGCCCCTCCAGATGCATCTGGAAAGGTAATGCGGCCCAATAGGGAACTGATTCAGAGCATCTGCAAGCGTCTGATGCATGATATGTACATCCTGTCAAGGGTGATTGTGTCATTGCTGCCTTAGCACCTATTCTGTTACAACAGGAATATGACCACAGTGAACAGTGGAAAACAGTTACAAAGGCACATGCAATTTCTTCTTTTTTTTTTTTACCATTTCCAAATTACAGCCTGGTTTTAAGCACTTAAACGCTGCTCTTTTCTGAGAAGGGAAAATTGAAGTCAGACTCCTTTGCACCTTTCAATCTGTGGTGTAATGAGTGGAGAGGTTTTATAACCACTCTTGGTGCAGCCCACTGAGACTATGAGCATGACATGAGACCAGAACTATTAGACCATTACATAACCGCCTCTACAAAGCAATACGCCTTCTAATCTTCAACCTTATTTCTCTGTGGAAATGTCCAAGAGTAGACATCCAGCTGTTGCTATGCAGTAGTGTAGAAGTTTATACTTTCGTAAAACAAGTGATCATAATGCTGCTCTCAGTTTTCCCTGTGACAGTATTGCACTTGTTGTTTCCAAGTTTTAATGATTTTGTTGCTGAGAAATCTGTGTTACTAAAGTAAGATACAGTGCTAAAACTGCAATGCAATATTCCACAACTGTTGTTATTTCAATCTTATGATAAGAAATAAGAGAATGTGTATAATCTTATAGCAAGGGACTACTGTGGACACTTGGAGGCAGGATGCAAGTGCAAGTCAGTTTCTTTATTAGAATCCATGGTAAAGCAGGAGAATCCACTGTACCAAACAGAAAAAAAACCCTAAAAGACAAATGATCAGGCAACAAGAAACTCTACCTAGAAACCAATGATGAACATGTACATACAAAGCCAAGCAAAGCACAGGACAAACACAAGGGGTATAAATACTTGGGTAAACAATTGAGACACACCTGGGAGTACTTGAAGAACACATTAACAGACAAGACACAGGTGCAGGACATGATGAAGGTGCGGAGCTAGCAAGGAACAGGGAAACGTAAACACATGGAGAAACTAGACTGGAAAGATTACAAAGAGGTGGAGACAGAAAAAACAAAACAAAAACAAATGCACGTGGCAGAGGCATGAGGAAGAACGTAAACAAGGAGGGAAAACACAACAGCAAGGCAAACTGGTTTACTGCTCTGTGGTCACTTGAATGGGCAGTGATGAGTTTTTTTTTTGTTCCTGCTTTCCACTTTTATTGCAGCAGCGCAGGTAACTGAAGCTTGTAGGGCTAGAAGGTTGTGAGTACGATCCCTCGCGGTGCTACAGCCATCCGTGGCTGGGAGTCTAAGAGAGTGCAATTGGCCTCGCTCTCTCTGGGTGGGTAGGATAGCCCTCTCTCTCCCATCACCCAGCATGATGCTATCCAGTGCAGGCATCTGTTAGCTGACACAACAGAATGGACAGTTAGCTCCTCCAAGTGCGTTAAGCTGTCCAGTTATGTTGCTTTAGCAGCAGTTTGAAAAGATGTGGTAGCGGGCTTCACATGATTCGGAGGAAGCATGTGCAAGCCTTCTAGCACTGTGATTGGACATGACTAAATTAGGGAGAGAATAGCCTCAGCATTGCTAGAAGCCTGTTTGGATCCACAGTGGACCAGTCACAGTTAGCGAAGTCTCAGAACAAATGACGTGGTGATTAGGACGAATAGCAGTTAGAGGGAGGTCTCAGATCAAACAGTGCTATGATTAGGTGTTCTGTTCAGCAAGCAGCGTACACTGTACAAACTCAACCACTGCATCAGTTTGCCAGCTTTATAATGCAACCATTTTGAAATGGGTTTCCTTATGGCTGCTAATGTTTAAGCTTAAGGCTTTGTGTCCAGTAAAACCAACCCAATCAAGGACTGTTGCAACTTGCAGTCTAAAGTTTAGTACAACAAAACCAACAGCACTACTACAATGTGAAATAAAATGCACTTTATGGGCATTTTCTATGTTCTCTATTAGTAAACTGAGTTAGTCCATGGACATCTGTGGTGCTTCCAGACCGAGGCTTTGATAGATAGATAGAGTATATATAGTAAATCTGATGGAAGGCTGCTTGTGCTCTTTCACACCTTGTTTGTCTCACTCTTATTCACATGCTAATGTGTGTTTGTGTCTTTGTGTGTGTGTGTGTGTGTGTGCATATGCGTGTGTGTTTGGATGGGTGTTTGTAGAGCGGACTAACTCCACTGCATGTAGCTGCACACTATGATAACCAGAAAGTGGCACTTCTCCTCCTGGACCAGGGAGCCTCCCCCCATGCTGCTGCCAAGGTACTACACACACACATACACACTCACAGACATACTCGCACTCTCATATAACCATTAGCACATACACGTGATGGCCATTTCGGGTAATTTTATGGTGAAATATATGTTGTGCTTCATTACAGAACCAGCTTATTAACAGAAAGAGAGTCTGGCTTCTTTTTTATATGAACAGTTAGGCGGCTACTTAAAAATAAACAAACTCATACTCTTGCCCACCCTTAGTACATATATATCCATCCTTAGCGCATACATACAGTTCATAGACAGCCCTAGTAACTTTAGACCAGACGCATGCTTTCAGTCTACATTCCTTTCTTTTTCCATCATACCACTTGCAGTCCAAACCCCAACCTCAAAAGTGTGTGTATGTCCTCATCTACACCCCCCTTCAAGGTTGCTGGTGTGGTGCGGGTAAGTTCTAGCAAACTCACACTGCTGCTGTTGTTATCTCTGCTGCAATGGAAGTCCCAGTAATGAGCAATCCACCCTCCAAGCAGGGTCCCTCAGGATGACTGACCATGGCCTCTTTAGAAAGTAGCATGCCAAACCAATTAAAGGCTCTTGTCAGAAAATGCCCTGTTGTGATATATATGTGTATTTATATATACACACAAGTTTCTAAATTTTGCTAACCCTCAACACACTCACACTGTGCTTAAATCAGTCACACTCCAACAAAGTCCCAAAGCACGCTGAGTAACTGATTCCCTGATAAAGTCAAGAGATGACTGCAAACCCAAAGCATCTCCTCACTGGACAACTGAATGCTTTTAATCAAACAGCAGTGCCTTGGGCCTGGAACACTAGCCACGACACAATGCCAAATGCTGCTTTCATGATGAATAAAACTTTTGTGATCTGTTGAGACAATAGTTTGGCATAAAAATAATACATTTACACAATTTTTCTTTTACCCCGAAAGAAGTCCAACGGCTAAGATGTGTTTGGTGTCCAAAGCTAATAAGCTTTTGCTCTGGAGCTGTGAGACTAAGTAGTGGAAGTTTATACCCACCAATAGGCGTTGTGCAAACTGCATGTCCAAATCGTCACACACTTGCCTCAAACCATGTCGAGTTCTTAAGTACTTTGAAATAAGACTTGCTTATGTGGTTTCTGACACTGCAGAAATGGACAAAAGTATGTATAGCACAGCTAAAAACAGAAGCCATCTTGAAGTATGTCTGTACTGTTGTGCATTCTTGTAGATAGCAGGATGTCATACTATGTCAGAAACCACTTAAGCAAATACATGCCATTATTTAACAACTCAGTGTTGTTAAAGCTCCATAAAATCAATGTTTTCTGTCTAATTAGGTTAATCTTGTTCTAGTTTCATATCAAAATGATCTGTTGATACTGTCCAAATTTGCTGCAGCAACTTCAGTGGCTGTAAATGCTTTTCTCGACATTTCACAAGTGTCTCTCATGTTGACTGGATGAAGAATAAAGCGTTTCCAACGCGGTGGGTCAGTCCTTAGTGATTTCCTGAGACTTCATTGGTCAGTTTCACACAAAATGTAGACATGCAAATCCACCAATTACACACAGTGAGAGGCAGATGATGTGTATCTCAACCACTGTTTGTAGTCTCTGAACTCCAGATGTCACAAACGATCTTGCGATAAGATGGAATGGAAAGGGCGACTGTTTCATTCTTTTTTTTATTTTCTTGTTCTGATTTAGTGGCATAGCAGCCTGGGAATGTTGGGCTGAGGGAAGTTTTTTTGCCCATTACAGTATTAGGATCCAGATCCCCGATTCAGTGTTCTTTATACAATGTTTTCTCATATTCTGCCATGTTTTTTTTACTAAAGAAGCAAACGTCCAAAATTGTCTTGACACATCAACCACATTTGGGGTAAGGGCAAAACTGAGTAGCTTAGATTTGAACTATTCTTTCTTACTTTTCAGTTTTTCTCCCCCCTTTTTTGTTTGTTTGAGCTTGAAAGGAGCATCCATGTGTTGGCCCTTTCCAGCTCTTTGTGTTGTTTTTGTTCTTCCCCAAGCAAGCCCACCGGGGGCCCTCAATGAAGATGGTGACCCAGTTCTCTCTTTTGTTCCCCTCGTGTCGAGCGATTACTGGAGCTGAAGTGTGGAGAAGTCTGGCTGACATACGCTTGGCCAAGGCCAGCCTTCCCTGCCATGACATCACTGCTGCCACTGGCCTGCACATTCACTGGCGTTTAGGAAACTCTCTTTTTTCCTCTCTCCTCTCTCTCCAAACCCAACATGCCGTTTTTCCTCGGCTCTCAGACTCTGCCATCATCCGACCCTCGTTTTGTTGGGTTATGAAGAGTGGGCTGCCAGGGCCAGCTTACTGTTTTGGAAATGCCATAAATCTGTGGGCAGCAGCAGCGTTGGCGGTTTGGCAGCTCATGGTTTTCACAGTCGTCCTGCTGGGCAACATGGGAAATGTACTTCCCTGCCGCCTGGGCTGAGGTCACTCCTCACATGTAGGACCTTAACGCTGAGTCACAGAGGAGTGATGTAGAGACAGCTCTTCTGCATAGTAGAATAAGGCTCCACTTCCAGGCTTTCATTTCTGCATAATTTATTCACTACACAACAGTACACAAAGTCATTCAGATTGGTTTGATGTGAATTAGTGAATTGTACAGACATATCTACAATGCAAACATTGCCATTTTATTTACTGTTTAAAATGACCAGTGAACATCTTCTGAGATTTTATATGTAATGCTAATAATTGTAAATAAAAGAAGTAAAAAAATATTTCTTGAAGGACTATTTTGCCTTTCAATTTCTTGCATGTAAATCTTTAAAAAATGTTTTTAGACCAAAAGCCTATCTCAGAACTATTGTAAAACAATATTTTTGACCATTTTGTGTAAAACCTTCTGTCAAGTATCTTTCAGAGGCATTAAACACTTCAGGCATCTGGTTCGTTTCACCACCACTGTGAACAATTTTGACTCTAGATTTCTCTAGATTCTCCACATTTTACATAGTAGCATTCTGAATGACTGGTTACGTCTTAATAATTTAATTATTATTATTAAATTTTGAAAAATCAGAGGATTTTCCTATTAACATTTCAGAACTGAAGGCTGGGTTTACATGGTGCACTTGTACGTTGTGATATGCATGAATCAATATCCATGAAACTTGGCACATTACACAAAGCAGTTCAAAAGTAGTCAATTTCACTAGCAATGCTATGCCACTAGCAAAATTGGTAGCTGTTATTTGTTATATATAATATTGTTCTGTTCACAGATCATAGTAGTTCGTTATGAGCAAACACTTGTGCTTTGTCAAGCTTTACAATGCTTACATGTGTTTGTGGTCATTCTATAGTTTACAGTCTACAGTCTATAAATTTATGGTCTTGGTCTTCTCTCGGTCTTGACGTCATTTAAACTCGGTCTGGTCTTGGTGTAAAGTGGACTCAAGACCAGCCCAACTGCAATGCCTCCATCTGAGGTATTTGGAAACTGACCTTTTTTCTAACATTACTAAATATCAACAAAACCTTCAAACACAATAAAACAATTCTTTTTCTTTACTTGTTTAAAAAAAATGTACTGAGGATATATCCTTCCATGATGGCCTAACTGGTTATTATTTGTTTGTTGATGTTCAGTGGTTGCATAATTCAAAAATCCCCTGAGGGCTTGTTTTTTTATTGTTATTATTACTACGGCTTCTTCCAATAATAAATATGGATGTATGTTGTTTGGTTTATACTCAGTTGACCTTAGGTGGTGACTTCTGAATAAGCTTTAGAGAATATGTCATGTGTAATGAATGTACAATGAACTATGAATTAATTTCATTTTTTCCCTTTTTATTCGTTTTATATGCTAAAAAAATCTTAATCTGGTCTCAATCTTGACAGACTTTATGTGTCCAGGTATCGCCATAGACTGGGACTCGCCTCTGCTTGTCTCGAACCTGATCTTTTTCTCATTATCCTCTTATTTGTGCTCCCTCACTCTTAGAATGGCTACACGCCTCTGCACATAGCTGCCAAGAAGAATCAGATGGAGATTGCCACCACACTGCTTGAGTACGGAGCAGACACCAATGGCATTACCCGGCAGGGTGTCAGTCCTCTTCACCTCGCCGCCCTGGAGGGCAATATGGACATGGTCACCCTCCTTTTGGCCCGCGATGCCACCATCAACCTTGGCAACAAGGTGAGTGCATTCCACAAATTCTTACTACAGAATTAAATACTTATTATAATTTATTGTCCTTTTTTGTAATAAAATAATTAAGTGTAATGTGTAAAATACACTATTTAGCCAAAAGTGCTAATTATTAAGTTCAGGTGTTGTAGGAGAACGCTACCTACCTGCTGTTTTTTAGGGTTTGGGCCTCTGAGTTCCAGTGAAGGGTGATGTTAATGCTACAAAACATTTTAGACAATTATAATCCAGCTTTGTGGCAACAGTTTGGAAAATTCCATTTCCTGTTCCAGCATGACTGTGCCCCTGTGCACAAAGTGAGGTTCATAAAGATATAGTTTGATGAGTGTGGTGTGGAGGAGCTCCAGAACACCTTTGGGGTGAATTGTAACATCAACTGTGAGCCAGACGTTTTTGTCCAACATGAGTGCCTCACCTCTTAAAGGCTCTTTCAACTGATTAAGCACAATTTCCACAGACACACTTTTTTAAATCTTGTGGAAAGCCTTGTCAGAAGAGTGTAGGCCCTTATAGCTGCAAAGATGGGGCCGACTCTATATTAATGCCCATGGTTTTGGAATGGGATGTCCAGCAAGCTCATATATGTGATGGTCAGTTGTCCACAAACATTTTTCTTCTACAATTAGCTATTTTTGTCTGCAACCGCATTACTATTACAAAAATCGCAGAATGCAAACCTGTCTTGGATTTCTAAATGGTAAAATGGTTTGTCTTTATGTGTTTCAGAGTGGGCTGACTCCTCTTCACTTAGTGTCACAGGAGGACAAAGTGAATGTGGCAGAAGTACTGGTTAACCATGGCGCCGTAGTAGACCCTGAGACCAAGGTACACTGCAGGACTTAATGTGCCTTTTTTAGTGACAAAAGCAATCGCAGCCATCCAAAATCCAGACCTAGCAGCTAATGTGAACTACACTAAAACCTCACACAGGGGAAAACTCTGAATGATAGCAGCACACATACACTCAGAGTCTGGCCAGTGCCCTCACGCCTTCCTGCAGGTTGTTCATGCATAAACAAGGAGCTGCTGAAGGTCACTGGGTGCAGCTCTAGCCAGAAGGAGAGAGCGAGTCATGCGGCCAGTGCACCGATCAATAACTCCACAGACCACAGAGTACATGCTCGCTCAGAGCTTTCCACACAGCCACACAGAAGCACAATGAGATTAAGGAAGAAAAGGAAGTCAACAGAATAAAGTTAAGCCTTCATAGAGCACTGAAGATAAAAGGTGAAATCAAAGTAAGGGTGAGATTAAAGTGGCCTAACACCATGTGCCTTCAATGGCAAGGAGAGGTTTGCAATTATGTTATGCTTTATTGACGCTACAAGGGAAGTTTGTCATTTTGCTGCCTACATATACACAGTCCAGAAGCAGCACAGCCTGATCGGTGTGTATATGTATCAGGCATAACATTATGACTCCTTGTTTCTACGCTCATTGTCCATTTTATCAGCTCGACTTACTATATAGGTGCACTTTGTAGTTCTACAGTTACAGACTGTAGTCTATATGTTTCTCTGCATACTTTGTTAGCCCCCTTTTACCCTGTTCTTCAGTGGTCAGGACCCCCGTGGACCCTCACAGAGAAGGTACTATTTGTTAGTGTAGTGTGTGTTGTGCTGGTACGAGTGGATCAGACACAGCAGTGCTGCTGGAGTTTTTAAACACTGTGTCCACTCACTGTCCACTCTATTAGACGCTCGTACCTTATCAGTACACCTTGTAGATGTAGTCAGAGACGATAAATCATCTGCTGCTGCACATTTTGTGTTGGTCATCCTCTAGTCATTCATCAGTGGTCACAGGATGCTGCCCACAGGGACGCTGTTAGCTGGATATTTTTGGTTGGTGGACTATTCTCAGTCCAGCAGTGACATTGAGGTGTCACTCAGAACTACAAAGTGCACCTATATATTAAGTGGAGCTGATAAAATGGATAATGAGCGTAGGAACAAGGAGGTTGTCATAATGTTATGCCTGATCGGTGTATATATATATATATATATAGAAGAAGAAAACCTCATATCTCCATTTTTGTTTTTCCATTTTTTACATAATTTGAAAATGCCTGTTGCTCCTTACATTGTATGTGAATTTCATGAAGAATGGACCAAAAGAAATTAAAGTAGGTTTTTTCCTTTTGCTGTAAAATTATGATTTATGGAGATACAAGGTTTTCTTCAGACAACAGCGATATATATACGTACACATATATATATATATATATATATATATATATATATATATATATATATATATATATATATATATACGTATACACACAAATATGTACATGACTCTGCCTTCGGTGCATCTGTGATGCTTCTTTCAGTGGTCATCTCTACATCCTAGCTGAAGTAATTACTCTGATCAAGTGACCGTTAATGGTAAATATTTTCCATGTCAGTCTTTTGGTTATTGGAAATCACTTTATTAACTCCAAGACAGTAGTTTGACAGTGGTGGACAACACAAACGGTTAATAAAAATTAAAGAACAGTGAACAGACATGAGAGTGGTGTAAAATTGGAGAGGAGCAATATAACGGAATTGGAAGCTTCTTGCATTTGTGTATGTTATATGATGTGTTTCAGGCCATTAAGAAGCTATTTTAGCTTAGTAAATGCAAGATTCATTGTGTACGCAGTGACAGGGTGTAGAAGAAGAAGAGAGGTTCACTAAGTGAATGATATTATCTCTTGCTCTCCGTCTCTCTCTCTCTGTCTTTCTCTGTCTGCAGACGGGGTACACTCCACTGCATGTTGCCTGTCACTATGGCAATGTGAAGATGGTGCACTTCCTCCTGAAGAACCAGGCTAAAGTCAATGCTAAAACAAAGGTGACTAGAAATTACAGCACCCTTGCAAATGTATACGACATTTACTCAGTTACACACAGAAGTTTGGGCACACCCGATCAAATTACAAAAGTAAGTTAACACATCCTCTAAGGAACAATTTGGTGCTGGATTTGGAGTTTTTCAGACCATGTCATACGTCTTTACAGAAAAGCATTACACACATAGACTCAAAAAGAAGGTTCAGCTCAATTATTGGGTCTTAAATGCAAAATCTAAATTATACTGATGACAATATGATGATAGTAGAAAATTTACTATTTTTAATATTAACTATTTTAATATTTACATCCTTAGAAGACGTGATGCTCACCAAGTTTTGAGAGTTCTCTTTGAATCCTCTTTCAACACACTCACAATTGTAAGGTTAATCTTCTCAGGAAAGGGGTCCGAAGAACAACCAGTGTTGTAAAAGAGCTCTTCAAATTCCCAAATCTTACATAGTGAAGCTTAAAGTTTTTCCCTGTAGAGGATGTGTTTTGAACAAAACATGTCATTTGACCAGGGGTGTTCAAACCTTTGCATATGACTAAATGCTCATACTAATTTGTGGTGTGACTGTGTGTTTATTTTAGAATATTAAAGGTCTTTTCTGCTCTCTGTTTGTCTGTTGTGTAGAATGGGTACACGCCCCTGCACCAGGCTGCACAGCAAGGCCACACACACATCATTAACCTCCTGCTGCAGCATGGAGCATCCCCCAACGAACTCACAGTGGTGAGTGTTTGTGGCTTTGTAACTAGCAGCTGAGATTCAGCAGAACTTTTCAGAACAACACAAGCCATTCCATACAGAAAATGTACATATTGCACACATCTTTACGTGGACTTGAAACCTAGCACTCTTTGTGTTAACCTTTTTTTATATAGTAGTTTATTGGATTTTTTCTTTTTTCTGCAGAATGGAAACACGGCTTTGTCCATTGCCAGGCGGCTGGGTTACATCTCGGTGGTGGACACTCTCAAGGTTGTGACGGAGGAGACTCTGACCACACTGGTGAGACTCCAGGAGACATTATACATGACTACAGCACATTTACCTTCTAGTCAGCTCTTTTAGCAAACTTTTTAGTCTTGAGAGCTTGAGATTTGGATCAAATTCAGGTATATATTTATCTGGCAGAAATCTGTGTCTAAAATGTTTTTTACAAACTGAAGTGATGTGGACCCATATCAGTCAGTAGTGTGTGACCTGAAGGATCATGTCTTAAAGAATATGGTTGGTTGGCACAGTGTTGATTTCAGGGTTTTTTAGCTATTCAGCTTTCATTTGCTGCTAGTTGTGTTATATTTCATATGTGAAGTGTGTATAAACCACGTTTTTATGAGTGTTCACACGTTTTTTCACATGTAATCCCATTTTTCCATGTGATAACACATTTTTAGTATGTAGAGTGTGCAAAAAACATGTTTATTCACATGTGAAATGTGTGTGTTTTTTCTGTAAGTGCTAATGTATGAAATGCCTGATAAAACACAATTTGTGCCAACAAACCCCTCTCTCCCATGCATCAAAACATCTTTGGAAACACACCATATTGAAAAATAATGGCTAATATCACCTCGCTCATAGACGAGAACGCCATTGTTATTCCAGTGGTGCTATCACCATGGTAACATATACATGTCTGCATGTCGCTATCGGTCATGTACCATTGCTGTTCTGCACTTGTTTCAGCACCAACATATAAAAATACTTCATCTTTGTTTTCTCTTTCACTGATTTTAGACAGTGGAATCAAATTACGATCATCATCCTGTTTTTGAGAAATTCAAATAGTAAGAAGAGTAAACCTGCATACATTGAAATGATATGAAAAATGGTTACTTTTGTTAATGCAAATTGAAACAGAACGACATAAGAATTTCTTATGACAATCCCCTGTTGAGACCAGTTGTTTGAAAATGAGCATCACTGCCTAAACTCGGCTGAAAGAAGCAGAAATACTGGAAGAAGGAGCTGTCGCTTTTTTTTTTTTTTGGCAAACAGCAGGCCACTGAGGTCCAGTTAAATTCAGCCATGCCAGAACAACCTTTCAAAAACTGTGAGGACATCAAGGCAAAGCTGTTTCATTTGTTTAGTAACGTTGCTCTTTTGCAGACGGTAACCGAGAAGCATAAGATGAATGTTCCAGAAACAATGAACGAAGTTCTGGACATGTCCGATGACGAAGGTGAGCTTTTTTGTCACACAGTCAAGCTATAACCACTTCTTTCTTCATTATTGTATTATTGTTTTATATTATTTTGATGCTTTAATTATTTTTATGCCACTTTCATTTTTGTTGATCCACTTACATGGATATTACTTCTAACACCTCATGTTTAAATTGTACAGTTTGTAGAGCCAATGTACCCGAAATGCTCAATGAGGACTATATTTCAGATGTTGATGAAGGTATTTTTGAGTTCATTTTATTAGTCTTTGAAGCTGTTATGTAGATGCTCTGAGCTTTTGTGTTCTCTTCTCCACTTACCTAAAAACTAACCAAATTTCTTCACTCACTGTCCCACGCTTTGTTGTCACGGGTGCTTTTCTGCTTGTTGTGCGCCCGATGTGGCATAGTCCTGGTTGCTAGGCACACCCCACTTGAATATGAAATGCTTGAATATGCAAATATTGCTTTTGTGCTGTACACGTTAAATCTCGCAGCTGGGGTTTCTTTAAAACTGTATTTGGGAGCGATTGGGATTGCACTCACGTATCCACTCTGTAAACACTGACTCAATAGGCAAGAGTGTTTTCTTAGGGGAAAATAAGGCCAGGCTTTGAAGGACTCGCCTATGGACAAAGTCGCCTATATGTTTGTTTGGCCACCTTGGCTCTGGCTCATTCTGTAGCCAACAGTGGAATAGGAGAGAGAGTTAAGTAGCAGCACTCATCCTGTCATTTAACCCAAGCTTAGCCTTAATTAGTGTTACTTGTTGTACTCTGTTTGCGCGATATTACGACTTTCCCAAACTGTCATGTTTTAAGTAAGTGTTACACATTATTTAAATGTGCTTACAGAAGGACTTCATAACACTTGCGCAAGCATTGAATAACGTGTTTATAAAGCTATACTTGAATATGTTATATGGTTATGGTCTTGCAAATTTATTAAAAAATATCTTTTAAATATATTTTATCATTTGTACACTAGAAAGTCTTTTCATACAGTCATAAGTGTCCTCTTAGATCACATGACTGACCTATGTCCTTTTTCTGCCAAACAAGTTATGTGAATTTTGTTTGACTAACATTGTTAAAAGCTAACAAATGCCTTCTTCAGCTCACATGATTTGTTTGTAAATACAGTGTCATGCAATTTATTTATACACTTTCAAACACAATAGTTAATGCAATTAGTCATCAGTTGTTTATGAGTTCTGATTAACAGGACATGAAAACATGTACATAACACATAGCATATGAGTACACTTGCAACTGAAATGTGCAAGGGAATGTATGTTCAAATGAAAAAAATGAAATTTACTAACATTTACTACCATAACAGTTACTACTAACATTACTACCATAACAAGTATTACTTGTTCATATTGCTTAATTAAGATGTCAAGTATGCTTGTAACTGAAAGATTACAAAAATTAACATGTAACGCATTAGACAGTAATGAGTTACATGTTAAGGTTCAGGTTGTAGGTTCAAATCCCAGGACCGAGTGCGTATACCTGGTTGAGCCCTTGTGCAAGGCACTTAACCCCTGTCCACCCACACCACCACCCTGCTGGCGATGCTGACTTCCCAAACTGGGCATAGTTAGACAGCAAAATGATAAATTACATCCCTTGTGGGGTCCCTTGTACATTACCCTTTCCCCCTCGAGTCTAGACCTAGAAAGGGAGGTCCTAGCCACCAGGTGAGAATTGGCAATGACTGTGTTGGAAGAGGACCTGAGTAAAAAGCAACATTCAATTTATTTATTTATTTATTTATTTATTTATAAGCTTAAGTTTTTTGAGTAAGCTCAAACTGTAGATGTAACTGTAGATACAGTACTAAAAAATGAGAGTTTAGTTTTTGACTAAACTAGACTAAGTTTAGATCATTCAAAACAGCTGTTCAGCAAGTTGCCTTATAATTTTAAGCTCAATTTCAATATTTTATAGTGAGTACTTAGCTAGGACTCACACAAAGAAGTTCCGTTATTTGGGATTGATGCCTCATAACTATGTTCCCCAACTGTCTAAGGTTTTGTCCTGTCATCTGAAAATAGTGAAAGTCAGTAATTATCTGTGTTTTATCTGTGTTGTTTTTGCTTAGTTGTCTTTTTTGGCCAACCCATGTGGACCATTCTGCTGAATTGGTTCAAAATCAGAGTTGAAGTCATTTCGTTCTTTAAACTGACTCAGACTTTAAACTAAAATGCTTTTGCTTTGAATGACCCTATACCTTAGTTATGTTTACTAAAACAAATTACTGAACATTCCATTTTGCCACTACTAAGACAATCATAACACTGCTAAACTTTACCAAATGTTTTAGTAGTGACTGTTTCAGTAGTGACAATTTTATCTAACTTTGAGCATAAGTCAAAAGCGCTAGCCAGTACATGACTAACAAACACAGCTTTGAACAGTTGTACACACACAAAATCATAATATTTTCCATTAAAACATATAAAGGTTTACTTCATTGCAGAAAATATGTGTTATTTGTCAGTAGTGAAGTAGTGAAAGTTGTTACACACTGATTCTCAGACTTTGGGACACATTTACTTCAAAATAATGAGATCTAACTGCTCACCATGTAGTCATGAGGGACATGGATGCAGCCTCACCTCCTGCTCTAAAATGCAGGGGTGTGGCTAAAATAAATCTCTGCTTGTGGAGTTTCATAGTGACCTGAAACCATGGAACAGTATTTTTTTTTTAGTTAAATCAAAATCTTTTAACTTTAAACAAATGAAAAGATATAAAAAAATAAAAATTAAGTACTATTTTTTAAAATTTAGGTGTTAGGGTTTGGGACAGCCACCTCCCAATAGAAAATACCCTATAAATGATGATTGGGTTTAAGTCAGTCATAACAAAATCATTGTGCATATCTAAGGTCTGAATACTTGTTTTTTAAATAGTTTTTTTTACTGTGGGACTGCAGTTTGAACTAACTCAGTAGAATGGTCCATATATGGGTCAGGCTCCAGTATGTGCATGTTCATGTATGTATACATAGAGTATGGTGTGGGGTCTAGTTAATGTCAACTGACACTTCGGCATGCTCCCATAACTCAGATAGCTTCTTATTTACACATTACTCCCTGGCCCAAAATAAACTCGCTCACATGAGCACAGTCAACCTTTCGGACATTAACTCTGGATCCATTAGAGCAAATGCTTTGATAGATTTCCTGAATGCTAGAAGCAGGCTGATGATTACTTTTAGAAGACGTACTAATTTGGCGCTAAAAAGTGTTTCACAGTTGCTGCAGCTACGTAGCTACCTGGCCTATGAACGTGAACAGCTGTGTCTTGTCTCTCTGTCACTGGGCTGTGGTAGAGCTCTTTTTAGAGGAGTGTGATCCAGTTGAGTGAGTGCCAGCGTTTTTTAGCTGGCAGAACCTGCAGTGATCAAACTGCCAGCCACTTCTCAGGCTCCTTGTAATGTCTTCAGCAGATGTTGCATGAGATCATGTGAACTTAGAGGAAGCCTCTGTGATCATGAACCGATGAAGGGTTGATATGGTAATGATGGGTTAATGATGCCTTTCTCTCATTTATGGTCAGGATTCATACAAGTCAGGGGTCAATGACCTGAACATTTCTCCCAAGATGTCCCAAGGAACACAGTGTAAAATAGTTGTGTGGTATAAAATTGGGTGGCATATTAAACATCCTGCAGTTTGAAAGTTTGAAAGACAAGATAAATAATAAAACACAGCTTAAAAACTGAGAACCGTCTGGGTGTGACCTAATATTCTGATGAGCATGTGTGATTGACATCGGTCGAGTCGAGCCTGCTCTGTCACTGACGCAGACCTAAACACAACAGCACAAGTGGAAATGAATAAAACAGGCTCTACATATACAGCTCATGTTTTAGACTATCCTTGCTGTGTTCATGATTCACTAAAAACATTATCCAGCTTTTATATGGTGACGCCTTAACGGAACGTAAGCTTATTATTTGCTTTACTGCTGGATGTGCGGCTTTTGCTTGGTTGTTAGCTTTTTCTCTCCATGTTTATGGACTCCCAGAGAAACTTTAAGGGAGCACAGTTTTAATAAAGCTGTGTGGGTCAGCCTTGTAATTGATGAGGATATTATTTACAAACACATGACCCTAGATTAGGACAGCCCCATTTACATCGAAAGAGGAAAATTACAGTGAATTACATAAGCCAGTTGTTGGTCATTGGGAAGTTTCACAGGACATACTTTGTATATACTTATTGTGTGCCCACATAAGCAAGATTAGCCTTAAAACAAAGATTTATGTTCCATAGGGCTTCGCTTACTGATGTTCATTCATCTTTGATTCAGCTTATATAGGTGTTTTGCCGTTCGTTCCTCAGGTTGTCAGCAACCCAACACTTATCTTACATAAACAGATCTGCGAAAAAACAGATCTAAGCATTAGCCCAATCGTTTCAGTCCCCGCATGCTGCAGCCATCCGTGGCTGGGAGTTCAAGAGAGCAGAATTGGTCTCTCTCTTTCTGGGTGGGTAGGATCAGGGTTTGAATTGAGGGTGGGCTGGGGACCTCCCATAAGAGTAACTGAGCTGGTGGGGTCCCGTGTTATTTCCTTGATTACTCCCTCTGGATAAATTGTAAACTCGCTCCGCACAAATTCTTTACATTTATTTGATAAATTTGCTTAAAACTTGCTGTATTTGCATCCTCAAGGATCATTAGCCCCTTGAACTGCAGCACACTTCAGTTCCTCACTCTCATAATCTATGCATTCATTTCATAGGAATTACTGATTCATATACAAATATAGTGAATAAATACAAGTGAATAACAAGTCTTAAGGTTAATAACTAAATATATGACTGCAGCTTAAGAGCTTTGAAAGCAAAATCAGCTCCTGTATGTGTAGCTGAAGTTTGGACTCTTGGACTCTCGTGCGGTCTTTGGCCTATAATAAAGGGGCCGCAGTTAGGTGGCAGTCGGTGTGTCCCTCCCACACGGCTGTGTGTCCTCCTGCCAGTAAAGGGGATCTTTTTGTTCCCCTTCTGTTCCTCAGAGTCAGATTACGGAGTACACCTAAGACTCAGAGGCATAGAAATCCCCCCCGACACACTCACTGCCCCCCGACCTCATCCTCCACACACAGCAACTCTCTATTGTGCTGGGGTACAAGGGGCTGGTGTCCAATCCCAAAGCTGAGGGGGTGGGAAAGGGGGGGCATTACTGGAGTGTCCTGGAACATTATGCTACTACTGCTGTGAACTCCCGCCTAGTCGTCAGCAGCTGGGGGGGCGGGGGGTGGGGGGGAGTGTTCCCGTGCATGTGTTCGTGAGAGAGTGCGCTCAGAGCAGCAGAACAAGCGGGTAGTTTCAGGTGGTCCGTGCAGGAAAGTGGGACATGCGGATGTTTGGGGATTTTTCATCTGATCTGATTGCATGGATTTGAAGCTGCCCAGCCAGAGTAACTTTTTATCCTGAGGACACATGGAATGAACGGAGCAGGAGTGGATTTTCAGACCTGTTGAAAACGGTGGAGGAAAGCACCATGGCTGCTCAGATGTGTAAGAGAACACCGCAGAGTTAGTGCCACTGTCACTGGGTTTGTTTTTAAGCCCAACATATGCGTGATAGATTTAGCAGCGCAGCACAGGCACGGCAGCCCGAGCGAGGGAAAGCTGATCTCAGAGCCGTTCACTCAGAAAAGTTTTGCTGACACTGTCGAGTTTGCGGTTTGAAAAGAAAGGCTATTCAGAGGGCTAGTCAATGGTATGTGTTTTTCTTTTTCTTCTTTAATGCAGGCAGTTAGGGCTTACGGGCGGGGGGGGCTACATTCTTTTATGAGGCATATACATAGTTTAGGGGATAAAAATGTGTGTGTCAGTTATGGTACAGCAGTAGTGGTTTGACGGGGAGGGGTTGCCGTGGTAATAAGCAGCGGGGGACGGGGAAGCATTGTCACTGCTGGAATGCTGTCCAACCCTCCTCAATTTCTCTCTCTCTCTCTCTTTCTCTCTTTCTCTTGTCTCTAGTGTGCACTTGCTGTAGCTCTTCTCTTTTAACCGTGCTAGGCTGTTTACTAGTCCTGAGCTTTAAGAGTGAACAATAGTTTGCTTTTCTCAAACTCACACTTAATGTCTTCTGTTTATGATCTTCTTTATGGTTTCTACCTGCCTGCTCTCTCATACTGTATAAGCAGAGATTCTTAGCTTTCCATCAGGAGAGTGTACCGATTTTACTGATTCACCAATTACTTCGGAATGTGTTAGTCATTCAGAGTGGTTTTATGTGAAATGCACCAGCTAAAGAAACTTGTCAGTCAAAATTGTTCACAGTGCTGGTGATAGGAACCAAACCATGCATCTAAAAGATACATCACAGAAAAATTTACACAAAGTAGTTACAAATATGTTGTGTTTTGAGACATTGAGACAATGTTTTACTATAGTTTTATGTTAAGGTTTTGTCTAAAACATATTTTTTCAATACATCTGTTGTTGAAAGTTGCAAGGATTGTGTAACAAAAAAATTCACAAAGAAAACGCTTTACAGATTTACCACTATTTTACTGTTACCACCATTTCGTATAAATATACAGTTATGTGCAATTGTTTGGGTGCCCTGGTCCAGTGACATGTTCTCTTGAGTTTCTAATTAAAATAAGCACACATCACATCACAGTTACTTTTTATGTGTTGAATTGAACAGAACATTTTTTCTCGTATGTTAACCTTAGCAAATAAATAGACATAGGGCAGGGGAATTAGCAAGAGAATGCCATATTGAAGTTCACTGTAGATTATGTGCTAAGTTATTTTCACTTAGAATATCAACAAAACTTGTAATTTGATGGGTGTTCAAACTTTTGCATACAACTGTAGGTTCACTGTAGTTTTGGATAATAAATAAAATGGCTATATTTATAGTTATAGATACTGGTTCCGACCACCACCACTGTAAAGAAATCTGAGTTGATAAGTGTCTCTACAGTGAACCATTTCACATCACACCACTCTGCGTGACTATGTTTGCATTTCAATATTTCTGTTATGCAGAAAATTAGAAATATCTGTAGATTCCCTTTTCAATAACTACAGTATCTGAATTACTCTCCATTTTTTGATGGAAATGGTATATTTTGTTAAAAATGGATTTACATAATCTTTTTTTGGTGTCTGAAGTTTACTTCCTTTTTTTGCATTGGAGCAATGAAGCTAATGTAGTTAACAAGGAGTGAAAGCGTGTACACCACCAGTTAACATGCATGCCTAAAACATCATGCATTCACCTCAAACTGGGTTGTGTTGAGTTAGTTTTAAACAGTTTTACAAAGAAGACTTGAATAGACTTGCTTATGTAGTTTCTGATGTATGACATAAAATGATCTATAACTATACACAAAAGTACAGACAAAATTTAGGATTAGGGTTAGTGAATGTAACTGCTACATGATTTAAGGTGGAACGGGAAATCTTTATACACAGTACAAGATGGAATTCATTGATTTCAATCAACTAGGGCTTTATAACTTGAGGTGATGGCCACTGGTTTAACCCCAAAGTTACTGCAGACATAAACTGAGATGTAACATTTAAACAGTTTGACTGAGTGTTCTTGTATTTATATGTGTTGGTTTATACATAACTCACAGTAACCGGCCCTAAAATGCTACCAATCCACTGGGAATTGTCTTGACTCTCCCCATTGCCCACTCTGGCATTACTACTAGGCCTTTAATGCCATCTGCTTTTGTATAGTATGTTATACTGTGCCAAAAAACACACAAGCACGTCTATTTCAGATGATGTAGTAACTCCAAGCAAGGATGTGATGATTTAAGCATGCTGTTTACACAATGCTAATTGGTGGAACATACGTTTCCATTACTAAATTAGATTTTTTCATCAAACTGTTCCTTTAATGTTAAAGCTAGGAGAAAATAAAGCGGTTCTTACAGCCTGTGGAGTGCCTTATACAGATGAGTGTAGTAAACTAGTGGACTTGAGTGATCATCAGCTTTCCCCTCAGGGAGGAAACCCTCTAGGCTCTGTACTGACTCTGACTGTGTGTACCAGGTGAGGATGCGATGACAGGGGACACGGATAAGTACCTGGGACCTCAGGACCTGCGCGAGTTGGGTGATGACTCACTGCCTCAGGAGGGTTATGTGGGCTTCAGCATTGGAGCCCGTACTGCGAGGTAATGACCTATACACACACGTTCACCACTATTTAAACAAGTACTCTTGCTCTGATGTTGCTTGTGTTGGGTGTGTTGACTGTAAATGTCTTGAAGTTTGAAGTTGGAGATGTTGTTTGGTTTGCTGTCTAACTCAAATGATCCGATGATGCACAGTTTAATAGCACAGTAATCAGCAGAGTGCTGTTTTAAGTGCAATTTCATAATATGCAGGCTTCGTTAAGACAAAGTAGAACTTGACATGGGACAGTCAAAATTTCGTATCATGATGTCAGTGCCAAAATTATTACAGGTTTGACTTCTTTGGAAAATTTCCCCTTTAAAATTATAATCGATTTTAAAATCTGAAACATTATTACCATTCTGTTTTATACTGCGATATATCATTAAAACCAGTAACTGTCCCATCCTTAGATGTGACTGTGCTCAAAGACCTTAGCGACTCTGTTGTACCTGGGAACCATAGACGCAGCACGAGCAGTCACATCCCTCCTATAAATCATCTATGAATCAGACCAAAACCTGAATGGATAAGATTCATCCTGTTATCTTTGTAAACCCAGGTCTTTTTTCCTGAGTCCTGGCTGACTGGCAGCCTGGCCAGTGTTTGCAGTGTGTCATGCGTGCTGTCCAAGCCTGGATCAATACTATGCACCAGGGTCACATGGAGGCTAATGTTTAACCTACATGTGGCTAGCTGCAGGGGATTTTCCCCCGCAATGTACAAAAAAAAACTTTTTATGCCGTCTGATACTTCAAATGAGTTTATTGAACATGTAAGCCTTGCACATGTATGCAGGCCAACAGGATACAAGAACCACTGCCCCAAGCATTCATTAGCAACTGAGAAATGTCACTTTCTTGTTGGTTTTGTTTAAATGAAATCATATTGTAGTTAAATGCTTGGGTCAGTGAGAGCTTGGTTTTAGTCTTTCCTGTATGATGCTGAGGAGCTCACTCCTTCCTTTCAACTCTCTTTTTAGCAGCATCGACCAGGCGCCTGCTTGCATTGCATGCTCTCAGACAGCACGGCACACCTCCTCTTTGTGAGCACTGGTTTGACCATAACTGCACAATCGCCCTGGGCAACCCGTGTAAGATTGATGTCTGGCTCAAACAGGGATGCTGTACATTGCATACTGTTGCGTCATGTTTAAAGGAAATGTTTAGTTTGTCAGAAATCTAATTTGCACAATTTTCCCCTCAACCTGCCTGAATCAGCCATGGAGTCTTGAAGTTTGTTTCACACTGGAGCTACAAGGCTAATGTAGCTAACAAGTAATAGAGGCTTGGAATGGTCAGAAATGGACAGATGTCAGACAGCATTTAGAGTGCTACTGCTGTTTGTTTTTACTGTTTGTTCTACAATTGTTTTTTTTTCCTATTACCTTGTAGTATTTCAAGTTTCATTAATAAGTAATAATAGCAAAAACACCAATAAAATTAACAATAAGGTTTTAAAATCCTTTTATTTACTCTTTAAAAAGTTTTATTTATTCTTATACAGTATAGATAATGTTCAATAGAATGTAAGTGAAAATGAAATTAAAGGTGTTGATAGTTACAGCCCTAAACTCAACACAGTTTGAGGCAAATGTTTAGAACAGTAAGTCACAGTACCTTTGTGTTAGTGGAATTTTATTCATTAGATTATTCAATAGAATTTGCCGCAGTGTGTGGTTTCGCATCTGAAGTGAAAACATTTTGCAAGCAAAACTTTACACAGAGTTGAAACTTTACACTTTCTTGACCTGTAAGTGGCCCATATACTGGTGCTGAAGATCCATATTCCCTATTGGAGATAAATAAACACATAAAATAGAGATATACCATTAGTCGACAGACTGACTGTGTTATCTCTACTTATGTGATTTTACTGGTTATCATAGGCGAGTTAGCCAGCTTGCTGACTGCTAGGTTAGCTGCTTGGCTAAGCGCAGCTGCACATATTAGCCACCCCTCTGCCACCATCGCATCAGTTACCTACTGTTCAATGTGCAGCACTATATTGTTGCGAATATACACTTACGTGGTGTAATTCTGTTCATCTTTATGTTTTTACTGTTAGTTCGCTAACTTGCTATCCACACCAAATGGAAGGTGTCTCAGTCCAGCCTAGGTCACGACCATTTCAGAAGGTGACAAAATACTACAAATGTCTAGGGTGGTTGCAGCTTAAGCATGCAGTGTACACAAGGCTGACTGATAGTATTTTAGCTTCCATTGCGTGTTAGATGCATTAGCCTTATAGCTGTAGTTCAAAACTAAAGAACCAAACTTGTCTTGGTTGATCAGCTACATTTCAGGTAAGGGAAAATTGTGCAAATTTGATTTTTTTTGCCAAACTATTCCTTTAAGGCCCAATTAAACCACAAGCATTTCACCAGAGGTGCCAAGCATTACGAGGTCTGATAGCAAACTGCAATGCAACGGCAGAGCATTACAGGCTGTCATTCAACCACTGCATTTTGCCCGCTCTCTCTCTGATTTGTTACTTTCGATCTCCTCTGTTCCTCCTCTCGCCATACCAAATTCCCACCATAGTCCTAAAGTCAGGTAAGAGGGCATGGCTGTTCCCCACATGCACAGACATTGATGTGGCCCCCTCGACTCATTACTTCATGGAACACTGTCTTGTGATGTGCTTCATGTTGCTGTACATTTCACTGAAGATTTAAAAAGCTGCAGAGAGCTTGCTGACAAGCGTCTTAAGGCTTTGCTTTGCAACTTTTTTGGGGGAAATTTATGCTGTTCTTATCTGTGGATTGCAGCTTCATTTTTGTTTTAGATTTTAAATTCTGCTTAATTTAATCTCTCAGATGTAAACAAAGGCATTCAGAGTGGTTTGATGTGAAGTGGTGGATTGTAGAGAAACTCTTTAGAGTGGTGATAATAGGAATCAATGCCTCAGGCATCAAGCAACATATTAGTAACAATTTCATATAATAGCTTTCTGTAAGGGAGCTTTCAGAGTGGTTTATTGTGAAATGCTCTGTTGTGACATTTCAGAGAATTGTTCCTGGTGATGGTGATAGGAACCAGACATCTGAAGCATTTAATGCCTCTAAGGTTGGCTTTACATGGTGTAATTGTAATGCAACTTTAGTTGCTTGAAACCTACGTGAAATTAATTGAGATACATAATGTAACACATTAGAAACTCAGCAGCAATAGTTGCATCTCCAGTTCATGAAACAAGCTTTTGAACTGTTTTTTAACTGTCAAGTTGCACAGAAATTATATTGCATGCAACACACAACATGCAACTAGTTGCGTGAAGGTTTCACCATGTAAAGCCAGCCTTAGAGGAATTAAATGCTTCAGACGTCTGGTTCCTTTTACCCCCACTGTGAACAACTCTGACTCTGTAAGTTTCACTAGAATGGAACATTTCGCATCAAACCACTCTCAATTACTTTGTTTACATCTTAATTATTCATCTTTTGCAGAAATTTTGAAATTCCCCTTTAAGTTTTACTGTGTTGTGCTTGGCCATAAAATTATTTCGCAACTCCTGCAAGGTCTGTGCTGATCATTTTAGTTTCATGGAGTGGCTTGCTTCCTTAATGTGGCTTCCAGGGATCCATAGAGTTTACAGACACTAAAATACAAATAGCTGTTTTCTCCATTTCATAAACTAGATATTTATGAAGAGATACTGCATTCGTGGCAAGCACAACCTGAACTTACAACTAGGAATCGCCTCATGTTGATTGCCATAGCACAGTGCTAGCACATACCAAACATGTACAGCATGTAGGCCAGTCTAGCGCAAAGCTACCGGCTCAGTGGGCTTTTTTTTTTAACGAGAGGCCGAGTCTTCCTTGCAACTGAGAATAGCAATCTATGCCAGTCAGGATTCTGTAATAGAATCCAAGAATATGCTACTACCACTTGTTCTCTTTCACATCTGTTTTGACGTTTTTCAAGTGCAATTATTCCTTGTGTGGGAAAGAAGAGATAATTGTGTGACGTACTCACAAGGCTCATGCATCATATGTATGCACTGTAAAAATTAAGTCAGGTCAACTTAAAACTGTAAAGGGCCCATATAATGGAAACCATTAACTCACCAGTCCATACAGTCCATATATGAAAACTACACTGTAAAAACAGTCTGGTTTGACTGTTTTTGTGATGTCATGAAAAAACAACATGTTTTTTTGCCCAGGTTTGGGCACCCCTGGTCAAACTACATATTTTTGTTTCTACGTGAACATAAGTTAGCACATCCTTTACAGAGAACACACTTCTACACATTCTTAATGCACAGTTACTGTTTATTTGCTGCAATTAACATAGTGGGGAAGAAATAAAACATTTAACAAAATTAAATGTGGCCTGTTACAGCCACCCGTGGCCGGGAGTCCAAGAGAGCACAATTGGCCTCGCTCTCTTTGGGTGGTAGGATGGTGGTAGGATGGCCCTCCCTCTCCCTCGTCACTTGGCGTGATGCTAGCCAGTGCAGATATCTGATAGATTTTGTAACAGAACTGGCGGTTAGTGCTCTCCTCCAAATGCGCTCAGCTGTCCAAAGACGTTGCACTGCACATGTCTCGGAGGAAGCTTGTGTTTGTCTTCGCCCTCCTAGCGCTGGTGGTATCGTGTGATTGGGGAAGTCCTAAGTAGTGGGTGGAATTGGAAACGACTAAATAGAGAAGAAAATATGAAAAAAATGTGGCTTGTGCAAAAGTTATTTTTCAATTTTTCCCAATGTGAATTAGTAAATGGTGCACTGAAATATGCAGAAAGTCCTATGGAAAATGTATTCACTTATTTTTCCTCAGAAAATCAACAAAACATGTAATTTGACTGGGGCTGTTCAAACTTTCTCATACGACAGTATTTCCACCCACCTACACCCATTCACTTTGCTGTCTTTGGTACATGTACCCACACACATTTTCATAAATGGACCTGAGGGGAAAAATACAAGAATTCTCCTTTAAAAAAATCATCTAAAGTTAGGTCAACTAAACAATTTCAGTCGAGTTTACTCAAACCCCGTCATAACCTCAAACTGCCTGCAGACAAATGCCTTAGCTTTCTGCCGTCTGAGTGGAGGAAGACCTCACCCCCCGTGTTACCATATTTTGTATTTTGTAGACCTGATTTAGATACAATACTGAAAAAGTTAGAATGACTTCTACAGAGAACACATTTGAATGTGGCATTTTCTTGCAAACTTTAGTGCACAATTAGTGCACGTCCTATACAGAGATCACACTTCTGCTCATTTAAAGCACAATTACTGTTTATTTGCTGCATTCAACATATTGGAAACAAATAAGAAAAAATGTACCATAAATCTTGCACACATTTTATGCTTTATTTTTTCCAGTATGTTACATTCAGAAAATAAACAGTAATTGTGCTTTAAAAGAAAAATCAACAAAACACGCCATTTGACCTTGGACGCCCAAACTTTTGCATTAGAATGTATGTAAATGCATTGTTTTTCACAACATCACTAAGACAAAGTTTACAAAAAGCTGTGCAGAAACTTGACTTAAAATTTCAAGTTGAAATGACTTTTCATTTTTTACAGTGTCAGTAAAGCACATTACATTGTTTATCATTTCCAATCAGAATCTCATCTCATCTTATTTAGGATGCTGCTCAGTTGTCCTTTACACGCACACACACAAATCTTTATCCTACAGTATTTATAGTCTATGGAATCAAGACAACTAAACGTTGTCTTGTGTTTACATGTGTGTCCTGTGCAGTGGTTTTGCATCCTGTTGGTTTTCTGTTGAACTTTGTGTGCCAGTTTCCCTGGAAGCTGCATGCAGTAATGTGTGGTTTTGTTCTGTTTTTGTTTTCTGTGTTTTGTGGTGTGTGTGTGTTTTATGTTCATCTCATTGTCGCTCGTCCCCCGCCCTGCATTGTGTGGTAAACTGTGAATGCCAACAGCCTGCGCTCCTTCAGTTCGGATAGGTCCAACACACTGAATCGGAGCTCTTTCACCAGGGACAGCATGATGATCGAGGAGATCCTGGCGCCCACCAAGGACACGGTATGCCTCTCCCCCCATCCTTGACACCTTGCTCTCTGTTGCTTTACAGTACTGTGCAAGAAAAAATAATATTTCAAGCTGTTTATCTGGACAGTAAGCATTTATTTGATAGGAAAACCACTAACATTGGGCTATCAGTTGCTTATAACTTGTTAATAACATGCGAATAATGCATTAACAATATAATTATTAACATCACTAACTTCTTAATGCTGTTAACTCATTTTCCTAGCTTACACCTTCAAACCTTCTCTAGTAGTACAGGCTGAAGCCCAGCTGTACTGGATATTGCTAGGACTGGATCCGAGATTGAAGCCTTTTTGAATTGTTCAGGCCTTAAATTTTTACATGGATTGTTCTGATCTTTGTAAACCCAAAGGCATTATTTGAGAAAATAATAAACTAAAGACCCTGTCCCCTAGATTTCAATTTGTGAAAATATTAATTGCATTTTTAAAGATCTTTGAAGTGATGTAGAAAGATTTAGATTTATAATGAATTTTATTTTGTAATAAATAAAAGCTTTATTCAATAACAGCTGTCCCACATTTTCATGTCACTACTGAAACACAAAGAGTTTTAGTTCGTATGTGGAGCCTTATTTTATCCACACCCTTGTATTTTGGAGCAGGAAATGAGATTGCATCCCTTTTCCTCATGGCCACATGGTGAGCAGTTAGATCCCATTATTTTAAATTAAATGTGTCTGAAAATCAGTGTGCAACATTAACAATGTTTCATGTTCTTATACTTTTGTGTTTCAATGAAAACAATATGATTTTGTGTGTGTACAACTGTTCAAAGCTGTGTTTTCTAGTCATGCTCTGTGTGTTCTGCTCAAAACCAGCTAAAATTGTCACACCGAAACAGTCAGTACTGAAACATTAAATAAGTAATAGATAAAATGGGACCCGTGCAAGACCTGGTAGACCACCAAAGCTGTCCCCATCAGATAAACAGTACTTAAAGCTTTCATCTGTGAGAGAGAAGAGAAAGTCAAGCTCCACTCTTGCTTCAGATCTGAAACAAACCACAAGTGAGAAGACAACAAAACATGCAACTGCCAAGACTGAACTTTGAAGGTGTGGGAGAATATTCCTTCAGATTTCTCCGAAAAACTGAAAGCCAGTCCCTTGAAAAGAATGGAAGCTGTAATGAAGACAAAGCGTGAACACACTAAATACTGAAAATGTGATATTACATTTAGTTGTTGAGGCTTCTGTGTAGAATTTCGTTAAATATTTTCAAAAAAATTGTGACTTAAAGACTTAATGGCTGTTTTAACTGGACTTTTTACACAGTAACGTGTGTTGTTTTTACAAGCAAAAACATGTTTGCTGCCCAGATAAATGGTTAGAAACCATTTTCATGGTTGGCCAAACACTTTTTCGTACTATTGTACTTTCATTAGCAACTGTTATTTCTATTATCTTTAGGAGTTCTATGGTTGTTTTGACAGTATCTATTATTTATTTGACCTGATCTATTATTTCTTTGCTCCCAGCCAAATTCTTGAATCTATTATGCTGTTCAGGGTTGCTGACAACCTGTCTCCATCCTTTGTCCAGAAAAGCTTTGAACATTTTGGAAAGTTTAGAACGCATTAAAAATATTTATGTCCCATTTCTGACAAAATTATACAATGCTTAGCTTGTCAAGCTCCTATACTTTATTGCAAGACATTTTGGCATGCACTAATTGCTTCAGCAAACCAGGCCGCAAATTGTCCTGGCTTGCATGAAGAGGTTTCGTTGTCCCAAAGTGGACCCTGAGGCCGGACAAGGGAAATTTCCTGCTGGCATTAATCAGCAGCACTTCCACTCTGGCCTCATGCTGTCCTTTTTTCTGACGTGTTTGGGCTGTTTCCACATAGAAGCCCCCACTGAGGTGAGAATTGCTATGTGTTCTGTGCTGAAAAAGGTCATCTTAGCCTTTTATCTGTGTTAAGTACTGACTGCTTGTTTGTTAAGCTCATTTTGGGTGGTGATTACAGTGAAAAATCTCTTCTTCTTTAAATTCTTCAGGGCGTCTGTAAAGCGATGCCCTTCGTTGTTGAACCCCAGAATAAGGTACAATTCACTGGAGGAAGTTATGTTGATGTTTTGGCAGTTTTTAGTTCAGACGCAAGGGCACATGTGAACTTTGCTGGAGAGAAAAAAAACACTTGCCTTGTGCCTGTCTGACCATCTCGCTGTCCGAGAAGCACTTTTTCCTTTTCCTTTTTTTCCTTTTTTTGCCTTGTATTTTATAGCCCAGCTTTTCACAGAGTTTTGGCTGCTTTAGACTTCTGACATTATTCTTTGCTTCAGAATTTTCATTTCTTTGCCCACTCTCCACCTCCCCTCTATACCATTTTCAAATGTAGCCGTGCATGTGTGTATGTTGATGCTTCCTGCCATCAGCTGCTGAATGGGATGATAAGTGTGGGGTTAAGATGCTAATTGCACTGTAGGCAGTACTTGTACCGTCCCACAGCACTTTCCTCCTAGCAGAGATTATTGCCATGCACTGAGAGTCTGGTTCTTTGTTGTGGTTCACCACACTGGCACAGTGAGAATGAGAGTTCCTCTTCTGTTTGGTACTGACTCTCTGTGTGTGTGTGTGTGTTTGTCTATGTATTTGCCCTCACCCTCAGCACCTGGCTGTAGCCAAAGAATATGATACTGACTCTCTGAGGCGCTACAGCTGGGCAGCAGACACCTTGGACAACGTCAACCTGGTTTCAAGCCCCATCCACTCAGGGTAAGAGTTGTGTGCATCTTTGGGGTAATAAAAATAATAATACTTTACAATAGTGCCATCATCCTGTAGTCATCATGCCCATATTAAGGGGCACATATCCTACATTTTTCTTGTATTTTATTTTTATTTTTTTAATGTCCACTAACATTTGTGTGGTTTTATGTACCAGAATACATTTTACATGACTGTTTTCCAGCCTCTCTTTATATCTTATAATTAAATAAGCTGTTTTTGTTACTGGGCCCTTAAGACTGGTGTTTGTAAATGAGCTCTGTCCTGTATTGTGCATCATTCAAAAAGCATTCAGAGCAGAAATGCTCCATAACTCTTAAGTGTGAATAGACAGGGCTAAACTAGGCCAAATAGGTGGATGTATGTAAACGAGCTGGTTCTTGTGACATTGCAGAAACAGTTAATACTTCAGGACATTTTTGCAGCTTAGTTTCTATATATGGACTGTATAGACTTGGAAGTGAACAGTACATTTTGAAACTTAAACAATGTTACTTCAAAATACCCCAAAGAAACCGGTAGCCTTTACCAAATGTTGTGACTAAGTTGCTTTGGCAGTAGAACCATACGGTTTGAACCAACTGTAAATAGAACCGTACATTTGGAGCCACCCAGCTAGTTTTGGTATATAACAGTATTTATACTGTTATATACTGTAATGGTATATAACAGTGCTGGTATATATGTATATATATAGGTATTTTAGCTTATACAGCTTATTAATAGATATTTCAGTGTACTGGAGTGTTACTTTGTTTGTTGCATAGACCACATGACACTAAAATGAATAAATATATACAGTGCAAAACATATCAGGTTTTTGTTTTCACATGCCATTCATTTTCCCCATACAGAAAACCATCAACTAATCTGCAGCACAAGTCCTCATACAAAGACAGTTATAGGCATTATTATTTTACACTAATATGAATTTGGTTAAATGTTTTATTAAAAACAGTGCCAAACAAACGCAAGAGAACATGACCAAAAGTTTCTGGTCTTTGACATTTGTAACAAGTATTTCAAAGGTTTAACATACAATAAATCATTATAACCTAAAACAGGTAAAAAAAAAAAAGTTTTTCTTGCCATTTGAGAAAGCAAAAACTTTTTAAAATAATATCCAACTTTTAACTTTTCTAACATTTACTCAATGTAAAGTCTAAAAGACGTATTATTGTATAATATAAAACCTACAAATTCATATGATGAAACTAATTCTGTTCATCTGGCCTGCAAGGTGTATTTGTGGCATTAACTATTTCTGGATCAGATTTTTTTAGAGAATAGCATATAGATTGTTGATCATTAAGGACTATGTAAAAAAAAAATGTATGTGCCTCTGCTGGAGATAACATGCTGGAGCATGACAGTAGATAATAGCATCATTAGTAGAAGCAAATGCAAGGCCCACAACAGAAACTGTGAGCAGGCCATTGGATAAAAGCAGCGCCAGGTGAGCTATTATCAGACTAAAATACTATATTGTTAACATTAAACATGAAACTCAAAGCCATGGCTCCTTAAGCAAAGACGTATTGGACATAAATGACAAAATAGATCACTGGACAAAGTTGAGACATACATAGACTTGTAGCCATCTTAGAATCGATACTATAGATTATGTACATAATACTTAAGTATTGTAATGAAGTACATTTTCCCAAGTATTTCACCCCTGCAATGAGCTATGAGAGCAGAATAATGAATATAAAATTAAAACTTTGTTTTTTTTTGTGACTTCTGAACAAATTCTCTTCAGCTAAAGAGCCTTGACGTCTTTCGCCAGTGCTTATAATGCTAATGCTCTCTTGTTCCTTTCCTCCAGTCCTCCAGTTGCTCTTTATGCTCTGTCGCCTTGTTATCCTCCTTCATCTTCCTGCATAATAACAACATTGTCTTGGTGCTTGATGATGAACCTTGTTGATTTTGTCCCTCCACCGTTGTTCCGTTTTTGTTTCATTGCAGCGTTTCCTCTCCGCTCCCTCAATATGACTCCAGGTGACGATGGTTGTGCCCTGTCATCACAGTGTTTCTTCTCTCTTCTCCTCTCTGTGCTTGTTTCATTTATTCTCTCCTTCACCTTTGGTCCATACCAAGCCGGTTAGCAGGGTGAACCAGCCTACTGTGGCTTCAAGAATTTTATAAGATGATGTGTTTTAACATGAAAGGAAAAAAAAAAAGCTTTCAAGATGCGTGTTCTTTTGTCCATAAGCCAGTGTCCAAATACTTCAGCAACACCTTCATAAGACAGTTGTTATTTTTAAAACTACCAGTGCTGTTTGCATTTGCTGATGCTTTGGTCAGTTCTGAATATGTCGTTGGCATCCACCTGAATATGGTGTAATTGCAAAAAAATGATATTGGAAGCATTTTATATTTCTAGTCTTAATGTCTAATATTTTACCTACACTGTATAAAAAATGGGTTTTAATATAAAAAGTTTATTATGGGCCTTTTACATTTTGAGCTGTTTGAACTTCAATTCATAATTTGTCATGACATAAACCACAGATTCTTGTTCTGTTAACTTACTGTTCAAGTTAAATAAACTCAGAATGTTAAGGCAGCCCATTAACTAACTTTTTAAGTTAAAACCCAAATTTAGATTTACAGTGTAGGCACTCCTGGCCTTTATCTTTATGGACATGGAATCAGTGGCCATCAACAGGAAATTAACCCATTAACATGTCTTGGCATGTAAGATTTTATTTAAAACTTGGATGTACGATCTTTTAAGCAAGATGACATCTTATGAATGGAGGATATTGGTCAGTTCAATATCCCAGCCAGTATATTTTTTCATATTTTAGCACAAAAGTGACAGCTTATGAAGATGTTTGTTGGTTGGATGTCCTTCAGTATGTGGTCTATAGAGAAGGGGCTATTAAAATGCTTCAAGTGTGACTTAAATTCGCAATCATCACATTACTTTCATTTATTATGAAGGTGTTAAAACTCATTTTGCTTACCAAGGACACAAATGTTTTCATATGGACATAGTCAGAATTAGTTGCAATTTGGTAGAATCTTAGTTTATACTTAAAGGATAATTCTAATTGGTTCAATGGTTGAGATGTTAACAAAATCATTTAGAGTGGTGTGATGTGAAATGTTGCATTGTACACAATCTTACAAACTTGGATTTCTTTATAGGCCACAATCGTGTCTCAGAACTATTGTAAAAAATGTCTCCTTTACAGCCCATCACGTTTACAATTCATCCTTATCATCCTTAATTTATTTTATTTTTTTTATTTTTCCATGGCTAAACATCTGACGCATAAATTTGCTTCACCCATCAGACATTATAACTGGATACTGAATAGAAGCTGTTTAAAATCAGCTTAGGCTTATGTGTATGGTGTAAAAATAGAGCACCAGATGCACACAGAGCCATTCAAAAGAAAGCCTGACACAGCATATATGCTGCACATTGAACAGGCATGATAGAAAATTAGTGATAACTAAGTTAGCTATTAGTCTAATTTAATTAGTTGAATCTTCGTGCTTGTAAAAAATATCAGATGCTCTTCCCCATATTTTACTTTACAAAACACACACACACACATTTTCTAAGCCGCTTATTCTTCTGGGTCACGGGGGAGCTGGAGCCTATCCCAGCAGTCATTGAGCAGAAGGCAGGATAAAACCTGGACAGGTCGCCAGTCCATCGCAGAGCAGACAGAGACATATACATTCACACTCACACCTAGGGGCAATTTAGCATGTCCACTGCATGTCTTTGGACTGTGGGAGGAAACCGGAGCACCCGGAGGAAACCCACACAGACACGGGGAGAACATGCAAACTCCACACAGAACGGACCCTGGTCGTCTGGGCGGGAATCGAACCCAGGCCCTTCTTGCTGTGAGGCGACAGCGCTATATAGAACTTTGCATGATTAAAGGGTTCTTTGCATGGTGAAATGGTTCCTTAGACTGATGGAGAATGTGTTGTATGTGGTTCTCTATAGAACCTTTTTAAAAAGGGTTCTATATAGCACCAAAAGTGTTCTTCTGTTGTAACAAGATTGATATAACAATAGCAGAACCTTTTCTGGTGCTACACAGAACCTTTTTCAACAAGATTCTAGACACAGACATCTGCAGCACATTCTCTATCAAGCTGAAGAACCCTTTCATGATGCAAAGAACACTTTAATCATCAAGGTGATTCATGGTTATATGTAAAACCATTTTTTTTAAAGAACACCTGAAGAACCTTCTTTTTTAAAAGTATAGCTAAAATTCAATCGTGTTAAAAATATGGGACCCCCACATCATCCAGCCATGCTTGGAGAAGACCCCCTGACTAGTGCCCACCCCTTCACCCCCAGGATAATTGAGACTCCTGTTTTAGAGGCATTAAAATTTTCAGATGTCTGGCTCCACTCAGAATGACTTTGTTAACATCTTAACCACTTAATGATGCAGACATTTTAGAATTCCCCTTTAACTCCACTGTGAGTGAAAGCCATGCAGCCAGTATTGTTGGTCAGCTCTTAACTCACCTGGTTTTGATAAAGCATGAAGTTTGAAGCGATCTCTGTCCTAGGCCATCTTCTTCAGTAACAAACAAACTTGTCTAACGACCACGTTTTGCTCCTTGAGCAGTCTACTCTGGCAGTTTTTTTGCTGTACAGAATTCCTATCCATGTAACAGCCACACTTATCATTATTAATCAAAACTAAAAGAAGTTTGGAAATCAGTTGTGCTCAGCCATGCAAACGCTGTTGCGTGGTAGCACAAAGAACTGCCAGGGCTAGTGCTCAGTCCCATTACCTTTCTCCCCGCTTTCACCCACTTTCCTCTCTTCTCCTCCCTGGTGTTTGGTCGTGTGAGTTTTTTGATCACAGCATGGGATGACCTCAACCTCTTTGCCTTCTCTCCACCTCCTCACTGTGAAATATATCACCCCCCGCAGGTTCTTGGTCAGCTTCATGGTGGACGCCCGCGGCGGCTCCATGAGGGGGAGCCGCCACAACGGCATGCGCATCATCATCCCGCCGCGCAAGTGCACGGCCCCCACGCGCATCACCTGCCGCTTGGTCAAGAGGCACAAGCTGGCCTCCCCGCCCCCCATGGTGGAGGGAGAGGGGCTGGCCAGCCGCCTGGTGGAGGTGGGACCCGCCGGAGCTCAGTTCTTGGGGTAAGTTGCGTTCTTTCCCTGCCTTCATTTTTATTGTTTCTTGGGACATGGGAAGGCATTTTATGTTGGGGGTGCTGAAAATTGAATCAGCATACATACGTATACGTAAAATATACAATGACCATGCCAAAGGCCATGTCAAATCATTAGTAACAATGGCAGCAGGAACAGCTGTTTGGAGAGCTAAAGTTAGCTAGCAGATTAAGGGAGGATCATCTACCCTCTCTCTTTAACAGCCAAGATTGATGGTACAATTAGTGCTGCAAGCTGGTAGAAACACAGCCACTGCTGATTCTTTTCAATTTTGCTTCAAGGGGGCATTTGAAAAAGTCTAATTCTCTGCAAAGAAACTGCAAACTAAAGGATGACTAGATCATTCAAAAATGACAAATGACAACATATAAACAGAACATTTTTATATTACATTTGGCAGATGCTCTTTTCTATAGCGACCTAAACTTTGGGGGCTGTGTTGTTATCCACTATGCTAGTGTTGTAGTATTCAAGTCCAGTCTCAGTTTCAACATCATTTTGACTTGCTCTTCTCTTGGTCTTGGGGTAAACTGGACGCAACATCAGCCGAGTTCAATGTCTCAGTCTGAGGTGATTGGAAACCGAACTTTTTTTTTATTGGATATCAGCAACACTTTCAGACAGAATTAAACAGTCAGTTTTCTACATGTTTAAACAACATCTGTTTGCTGCTGGTTGATGATCTAATTGATCCTTTCCTTGGTGGCATATGAGTATTCATTTTTTCATTTAATGTTTATTGGTTCCATAAATCAAACATCCCCTGCGTGCAGATTGGAATGTTATTATTACTGTGGTTTCATTAAGAAAAATGGATGTATGTGGTTTGCTTTATATTCAGTTGAAGTAAGTAGTGATTAGGTAGTGATAATTTTTTTTGCAGTCTATTGTTTAATTAATGCATGTATAATGAATGATAATGAATGTCCAAATTAATTTCAGTTTTTTTCCTTTCTTCTTTTTATTTTTATATTCTGAAAAAAAAATTTAATCTGGTCTTGTCTCAGTATCACCACTCCTGGTCTCGGTCACTAATCGGACTCATTGTGTCCTGGTCTCATTCTTGACTCTGACTATCCTGCAGTGCTCTACAACGCTACACTACAATATATAAATTTGTCAGAATGTTGGCCCTGTTGTTGGGTGATTGAGAGTTAATTCCCCGCTTAAAATACTTTAATCAGTTAAACAATCTTGAAAGTTCAGCACTCCCACTTCTCATGTCCCTGACTGTTCCTGCTTTTTTCTCTCTTCATTGCCATGGAAGTCATCTGTGTTTGGTAGCGTGTGGTGGTGAGGTGTTTCAGCAGTCAGACAGGCCAGCTTTGCCCACCATTATCATGCCAGCCCCCAGTATCTGATGGTAAACCTGTAGTATAGGCTAGTGCACAATATAGCCCTTTTCATTCATCATTTGCCCCATTTCTCAGTAATGCCAGGTAGACTAGTAAGAGCCATAGGATTATGTCAGAAGTAATTCACAAAGTACTGCTGAAAGAGCTCCACCATAGAAAGTGCACAGCAAAATCTACAGTATATGGAATATTGTAGAGGTCTCAGGCTAACTAGCAAAAGTCATAACTGATGAAATGGAACCTAAATATTCCTGCAGCAATGACAGTCTGTTTTGTGTTCATCCTTTTTGTTCCTCTAATTGCTGCATGGATGTTATTCAGTAAACTCCATCTTCCCCGAAAACTCCCCCCTCTTAATGAGGGCGAGAGCTTCGTTAGCCGAATCCTGCAGCTTGGGCCTCGAGGAACAAAATTTATTGGGTAGGAGTGTGCCGCTCAGAAAAGAAGCTACTCTCCGACAACTTTTGTTGACCAAAGCCATTGTTGATTTTACGTTGGGCTGTTTTACTTTCCAGTCACCTGTTTCTTTAAGGCTTTCAGTCAACTGAAAGCAGACCGTGTCGGCTGTTCCAGCTCACTCTGCTGCGCTTGTTGGGCATGTTACCTGCTGCTGTCATGGCTGCTGCCTTTTGCCCGTGTTTGATCAGACACAGACTCCCACTGTTCCATCCCATGTGGGAGATGGTTTCATTTGCTCTTTCTGTTCTGGAGAAGGTATCATTTGCTGTTGCAGTTTTGCAGAAGGCATCAGTATTTCCAAAAGGAGCATGAACACAGTACAGAACTGCAGATTTCAGTATACTCTGTTTTTCGAATCCAGGATCCAGTGAAATTTGCCTGTAGTTCAGTATTAAAATATATGTGTCGTTTTCATGGTACCTTCTCTGTGATTATACATCGAGTGTAATTTTCTGTCATTTCATGACTGTCACTGTGGAGAATGTCGTGCTCATCTACACAGACTTTTGTTTGTCATATGTCTGCAGCCTTCCAGTAAACTGAAGAAATGTTTGTACCTAAATATCACTTTAGCGTAAAAATGTTTTTGTAAAACATCATCTTTATACATTACTGTGCAAAACTCAAAGACTACCGTTTTGTTTATTTAGGTTTTAGTCAAAACGACCCTTAAGTTATTCATTTTTCAGTGTCAGAAAAAATACTGGAAATGTAAATTTAAACGAAGTCTGAAATTGGTGATTTGTTTTGACTGAAAGTATCATGAATCCTGATAAGTAAAGAAACAAATTTTATTACATCATGCAGTACCCTCTGATCTGGGAAGAACTACCCTAAGATAATGACCCCAAGCACACTGCTGAGAAGTTTGAGAAATACTTATGAAACAAAGAAGCTGATGGTGTGTTCTCAGAACATCACTAAATGTGACTGGGATTATGTGGATTGTGAGAAGCAGAAAATGCAATCAACCAACTTCTGAGACTGAACTTTATAGTCTCCTCATATATATACATACAGTTGTTGAGGACTGTCTGTATTTTTCTGTTAAATCGATGTTTTCTGTTTTTTTTTCCTAAAGCTGAAAAATGAATACCTTGTGCGGACGTAATGGCCATTTTGAATGTGAATAAAAATTTAAAAGGTGGTCTCTAACTTTTATACAGTGCTGTAGAACACTGCTAAAATCTGAGAGATGGTGTTTTAATGGGTATCATTGTCTGGTCAGTATCAGTAGAAATTGCTGGATTGGATATTGGAGGGAAAAAAGAGTGAATCCAATCCAGTCCAGTAACAAATCTACCGTAAAACAATCCATAAAAAAATATCAGATCAGTATTGGACGATACTAAAGTTTTCACAATTGTTATCAAATCAGGCTGACACTTTATTTTGAGAGTCCATTATAGTTTCTTTGTACATGATTAGTTTGTCTTTAACCATCATTCAACAGAGTTTCACCAGATAGTTTGTTAACAATTTGAGCATCTGGAGATAATCTATAGGGGACTTTCAAAATGAAGTGTGAAGTGGTATTGTGCCATCGTTAAGCTACACTGCTAGTTTAGCTCTAGAAGAAAACATTACATTTTATTGTAGTTTTTAAAAAGCCATTCCTGTTCCCAGAATGTGTTAGATAGACGTATCAGACAGTATGTCCTCACTGTTTTATACTTGATTACTTCATTAAGTTTGGAATGTTGCATTCAGTAGATTAGCATTTCTATTTTTTATTTGATTTCTTTTTGCATTTTTTTGAAGTTTGAAAGCTTGGGGTATAAAGCACTATAAGTATTAAGTACAAAGTACTTACACTTAATGAACATATTTCTATTGCCTTTACATATTGTGTATAAAGATTTGTAGATCAATGGACAATTCAGTTTTACTGATTACTGTCAGATGTGCCAAGTGCCCCTCTTTTGCACTATTGAAGTGTGTCCCATATGTCCAGCCTTCATCAGTCATTTATTCAAAGTCAGATCAGTATACCCATTCCCATCCTTGACATGCTTGTGTTCTGGGTTCATTGGAAGAGTCCAGTCTTATTGATGTGTGGTGTGTTCTTGCAGCCCAGTGATAGTGGAGATCCCTCACTTTGGTTCCATGAGAGGGAAGGAGCGTGAGCTGATCATCCTCAGGAGTGAGAACGGCGAGACGTGGAAGGAGCACCAGTATGACTGCAGGACTGAAGCCCTCAATGAGCTACTCAACGGCATGGACGAAGGTACTACAATAAAAAAAAAGATGCACCAGTAGTATATAAAGATTTTAGACGCCGTGCTGCTGTCTGGAGACAGTCCAAATACTTTTGTTATACATAAAAATAAGTATGATCATTTCTTGGCAAGTTTGAAAAACGTAGCACAATGAGACATTTATCACATTTTAAGGTCTAAATACTGTGACCCAATGCTTTAGGATAGGAGGTCAAAAGCTCTTGATTAGCATGTGGGACAGTGTTTTGACAGTTCTCTGAAGGACACTTTAAAGACAAGCTAGAAGGCACTAATGTAATTTTCCTGAAATATTTATATGATGCTGCTTTTGTCTTAAGCATGAAATGATCATTGTACTTTGTCCCCAAAGAACTGGACAGTGTAGTGGATCTGGAGAAGAAGCGCATCTGTAGGATCATCACTAAAGACTTCCCACAGTACTTTGCGGTGGTGTCACGGATTAAGCAGGAGAGTAACCAGATGGGTCCTGAGGGAGGGGTTCTGTCCAGCATGACCGTTCCTCTAGTCCAGGCCTCTTTCCCTGAGGGAGCACTCACCAAGAAGATCAGAGTTGGACTTCAGGTATAAAAACACTTAAATAAAATCTGTACGTAAACCTTTTCAGCAGGCAGCACTGGTGCAGGAAAAGCACTAAAAACTATCTTTGGGCTGCCTTTTTTCAGCAGGCAAAATGCTAAAATCACAAACCATTGCTGGCTACAACCCTAAACAAAACACCTTTTGGCCATTTTTACTTTGTGAGGTCCTTAGTTTAGAAACATGAAGTTGTTCTATGTTCAAATTACCTGATCTACTCTACACAGTAGATATCCGCATATGGCCCGAAAGTGAAAAGAACATTTAAAAGCAGAACAAATATACAAATAGTGGATCCGCTGATGTACCAGTTTTTGACTGCTTGCCCTCAGGCCCAGCCAGTCCCAGATGAGACAGTGAAGAAGATCCTGGGGAATAGAGCCACGTTCAGCCCCATAGTGACAGTGGAGCCACGCAGGAGGAAGTTCCACAAACCCATCACTATGACCATCCCTGTACCCCCCCTTTCAGGGGAGGGTGTGACCAATGGCTACAAAGGAGATTCCACACCTTGCTTACGTCTTCTGTGCAGCATCACAGGTAAGAACAGCTCAGAAATTTCTTCTAGTGCATCTGACCATAAGCAAAGTGCACCGTCTGAGCTTGGGCCTTATATTGGAAGGTTGTAAGTTCGATCCCCAGTGATGCCACAGCCATCTGTGAGAGCATATTTGGCCTTGCTCTCTCTGGGTGGGGCAAACGGCTCTCGCTCTCCCTCCAATCACTTAGCCCAGTGCTAGCCGACATGGGTGTCTGTTAGCTGATGTAAAACAATTGGCAGTTAGCGCTTTCCAAGCACATTGATGTGTTCAATGACAGATCTTTGAAAAGATGCGGTGGTGCTTCACATGTCTCAGAGGAAGCACAGGCTAACCTTCAGTTTTCCAGTATGCTTCAACTGATAAGGGGAGACCTAGATAGTTGGGGGGGGGGACTGGTTGGGAGAAAACTGGGTAAGATTCCGAAAAAAAGATTTCTGAAGTTTCCCCTTTGGTCACCAGTTTTTGGTGGATCTCCTATCCCACATTCCTTTTGGCGTATATGCTTATGAATGCTTTTTCACAGGTGGCACATCCCCAGCACAGTGGGAGGACATTACTGGCACTACTCCTCTCACCTTTGTGAATGACTGCGTCTCTTTCACTACCAATGTATCTGCCAGGTAAGTAGCCCCAGTTTCCATTTACAGTCTGCAGTTCCAGAGGAAAGTTCCAGGAGGCCCTGCTAACGTGACTTGAAGGTTCACATGAATTTGATCAAACCATATATTTAACTGTACGGTTCTGTCACTTCTGTAAGCTGTCTTGATGTGCCTCCTATCCACTTGATGTCCCCTCCATGCACAGGTTCTGGCTTGCAGACTGCCATCAGATTCCAGAGACTGTAGGTCTGGCCACACAGCTCTACAGGGAGCTCATCTGTGTGCCCTACATGGCCAAGTTTGTAGTGTTTGCCAAGATGAATGACCCTGTAGAATCCAATCTGCGATGCTTCTGCATGACGGATGACAAAGTGGACAAGACCCTAGAGCAGCAGGAGAACTTTGAGGAGGTGGCCAGAAGCAAAGACATTGAGGTTTGTTATTTAACAGAGGGATCGGTGCCATTTCCACTCTGTAGTATTTCTTTGCTTTTGTTTTCTTGCCATTGCATTAGGCAGATTCGTCTACTGCAGTGTGAGATTTCTAAATCTCATCTGGGTTCTCAAATGATGCTATAAACTCAGCACATGAGCCATGTAATGAAATGTTTGGTTTCTGCTTACATGGCTCACAATTTTACAGGTTTTGGAAGGCAAACCAATCTATGTGGACTGCTATGGCAATTTGACCCCTCTGACCAAAGCTGGACAGCAGCTGGTTCTTAACTTCTACGCATTTAAAGAAAACAGACTCCCATTCTGTGTAAAGGTAATGTAGCGTTTTCTTTGTTGTAGTGCCTTCTGTAGAGAACTTTCTGAAATTGTGGTTTAAACCCCTCTTAATCATGTGTCTATAAAGACTGCACAGGAAATAATGACCTTCCTGCTTTTCTGATTTTGATCAGCAAGGCTAAGAGTAAATTGACAACTGCAGTGTCTGACTACTAAATAGACTCCAGAGGAATGTTTAGAGGTTAACATACCTCAAATTGTTTAGAGATAATCTCACCAAAGTAGACCATATTAAATGATGAATTATTGATGAATCTGATATATCTTATTTTCTGATTGATGTAATAAAATGATAGAATTACTGTACATTTCCACACATTTTTTACTTTTGTTTAAAATCACTTTAGTGAAATTTCCTCATTCTCTTGGCAGGTTTTTTTTTAAATAAGCAAAACTAGCTGCATTTATGTCTTGAAACAAGCAAAATTGTCTGCCAGTAGAACTTAAAACAAGTAATAAGTGTCTAGAAAGAAGTTAAATAATTGTGTAATTCTCTAACAATAACGTCATAATGAGAAATATTAGACATATTGACTAGGTTTAAGAAGTTTTAGCTTGTTATCATTTTTGCAGTGTTACTTTTGTGATATTCATGCTTATCTGCTCACTCTATATTGAACCATGCCAGATCAGGGACAATAGCCAAGAACCTTGCGGGCGACTGTCCTTCCTCAGGGAGATGAAGACCTCAAAGGGGCTTCCCCAAACTGCTGTTTGTAATCTAAACATCACCCTGCCAGCGCTCAAAAAGGTAAGGTTGTACTTCTTTGATCATCCGTGCCATATCATGCCATCTTCATACCCAAGAAAGGTAGAGCAGTGTTTTCAGCAATAAGGGTTATACTTGGCCGAAACTGCCTGAGTGTGTCTTTTATCTGTTTTGAGCTTCTCTCTAGTTGTTGTTGTGGCTATGACCGACCGAATCAGAACTTTGATTTGGATCCATGCTTTTGGCTGAAGGTGCACAGGCTTGTGCTTTCTCAATGGCATAATTTGTGGTTGCTTCCCTGTACCTTTTCAGTTCCCTTTTATTTTCCGTTTGTTTCTTCGCTCTGGCTTTGCTCTGGGTGGCTCTTTCTCAGTGTGCTCACAATCGCCCTTTTCACATCCTGATGTTTCTTACCCCCTGCTCTCCATTGCGTTATTCCCCCTGTTTCTGCAATGCATCTTTGGAACCAAAAGGATATGGACTCAGATGCCGATGAAGAGGTAATAGTCCTGTCCCCTCATTTCCATGTGGTGTGCTGGTGTTTCAGTTGCTTTAGTTTTTGGGTACTTGCTTTGTGAAACCACACATTGCATAGCTGTTGCCTGTCACGGGATTTACTGTATGATGGATAAATGGGTGGGTGCACTGGCTTAACTCCATACACTATAAGAGTATGTACTGCATGTCACTGGCAAAGGGTGACAATCATTTTTATTTATCCATCCATGTACTGTGTCACATTGCTTTAATGAAAACGTACAATTAAGTGGTTTTAAAACATAACTAGAGATTGAACATTTATTTTCAGATGGAACATACGTAAGATATGTGGAGTCACAAATCTTATTAGTTCTCCCTAATTCTTGTACTTGATTATTTAAGCATCCTAGGAATTAATTAATTATATATAATTTGATTACAGTGTTAATATGTTAGAAACTGCAATATCTGCAATAACATATCACAAACTACTCAGTATAGAAATAATTAAGTGCTGAAACATTATCATATTACATATTGTTTTTCATATAACATAATTCAGAGCAGAGCAAAAGTTTGCAGAATATCTCATTCAGAGAATTTAATGTAAATGTATAAATTTGATGTTTAAGCTCAAATTAGGGACATAGCCTGTCAACCAGGGCCTATAATGGGAGGAATTGATAGGACTTTTTGTTGTTGTTGTTGCAGACTGAAAAGCCAGAACGACGTCATACCTTTGCATCTCTAGCCTTACGTAAGCGCTACAGCTATCTGACCGAGCCTGGAATGAGTGAGTGTGATATTTTACTAACATTCTTGGGAGAGTAACATGTTTGGTAGTGTTTAAACTTAACAAAGACTTTACTACGTGACCCACATTGACCATATATTAATTGAAATTACAACTGTTATCTGCACATTCTTACCATGCATAACAAAGTCCTCATGCTTGTTTTTGTACAATTTACTTTTGCATGGTTTATTTTGGTATTTAAGTTGCTGAGCTGTGCCTGCTCACTTCGTTAGATATCGTTGACTATCTCTGTTCATTTTTCCCCCACTGACAAGAGAACAATTAAACTACAATATCCATAAGATTTTTCTTTGATTGGCTTATTAATGCACATTGCAGTATGACATCAAAGTAAAGCTCCCCCTCCTTTCTTATCCCTCTTTTACAACTAGTCTTGCTCCTTTTGGCTTTGTGATTGTGCCGAGTTTTGATTTCTTTTTGGACAGAAATGCATGGAAAGTCACAAACTTTCTCTCAGGTGCTTTCACAGTTTGCACTGAAATGCCTGTCACCAAGAATACTCAGTCCTGCATGATGGGTTATTATGGACTTAAGACGTAGCACTTAGCCTGCTTTTTGCCATAATACGGTTTGCTGTAGCAAAAGAACTAGGATATTTTTGTTTTGTAGTTTTTACTTCTGTTTTGTCAGAATATCCAAATTTGGGATGAAACTGGTTTTTCAGACCAAACAGATAAAAGGCACTTTAGTAAAATCAAGGTAGCCAGTGACAGGGGAATGTAGCACATCTAAAGTCAAAAGAGAATTTGTTTTACTCTGGGTTCTCTGCATTTGTCTTGGCATTTTGCGTTTTGTTGGTCATTGCCTCAGTCATTATGTTTCCGTATGTGCTTTTTGGGACTTCAGTTATATTTTGCGTACCATTTGTGGACCATGGATCACAGGTTTTGTTTCTTTTCTTCTTTTTTTTTTATCCTTCTTCATCATCCAGCCCATTTCACACCACCATAAAAGCATTGCTCTTCCTTCTTCTATGATACAAGCACCACTGACCAATTTTTTCCCTCTGGTCTCTCTGTTTCTCAACCATTTTTTGTTGATTTTGTGTTGGATTTTCATTTGTCTGTTTAAAGAAACAGTTGAACGAAGTACAACAAGAACACTGCCTGCTGGTTACGCTCACAAACCTGTCTTTTCAACAAGATCTTACCAGGCATGGTCGACTGCTCCTGTTACCATCCCTGGGCAAACAAAATGTGGACTGGGTTCCCTCTCAAGCTCACCTTCCAACACGCCATCTGCTTCGCCACTAAAGTCAGTCTGGTCAATATCCTCAGCTTCTCCACTCAAGTCCACCCTGGGAACCACAAATGCTTCTCCTGTTAAGTCTGTTAGCGACATAGCATCACCCATTAGAACTTACAGATCTATCTCATCTCCCATAAAGACTGTTATTCAGCAAGCCCAGTACCCTGTTCCAGTTTCTACTGGTCTCATATCTTCATCTCTTAAAACCAGTACAGATCCTTTGTCCATTAAGGGACTTGTGGCTTCAATGTCTTCAAGACCTATTTCTGTGTCATCGCCTGGATCCATACTTGATAGAACCTTTACCACAGTGACCCCACCTGAATCTCCAAAATCAACTGCAAATTTGTACACATCTGCCTTGTCAATCAAATCAACTTTTACCTCCTCAGCCACTGCAGTAGCATCCCCCATTAGAACCATATCAAGTCTGTCAACTCTCAAAACTACTGCAGATGGAGCTCCAATTTCTAAGGGAACAATTCTATCATCACTCACTTCACCAGCAAAGCATGCTGTTGTCTCCACTGAAACAGCACTACTTAATGGATCTGTTTCACCGCTCAGATATCCACCTTCCTCTTCTTCATCATCCCGTCTGTTCTCAGGAGGAACTTGCAGTTTGCAGGAGAGGATACAAGCTACAACACAAACAGCCACCTCTAGTGCAAGCACAGCCTTCAGTGAGGCTGAAAAAACTCTCAATGCCTGCTCTGCATCAGGCTATGACACACTAAAATCCATGTCATCTCCATTAAGGTCAAATGTATCAAATTCAGTTTATGCCTCTCTTAGACCAGCTTCCTCCAGCACCCCTGTATCATGTACTTCTATGACTGTCCCAGTGTTCTCCCTAGTGAATGTTCTCCCTGAGCCTCAAGAAATGAAAGCACCAGACAAAATAACAATTACACCTCAGACATACGCTCAAACACCATCCTCTACTCCCAGATCGAAACCCTCAAAACCCCCACTCTTCATCCCTTCCGCAGCATTTAAAGCAGCCACTGCCTCACAGTTGTCATCCAGTCAAGAAATTTTGAGAGATGTGGCAGATATGAAAGAAGATCTGATTAGAATGACTGCCATACTACAAACTGATTCCCCTCCTGTAACTAAAACCTATCAGTCTCAGGCTTCCAAAGAATCAAAAATGGATGACGAGGAACCTTTTAGTCTTGTCGAAAAAGTTAAAGAAGATCTTGTGAAAGTTAGTGAAATCCTCACCAAAGATGTTCTGAGTGAAACAAAGGACAAGGCTTCTGAGGATGAATGGGAGGAGTTCTCCAAAGATGAAATAGAAGAGGCTCAGCAAAGTGTCCTGAGATCTCTTCCTACATTTGAACCCACACTCCCAGTTAGACCACAGTCGGTGCAAGACAAAGATCTCAATTTAGCCAAGGTTGTTGACTACTTAATGAACGACATTGGTGCTAGCTCACTTTCAAAAATTGCTGGTGTAAAGAGCAAATATGATGAAATGAAAGAGGGAGAGGAAAAACAGAAACGCACACTGAAACCTGAGCATAAGCTCAAAATGCCACCTCCAGGCATGCGCTCCTCTCCTTCAGAGAAGGACTTATGCAAATTAGCTGATTCCTATAGTGGTACAGATGCCATTTTGGAATCTCCTGATGATTTTTCCCATGAGCAGGATAAAAGCCCACTCTCAGACAGTGGTTTTGAAACCAGAAGTGAAAAAACACCCTCAGCTCCTCAAAGTGCAGAGAGCACAGGGCCCAAACCCCTCTTTACAGATGTACCCATTCCCCCAGTTATAACAGAAACCAGAACAGAGGTTGTTCATGTCATTAGGAGCTATGAACACCCTGAGGAGCCTTGTGAGCCCCTAATGGAAGAAGCAGCAGCCTTGAAGTCACCGGCTTGCATTGAACCTGAGCCAACAGCTGGCTCTATCAAGGATAAAGTAAAGGCTTTCCAGATGAAAGTTAATTCTGAAGAAGACTCCCTAGTGAGCAAAAGCATGCGTCTGAAAGAGGAAACTCACATAACTACTACAACTAGAATGGTCTACCACAAACCCCAGCTAAAAGAGGGAGGCTCAGAGAGGATTGAAGAAACTATGTCAGTTCGAGACATAATGAAAGCTTTCCAGTCAGGCAGAGACCCGTCAAAAGAATTGGCTGGTTTATTTGAACACAAGGCTGGTCAGGATTCAATAAAGGGGGATGAATTAACCCCACGGTTTCTTGATAAGGACACAAAACCTAAAGTTGAAAGAATAATTGAGGTTCACATAGAAAAGGGCAACACAACAGATCCAACAGAAGTAATAATCAGAGAAACAAAGAAACACCCAGACTATGTGTGCAAAGGCAGCCGTAGTCTAAGGGAACTCCCTGATAGGGTCGAGGGTGACTATGAGGCTCTGCAGGAAGAGGAGGAGCTTGCTGAGGAAGCGCTGCCCTCTTTCTTGGAAACTTCCAGAGTCAATACACCGGTGTCCCAAGAGGAGGACAGTCGTCCCAGTTCAGCTCAACTTATTGCTGATGACTCGTATAAAGCTTTTAAACTCCTGACCCAGCACTCCATTGAGTATCATGACGATGAATTATCTGAGTTAAGGGGAGAGTCTTACAGATTTGCTGAGAAAATGCTCCTTTCTGAAAAATTTGACATATCACATTCTGATACTGAGGACTCTGTGACAAACCAGGGACGTGACATGACCCCTGAGGTGCATGTAGCAGAAGGGTATTATGGAGAAAAGGTATCTGGCCCCAAGAAAGAACACATTTTGAGGTCAGCAAGGGACACATCAGACAAAGCAGGTAAATTCACTCATAAAGATGATCAGTATGATAAACTGACAGTGTTGCACTACACCACAGAGCCTGGTAGCCCCAAACATGCAGTCTGGATGCGTTTCACCCAAGATAGGCAAGATAGAAATAGGGAGAAACTTATATATGAAGATCGTGTTGATCGCACTGTTAAAGAGGCTGAAGAAAAACTAAGTGAGGTTTCACAGTTTTTCCGAGACAAAACAGAAAAGCTCAATGATGAGCTTCAGTCCCCTGAGAAAAAGCCACCCATCAGAGACTCGAGAGAGACACGGTCAGGTCCAAGCTCAGTGTGCAGCAGTCCTGAGAAAACAAAGCAAAAGAACGAAATGGGCTCTGAGGAGTGGGGTAAAGGAAGGCAGAAAATGTTTGGCAGCATGAATGAAAGAAAAAGTGCTAGTTTGCCGAGCAGCCCAGAAAGGCGTGTTCAGACACGCTTAGATGAGGAGAGATCAAAACAGGAAAATGCTTTTCAGCAGGCAAAGCAGGGTGAAACTTCTCCTTCAGTTCAAATGAAAACTTCCAAAGTGAGTTCTGTTCGGCTAAAATTTGAAGCAGAGGCCCAAAAGCAAGACAGAAGTGTTCCAATTACGCAGTCTAAACCGCCTGTTAAAAAACTTCAAGAAAGTAAGTTACCTGTATACCAGCTTTTTGCTGGATCAAAGACTCCCAAAACTGATTCTACCGAAGAAGGGAAGCCTCAGAAAAAGGTTGAAGATAGTGAGAGAAGTAAGGTAGCCTCTGGTCAAGGTTTCTATAGTAGTACATTTGGTGTTGCATCCTCAAAAGAACCAAGTGAGAAAGTATCAGAAAAACTAGACACCATTTCAGATAGCACCTGTAAAAAAAAGAAACAATCTGAACAAGTTACTGAATCAGAAGCTGAGACAAACAAAAAGATTGATGAGGCCGATGAGATCAAAACTAGAGAAAGTGATAAGAAACAAATCCATGACTACTCAAAAGATATTAGTAGCAGAGTTGACATCAAGGGCCAACATTTGAAAACTGAATCAACTGTTAAGGAGATGAAATCAGCTTTGATAATCAAAAAGGATCATATAGACAGTGATGAATCACAGATGAAGGGTCTTAAAAAAAGGACAGAATCACAAATTCCTGTGAGAACGAGTGTCCCAGACACTGATCAAACAAAGAGATGGAAACAAGACACAGTACTCAAACAATCAGAAAAGAGCCCATCACATATCCCTACACTAGCTAAACCAAGAGTTCAGGGTCGCTCAGAACTCTCCAGGGAAGAAACTGCAACAAAGAAATCTCAGGATTCTTTTGAGGTTAGTACTTTGAGAGATCCAAGCTCAAGTGACACAGGTCCAGTGGAAAAGGTATCTGTGGTTACAACTAGAGAAAGTTTTAAAGGACTGAAAACATTACCAGTTTACGTAAGTGTACAAGTAGGAAAACAAGGTGAGAAAGATTCTGTAGGCGGACAAAATGGATCTGTGAAAAAAATGGTCAGTTCAGAGAGCCGAACAATTTATGCAGTGAAACAGAGGCAGCCGACATCCCCTCAGGGTAGCCCAGAAGATGACACACTGGAACAAATATCTTTTCTTGATAGTTCTGGTAAAAGTCCAATGACACCAGAAACCCCCAGTAGTGAGGAAGTCAGTTACGACCTGACCTCTAGAACCCCTGACTCTTTCATGGCATTCATACCAGGCATTGCTAGCCCAATTGCTGAGGTCTCAGAGGAATCAGAGGATTCGGAGCAAGGTAAAGCAAGCTCATTCAAGGAACTTGTCCCGGAAAAAGTTTTTGTTGCTGAGCCAGCCAGTGGGAGTCACGACACTGAGCAGGCAAGTAAAGACAAGCGAGTTGCATACATTGAGTTTCCTCCTCCCCCTCCCTTGGATTCTGATTCATCACAACCTGAGAAAAAAGGATCCTCTCCTTCCTCAGAGGCTGAGACTGATATGATGGAGGTGAACCTCCAGGAGGAACATGATAAGCATCTGCTTGCTGAGCCCATAATTAGAGTCCAACCTCCTTCCCCTGTGCCCCCAGGAGCTAATGACAGTGACTCAAGTGAAGATGAATCAGTCTTTCAACCCATTCCGGTAAAGAAATATACTTTCAAGCTTGATGACCATGAGCAAGATGAGAAGGAACCCAAACCCAAAAAGCATGACAAGAACGGGAACCATAAAGAACCTGGAATGAATGGCAATGGAAAAATAGAGGATTACGACTATGAACAAAATGGCAATGATCAGTCTATTACAGACTGCTCGATAGCAACAACTGCTGAGTTCTCTCATGACACAGATGCCACAGAGATTGATTCTTTAGATGGATATGACTTTCAAGATGAGGATGATGGACTCAATGATGTAAATGATATAAAACCATTTGGCTTTTCCAGCGACAACAGAAAGGACATTTGGGCATCGGAAAGTATGCTTAGGCCTAGTGACCGTTCTTTCAGCCAAAGTAAACTTGAAGTAATTGAGGAGGAATCACCCACCGAGGAGTACAAAAAAGTAAAAACAAAGAGTGATTCTTCTGTTAAAAAAACAGAAAATAAAAAAGACGATGAAAAGGACAAAAAACAGTCAAGGCAAGAGGGATTGTCAGACACTTACTTTAGCTACAAACTAGAGGAAGAGTTCAACACCCCTTTCAAAACTGTTGCAACGAAAGGCTTGGACTTTGATCCTTGGCCAAGTAGAGGAGGAGATGATGAAGTTGTTGATGCAAGGATTAAAGATGATGAGCCCAAGCCTTTTGGGCTAGCTGTTGATGACAAGTCTCAAACGACTACCCCTGACACGACCCCCGCAAGAACTCCAACTGATGAAAGCACGCCGACTAGCGAACCTAACCCTTTCCCCTTCCACGAAGGGAAGATGTTTGAGATGACCCGCAGTGGTGCGATTGACATGAGCAAGCGGGATTTTGTTGAAGAGAGGCTCCAGTTTTTTCAGATTGGTGAGCATATATATGGAGGGAGATCAGGGGATATAAGGGAAGGGGTCAGAAAACCAGGTGTAGTCACCTCACAGCCACAGACAGTAGATCGAGCACAGGTTAAAATGGATGAAAACACAGTACTGTCATACAGCGTAATACAGATTTGCACTGACCGCTCGGACACTCCATCTCACGACAACATTATGGAGCCACCCTCATATTCAGAAGTCAGTTCTAATTTGTGTTCCTCTTTTAAGATAGGAGTCAAAGCTGCTTCTGGTGAGAAAAAGGATTTGGTGTATGTGGACTGGGACAGTTCTAAACTTAAAAGTTCAGAAGCTTCACAAGAAATGAGACCAGAAACAAGCACAGAAAGCCAATGCAAGCAAAGGACAGACTCAAAGGCAGATCAGAGAAGATGCCTCCAGACAGAGAACTGCAATAATAGTATCCTAGAAGCCTCAAGTTTTGAAACTAATTACATACAGTACAGTTCTGTAGAACAGAATCAGGACTCAAACTCTAAGCACAGCTCTTCTGAGCATACGAATAATCTTAAGGATTCACTTAAAACAGACTCAGTTAATGTTAGAGAGGCTTGTGCTAGGAGCGACCCAGATGTAGTTTCACCATGCAAGGATGTTAAAACAAAGCCACCAAAGTCTAGGCTGCCAGTAAGAGCACATTCAGTGCAAGACTGTAGAAGTGCGAGTGTGATTTTACAGAGACCAGACAAGGAAATCAAATCCCTAGGCAGTAAAAGATTAAATGCATTTCTAAATATGAGGCCGATATCTAGAATCCCAATGTTGGAGGTTAAAAAGGTTCCTCTTTCCTCTTCCTTGATTGGAAAAGGCAGGGCCAGCACATTAGTGAAAGAGAAAAGCAGAGCACAGCACAAACCACCTGTTCAAGTTACATCAAGGATGGGTTCTTCCAGCACTTCAAAAAGTAAGACTAGGCAGACACAGTTACAAAATGTTGCCAAGGGTTCTTCCAGCACATCCAGAAGTAAGACTAGACAAGAGCAGTTGCAGAATGTTGGCAAAGGTTCTTCCAGTGCTTCAGGATGTAAGACTAGACAGGAGCAGTTGCAGAATGTTGGGAAAAGCACTAATTCAAAGACTAGTGAAACAGTAAAGCATGTGGACCACCTTTCCAGTGAAGAGAAAAAGATGCAGGCAGATGATAAGGACGAAGAAAGCAGCACATCCAGGAACACCTCTTTGTCAGAAGCGTCACAGCCCTCCAGTACATCCAGGTCTGCTAGAGACGTGAGAGCAGAGGTTGAGCAGGCCGGCAGAGACAGGAAGAGGAGGAGAAGTAAAAGGACTGGTGGAAGTGAAGGCAGTCAGGGTGCTGGGCCTCAAGTGGCCCCCGGCGTGGATATCGAGCCTAGTTTGTAAAAATTTTCCACTTGTATGATTTTAGTTGCATGAACCGTTGTGATTGCCTGTGGCGTGACCTTACTGTAGATGTCATTTCTATCATTCTATCATCTTTCTCTTTGTGTACTCTTGTGTCTCTGATTCCGATTTCCGATATCACTCTATATGATGTAGTCAGCTTAACTGCAGCATGCTGTTGTGAGCGGGGTGCTGGACACTGGACCGGTTCCTCGCCTTTGTGGAGTGCTAAGGAGTCTGTAGTAGATTATAAGAGTTTATGCAGTCTTAGCACAGCACCAAGGGTGCCCGCATGTCTTTTTTTTATTCTTTGTGGGTTTTGTACTTGTTCTGTCTCTGGTGAGCTTTTTTTATTTTTATTGTGAGAGGAATTACCTGATTGGTAGGATGCATTTTCACAACTCTAACCTCTCAACACCACTGACAAATAAATAACCTACTGCCTTTGAAACAATATGTTTATGCTCTTTTCTGGTCAACACATCCAACGTTTAAATCTTTTAATTCTTTCAGCAAAAAATATTCCATAATTTTTCCAATTTTCAAATGTATTTTTTGCACAAAATTTTGGCCAGAAAATGGCAAAGCCTTTTATATTTATTGACTTTTAAAGTACATTCTTTGCAACTTCTGTGAAGTTTTGATTTACTATTTTCTACTCACAGGCCCTCACAGTCCTTGTGAGAGGACAGACCTGCGTATGGCTATAGTGGCTGATCATCTTGGCCTGAGCTGGACTGGTAAGAGAAGGAAACCTAGGAAATATCACCACCTGGAGGTGAAACATTACCTCTTTGACTGAGAAGCTCACTTAAATTTATATCACAGTTTCTTTCTGTCTGAATAATTTAGACGCGATTGAGTATCACAAATGAGCATTTGAGAATGCTGTTTACTGCAGCATGTCTTTGTTTTGGGTAAATATGGCTGGTTTTGTCTGGTACAGTGTGCTCAGCATGGCCCTCGCTGTGAACAGTAGGGAGTGCCATCTGCAGTCTCCCGACCTGCCTGCACTGCAGTATTACGTACATGTATCTGGGGGAGAGATTGCTAATCTATTTTTAATGTGTTGCAGAGCTGGCCAGGGAAATGGATTTCTCGGTTGATGAGATAAATCACATCCGTGTGGAGAACCCCAACTCACTGACGACTCAGAGTTTCATGCTGTTAAAGAAATGGGTTAGCAGAGATGGTAAAAATGCCACAAGTGAGTGTCCCTTTTGCCATTTTAATAGCTAATATGTAGTAAGGTGTGTTCAATACTCTGTCTAGATGCCTGTTTTAGGACGAGGTACTTGTCCCAACTCTAACAACACAGATCAGTGGCAACTCTAGTAAGAGAACACAAATCGGTACAAAATAGAGGCCCACATGGGCATGAAATTGAAGCCTGAGACTTTGAGACCTGATCCAACAAGGCCTGTGTGGTACTGCTAAACCTGAAACCCGAATCTGACCTGAACCTGCTCACACACCCCAACAGAGATTATCGTAGACACAGTTTGACTTTGCTTTGTTACTAAGCATTTGAGTTAACTAAGAAACCTTTACACACTTATCTAAAAGCCAAGCTTTAGGTGACAAAGCGCCAGTCCTCCTGCTATCATAGCTCAGTAAACTATTGCAAACTCTGTACGTGACCAGTGTGTTTATCTGATGTAGTGACCAGGTCCACAATGAAGACATCCCTGACTCATTAGCAATTTTAAACAGTTTCCTTTTCTTTTTATTTTGTCCATGGCGAACAGTTAGTAGGACCACATTTGTTGTACACATATTAGGCTATACTCAGGGGAGAGAGCAGGCGCAAGATAAATTAACGTAGACCTTACTTCAAATAAAATAAAATGTACTAGAAAACAACCTGTAAACATGTAGAAACCCTGGAAAACAATTGTCCTAATACTACTCTACCAGTTGCTTAACTACTGGGCTGCGAACCACAAGTGGGCATTAAAGCAGCCTTTGGTGGTCCTTGGGTCTATATTAATAAGAAGCCAGATATTAACAAGCCCTGCAACAACAGCACATGAAGCAGCTTTGTCTGTTTTTTGTCTCTTGCTTGATATTTTGCTCTGCACATTTAAAATAATATTCAAAAACAAGGGAAAATTAGGTAGTGCTGTTCTCTGCTTGTTCAGTATCGTTCAGTTTTCCTGTTGGCTTTTGTGCTTTCTAGTGATAATTAGTTGGGCCTTGAGGCGGAAAAAGTTGAGAACCCCCAGACTTAGTCTACAACTGTGGGCTGATACCTCCTCTCTAGTGTATCATTCAGTGTTACTGCATGGGCAAAAGACTTGGGCCTGCCTCTCAGAGCACCAACTACTGGCAATTTGAAAGACTTTTATCATCTTCAGTTATTGTGGAATTTTCTCAATCTACCAAGGCATTTCACAGAAGCTTTTTCTTCTTTTACGCCATTATTGAACTGAAGTTCCAGTCTGAACTGCTACCGTCTGTCTTCTTTTTCTCCTTCTTTAGCGGATGCCTTAACTGCAGCGCTGACAAAGATCAATCGGATGGATATTGTGACATTGCTGGAAGGGCCAATATTTGACTATGGTAACATTTCAGGCACAAGGTGTTTTGCAGATGATAACGCAGTTTTCCGGGATCAGACTGATGGTAAAGTTTAGCCCCATCTAGCTGACCTCTATTTCTTTTTTTGTTTCTTTCTACAACCTTTCTAGAAGTAGAAAATCATAAAGGCTAAACACTTATTGCTCTAAATTAAAACCTAAATTCCAATCTCGACTGAGCTCTAAATTCATTGGCAAACTGCTGACTACATTTGATCGTCCAATTCATCCTGGTGTGACTTTAACCAGTGATGGGCAGTGTGATTCTGCTGTGTGTTTAACTGTATGGATTGTACATGTTTGTAAAGCAATAAGGCATGCAGCTATGACTATCATGAGCCTTTGCCAATCGAAACTTAATCCCATCTCTGAGTGATGAAAACATTCGGCCTAACTATTCAGCACATGGCACAGCACATGGACAGTACTTTTCATTCTGGCCTTATAAACTGATATGTTAAGATGGGCTTAAGATTTGGTTTATGCTTTATTGATATAAACATTATGTTTATATGTATTTCCAGCATTTTAGGCAAAACATATTTGCAGAATTGGTGGCACATGTTTTCTGCAACACTGTGTATGAATTTTTCTTAAATGATTAGATACATAAAAACATAACAATGATAATTACACTGCTTCCATGCAGCATGGTTGCTTTGGGCTAATGTTCCTTTTGTTCTTTTTCAACAAAAACAGCAATACTACAGTTTTATGATCACACCCAGCTGTTCTGATAGCATGGCAAAATGGAATGTCTGCTTTGTTGATGCCTGTAGAGCTGCATAGTTCTCTAGTGTCCCAGCCTCAGAACCTTCCTGCTAGAGCGCCTCTTTCTGCAAAACCAGACCTGCTGCTCTTCCTAGCCACAAGGCCACTCCCACAGTGACACCTCTGCCTTCCTACTGCTGCTCCCCTTGCTGGGGGGGCAACCTTTTTAGCATAGCTGCTGCAACCTCTCTTGCCTACCTAGAGTCTGTAGCTGCGCTTAAAATGCTAACTCCAGCTACAGTTCTTTACTCACTGCTAGCTCAGCTCACAGCATTGCTAACTCTGCATTAGAAGTTTCAATGTACTAATATTCATCAGTAACCCTGCATTATCATCTTCACATATCATCTTTCTTACTTTTTTTTTCTCCACTCTCTGCACCCCAGCGCCCTTGATCGTCCCTGATTTCCTTACTTCTTTTACCAGTTCTCTGTCTACTTCGACTGAGGCATTACCTGCTACATCTGTGTCTGTGTTATCTGTTCCTCAGTGTTCCAGTCATGGGATTCTGTGTGTTACTTCCTTATCATCGTTTCCCTTCCATTTATATCAGGACCCTTCTGTTACTGAACTTTATATTTAAAGTTTTACGTGTTAGAACCAGGTCAACTTATGAAGCAGGCTACAGTAGCCTACCACATACAAAATGTCAGTAGAGGTTTAGTTCTGTGGAAAAGTCAGAGACCACCCTTCTTTTATCTAATTTCCAGTCAAAACAGCTATTAAGTACAAGTCTTTGATTTTTCAGTAGTTACTTTGTCCACTCTTTGCCTTTATTGCAGCTTCTGTCTTTTTCAGAAGACTTGCTTTCAGATTTTCTTGACAGCTACACATCCTTTCAGACTCATAGCGTTGAGTCGTCTTCTCACAGTGGAAGGATGAACAGAAACATGTACTTTTTCAAATCCAAAGCAAGAGTGGAGCTTGATTTTCTCTCAAAGATGAAAGCTTTATCTGAAAGTGACAGTTTTGGTGGTCTATCAGGTCTTGCACAATTGTTAGGAGTGTCATTTCCCCTTCCTTGCGCAAGTGTATTATCTATAATACACTTGTGTATATATATATATATATATATGAATATGTCTAATCTCCTCAAAAATATCTCCCTGAAAAAATTAATCATTTGAAATTACTGGCCATTTGGACAGGGAAGTAAATAAATACAGGGTGGTAAAAAGAGATAATTTGGTTAATTTTTGCCATAACTCCTTCCCCATTTAATCCACTTTAATTTCAACATCATTATGCCTGCTTCATTATTGTTACATCTCCCTGCATCTTTGCCTCCCCTTCTATTTGTTTGTGTAGTAGGTGCGTCCACCTCAGTCCCACTGTGTTGTGTCACTCAGGTTACCACAGCATCGATCTGGAGCTGCAGAGTCCCACAGAGTTGATCTATGAACCCCCCACCCCTCTCCAAAAGGATGATTTCTTTAGTGAAGACGGTAGTGTAGTCTCGCCCAGTAGAGCCCCCATTAGACCCAGTGAATTGTCCTTACCCACCACCTCCATGGACGCAGCTGCGTCCAGCACAGCACCCCCTACTGTTGTAGCTGAGGACACTTCTTTGGGAGGCAGAGAATCCTGCAGTCGAGAGGGGGGCTCGACTGAAGACGACGCAGAGGTCAGCCGCGATTCGATGGCCTTTTCGGAAGCCCAGGACGGCGAGGAAGCATCCAAAGATTCAGAAGTGTTCACCCAACCCGCAGTGACTCAACCAGAGGTCTCTGGGCTGCGAGAGAGTGGCTGGTCTGGTTTTGAGGAAGGAGAAGGGGAAATGACCCAGGAGAAGCTCAAGTCTCTTTTGGACAACATTAAGTTGGAGGAAAGCTCAGAGGATGTGGAGATAACTGAGGAAAGAGTGCAAGATATTCTATCTCAAGTGGAACAGGCAGAAAAAGAGATGTCTTCAATTGCAGGGTTGCAAAGCGAAGCTTCCAGCGCTAACAAGGAGACGTCAGCTTCAGGTCAAGGACTGCAAAGGCAGAAAGAGAGCAGGTGAGGCCTGTCAAATCTCCTTTGTCTATGGAAAACACAGTAGCTCAATTTGCTATCTATTACCAATCAACTCAGGTCAGAAGGTTGGGCACCAGTGAACACTGTAGTGACATAGCCTCTAATCTATGTTTAGCCAAAAGACCACGTCCTCTGTCCATGAGCTGCAAGCCGAAAAGCAGAATGGGGAACATCCTGAGCACCAAGCCCAAGCTGGCTCACTGCCTGAGGCCCAGGAGCCATCCATCAAGTTTAAGGGCAAAGTTGAGAAGGACTCTGGGAGAGAAGACATGAGCAGAGAGGCTGCAGAGGACAGCACAGCTGGGTCGAGCACCAAGGAGGAGGGCACTGCAGAGCCTAAAGCCCAGGTACTGTGTTTTTGAGTTTCACTCCACAGAGATCATAAGAAGAACCTCAGACTGTACCAGTAATGTACAATGGCCCCAGAAAGTTTTTGGATACTTTAACTATTGGTAAATGTTAGTGAAGTTTTTTAGGTTATTTCATTTTTACAAAATGTGTTTCCTAGAAATCTATTTTAGCACAACATCAAATTGATGGTAGATGCTGGAGAAGAATTCCAACCAGAATGCACCAAGCACAGAGGTGGACATGTTGCAGTTGGTTTAATTATTTAACCACTTATTTACCACTTTATTGGCTTAAAATACACATTGAAGCCTATACATTGTCACAAAAAAGGGTACCTTGCATCAATGTAAATGTGCCCTCAATGATACAACAATGTTCTTTTGGCCCAATTGTGCTCCTTACATCAGTTTTAAAGGCACACCTTTCCCTGGAAAAAGGGGCATACGTGTAACATTTAATAGCATAATGTTTTAAAATAGAGTGCATGGACAGGGCAAGGCAGGGCGAGAGTCAGTGCAACTTTAAAGAAAAATATAGAATTGCAATGGAATAAGGTACAGTAAGGATCCATAACTACAGGTATTTAGTCATCTACGAATCTTGTAGCCTAAAGCAAAGATCTTACATCCTCTCCACCTGAACTAAACTGGGCGGCTAGTGCAAGCCACGCCATGAGTAGTCTTATAAAACAAGTAATGGGATTTGCATTTTACAAGCATAGTCCGTTAATTGCCCTTATAAACACTCATGTGTATCATTTGTTCTTACCAAAACCAGTCTGGGCACAATTGGACACCTTAAGAACTCAAAAAACAAGAACTGCTCAAACGACAGCAGGGGATTTTTTAGCAGGATTACGGTCTGAAATTAGGCCTCAATTAAATGGGAATTAGTTCCACTAAACTGAGATCATGATTCTGACTTTAACAATACTTCAACAAAAGAATTTGGTGAAGCACATTATGTATATTTACTAAATTTCTACATTGTAAATCTTGCTACATGTATAAGCAGCAGCCCAGAGATGAAGTTATTACAAGCATAAATAAATCTATAAAAATTGCTTCATGAAGTATCATTTAAATCAATTTGAAAACAAATAAATAAATAAATAAATAAATAACCAGAATAGTTGTGAAAATCCTTTTCGTAAAACAGACCAAACAGAAACCAGCTGCTTGATAACAAAAGCCATGCGGCACAGCAGCAAAGCAGAATGCGAGTGCTTGCATCTAGTGGCACACAGCTCATGGTAAACTTAAGTCCACAGTAATGCAGCTCACAGTAAGCCCTTCTGCCGTTGTTCACGCAACAGTCAATGCAGAAAGCCTGCTGCACATAGCCACTGCTTTGTGGTTACCACTTCAGATCTAAAATGCCCTTCAGTTAGCTGTGCTCTCGTGGAACAAAACGTCTGTGATGTGCCCACCATGGTTCGCGTTTTATAGTCACAGTGCTGCAGTCTACAGAGTCGTCACTGTTCTTGAATCAGTTTACAATGGGTAACAAATTGAGATCACAATTTTAACACGCTTATTTAGTGCATACGTATCTGAAACACAACATCCACCTTTTCAAAGGTCTTGGAATTGTCTGTTTAAAATAAATGTCACTTTGTTTGATATATTGTGTCCTAACACAGTGAACGTAATACATTTTCAAGTATGGCACAAATGATCCAAATACATTTTGAGGCCACTGTATGCTTGTAAACCTACGTGATGCAGTTCTCGAAACTGTGTGGTTTGTTAGCCTCTTTCAACTATTCCATTCATTACAGAAAAATGATTCATCTCAGCGTGAGCTAATTTAAAGTGATGAATTGACCAAAGGTGTAATTTCCCTAAATTTAGTTTGGGTGCCCCTGGTTAAATTACATGTTTTATTGATTTATTAAAGTGAAAATAAGTTAAACCATCCTTTACAAAGAACACTGTTCTGCACAATTTAGTGCACAGTTAGGGTTTATTTGCTGAATGAATCACTTAGAAAATCATTAAAATATGCAACAGGGGTACATATATTTGTAAAGTTGCTCAGAGAAGACTTGTTTGGTGTCCAAAGTTAGACAAAAGTACAGTCAAAGTTCAAGCTTCATTGCTGCTACTACTGTTTTTGTCTATGCAACATACTTTGGTCCATTTGTCTAGATGACAGAATGTCATGCAATGTCAGAAAGTCTGTTTGAGATTGAAGTTTGGTGATGTAGGCATGCTGTTTGTGAGACACCAACAATTGAGCCTTAAGCTTCTGTTACTTGTTGGCTTCGGACACCAAACATATCTTGGTTGATTAACTACACAGACTAGATTTTTGGCTGAACTGTTGCCTTTAAATTTTGCAGTCCTGGTTGAATGCTACCCTGATGAAGGCTGTTTGCAGCTGTGATTGGTTAAACTCAGTCCATATGAGGAATAACTGTTGTGGGACTGCTGAAATGTGCTAAATTGCCTTTAGCAGGGAGCGCATAGAGACAATGACTCCAGCTCTGATGAGGAACAGACAGTCACTACCAGGGTGTATCGGAGAAGGGTGATTCTGAAGGTATCCGGTGGTACTAGTGCCGGGTGTGCTATGGTGTGTGTGTGTGTGTGTGCCTATATGTATGGGCATGGAGTGACAGCTTCTCTGTAATAATGCCTCTGCCCCAAGATTTGCGTTGTAGATACCACTTCTCTTATTCTTTCTTCTTTTTAATCTCCTTTTGTATTTTCATTATTCTGTTTTGCCCTTTTAATGGTTTTGATGCTTTGTGTATGCATTATTGAATTGCTGCCATTGAAACCTTTTGAAAATGATATGTGACACCTTTCTAAAACTCATAGAAACCATTTACACCTGGCCACGTCATATGACTAGTTTCTGGATTGTTTCCTAATAAGATTTTAGCCACACGCATTTACACTTGATAGTGTAGTGGCGAGCAGTGGGCACCCGATCAAGGCAGGCGAGGCAACAGCATCAGACGCACAGGATGGGCAGCTATTCAACTCGGCAAAGAAAACACACAGAGAGTTAGTTCTGTACTGAGTGACTGATCACCGATTACAGTATTAAAAGAGCAGTAGAGACTCCGTCAGGTCTGGATCTGACAAGGAAGAACTAATTACCAAAGGCTTGACTATACAAGTACGTTTTTAGCCTAGACTTAAAGACTGAGGCTGTGTCTGAGTCCCGAACGTTAACTGGAAGATTATTCCAAAGCTGATGGGGCTTTGTATGAGAAGGCTCTCCCCCCTGATGTAACTTTATTAATTCTAAGTACTAATAGTAAGCCAGCACCTTGTGATCTAAGTAAGTGTGATGGTTCATAGTAGGAGAGGAGTTCACTCAGGTACTGAGGGGCGAGTCCGTTTAGAGCTTTATAGGTCAGTAATAGAATTTTATAGTCAATCCGAAATTTAACTGGTAACCAATGTAGGGTTGATAGAACTGGGCTGATATGGTGAAACTTTCTGGTTCTTGTGAGGACTCTGGCTGCAGCGTTCTGGACTAGCTGAAGCTTGTTAAGGCTTTTGCTGGGTCATCCAGACAGCGGGGCATTACAGTAATCTAGCCTTGAAGTAATAAATGCATGAACTAGCTTTTCTAGTTTGCGTCTCAGATCACCTCCTGAAGTGGTATGAGTGATCAGATCTGTCTCTGTTTTAAATGTGTCTTACCTCAGGTGTGTTCACACTTGCATTTTTATGTGGCTTGGTCTTATATCAGATATAATCCTGATACTCAAGACGCATGAAGTGACCAGGTGTAAATGGGATCTTAGAGTCCTTTCTTAGTTACCGTCTTCGCTGTTTCTGAAGTTTGACTGACTGCATTTCAACATGTATGCCATGACACCCTTTTTACCACTGTACGTCTAGCATTTAAGGGGCATTCCGGCCCAAAACTTTAAAGGCTGTTATGCTTTGTTTAGTAGCACAGCATTATATCCCTCAGCCTCATCAGTTTGGCAGAATTCTGAATTTTATATCATGTTCATGATTTCATTCTTCAGTGCACCAATTTGTTTGTCAGTGAATTAATACATCATACTTTGGGAACCTCTGTGGTGTCAACCAGTCCTGACTGCTAGTCTAGCCAGCCAGTCTATAGACTAATACAGTGGTTTCCAAACTCCCCATGGGGTGACATTGGGAGTACAGAAAAAATATGATGTTTGATGTTTACACTTCATTTAATCTTAACTTCATTCAATTTACACATTTGCTTCCATAAATACAAAAAAGCTCTGCACTCTACTCACCAATTCAAGAGATCCTTACTAAAAACTGCCACAAGAAGATTTTTAAATACTGAATTTAATCACAAGCCAAATGCCAAAGCTTTTTGTCCTAGTGTGTATAGATGAGTTACACATAACATCCAGCACATGGAAAACACTTGATAGTTATGTACTCTTATTATTCTTTGTATGAATGGCTGTGTTGAACAAGAAGGGGTTTAGCTCCGCTTCCTGCTGCACGTTCGCATGTTCAGGAGAAACTAACTTACAGGCCATTTGATATTTTAATGTGTGCTGTAGGCGGCATAAATGCAGCATCATTTACTAACTGTTGTTAATACATGTATGATCCTTGTAACTATAGTTCACAGTTGTTGTGAGTTATTAGTTTCTAGTTGCCATGGTCAGCACTTAGCCTTTAGTATGTTGATCACATTTCATCCAAGCATTAATGTAACTCTTACCTCAGCTATGAAACAAAATGGAAAACATATTTTTTTACCCTTTCAGCCAGAGAAAAAGAGCCAAACTATAAGAAAGTAAGTGCATTTTATTAATAAAGCACTTTTAAAACAATAACCTTTGACCAATGTGCTGTACATAAATAAGAATATATGACGTAATATCAAAATACAGGGTAAATACAAACAAAAATAACTGAAAAAAAAGCTGAAAAGTTGGTTTTCAAGCTACCTTGCTAGCTTCAACTTTTAGCTTGTTGTCCTCCATTTCTGATGTCATTACTGTCACTTGAGTGGTCTATTATCACATGTAGTGATGATTTGAATAAAGTTACTACAGTTATATGGCTGCGATAAGATATTAGGCTTCCAAGCAGTATAATTAGCTTTTATGGCTACATTCACCAGCTAACAGAAAAAAAGACATTTCAAAACAGCCCCTAAACATCCACTTGAAGTTTTCAAATGTTCCTCCTACTCTCAACATACATCATCAGAAGGGGATTTTCCTAGTCTTAAACTGGAAACTCATGCTGTAGAGACTACTGAGGGATGTAAGTGAGCAACAGTAACAGATGTAGCAATGGTTACACTTCTCATTTTGGCCGGAGTGTCCCCTTAAACCCAGCTGGCTTAAATGACTCTAGGCCTTTCCATCACTGTCTTTTCAATGGACTCAGATTTTCAGATCATTTATTTGATGATATATCACATGCCAAACTATTTACAAGCCAGTGGTGGAAATTACCCCTGGAAATTCCAGCAGATCAAGCTTGTGTGATGCTTCATGGAGCTGCTTGTGACTACTACCAAGAAGTGTGAGATTGTAGCTGCGTGTGCTTGTGTGTGCTTACTCATAGGTGAGTAAGTCTCTTTTATACATCTCTATCTATAGGGCGATCAGGCTAAAAACATTCCTGGCGAGTCAGTGACAGAGGAGCAGTTCACAGATGAAGATGGCAACATTGTCACCAGAAAAGTAACCTCACACCCCTCCCATAACACCACACCACACCTCTACATATCTGTCCATCCATCCACCCAGGCCCGGTGACAGGATTAATTAGGCAAGGGTGCAAAAGAAATTCAACACTGCCTTTCTTCAAGCCTTACTGAGATGCAGTGCAGTTTAATAGACTAGCTATATTATAACCAAATGTTAATGTTAAAACATTAAAGAAACAGCAGTATGCCAACAACATTACTAAACACTGACACAAAACTGTGGTATTTACAGTGAAGGAAAGTAAATAAAATAGTGCAGACCACAAAGTCATTTAAAAAAAAAATCAGTAAAAGGGACATACTATGGCAATAACATTGCTACTTAAAGTGGACAGTCAGTGATTTTTAAGACAGAGATGATAAATTGAGACAAAATTTAGTAAACTGAGACAAAATTATCAGTAAATGTTGATTTTTAAAATGATTTAAAACTGAGAATGTACTACATTCATTTTCGTTATCTTGGGCAGTTTCCACTTGTGCCAGAGAAGGCTACACTCTGGCTATAGTCACACTGGCTACAAGAAAAATGATCCACTACTTAACAAATCAATTAATTTTTTCTCTGCATCCTCCTACGTTCTCAGTGTTAAATACAGAACAGTACTGGATGTGAAGGTTTCAGTGCATTAAATCCTTGAAAATCTATTTGGTTTGAATGGTGGCTAAACATTAAACTGTACTTAAGTGAGAAAAATTCTGTTTCTGACAGAGTTCCCTACAGTGGGCAACTCCTAGAACAGCTCACTGCTGCATGTGTAAATGGAGTAAGGCAGCAGCTCAGTGCACACATTGCTGATGTACACAAAATGGAATGAAAAATAACATTAACATTCAACCAATCAGAACAAGGACTTGCCTGTCAATCAAGTTGTACATCCACAAAACAGGGCGCTGTTATATATTCTAGTGAGCTCCAACAATACCCCCTGTGGCAGCTGGTTAGTTCTTATAAAAATGGCAGGGAAAATGTGTTGAGGTGGGATGGTGTGGGAATTGAGGACATGAATCTGTTTCCATCTCCTCCATGTTATAGAGTTCTTTTGTTTTCTGCTACAAAAAAGTGGGTACATTTCAGTTTGTTTTGTCTACAGTGATTTTATATGCCCTTTAAGAAAACTATTAAAAAATATTAATATAAAACAAAATGATAATACTAATAAAACTCCTAGCATTCAGGTACGCAGCGAGTGCTTTTGTAGTTCACAGAACTGTCCTAATCCATCTTGACAAACAAAAGTTGAGCAAACTTAATGAGCTGGATGTGGTTGAGTGAATTGAGAGAAGTTTTGGGAATGTAGCCAAATAGAAGATTTGGTTGACTATTGAATCCTAGTGTTTGTTAGCAATGTTAGCCTTATAGCTCCAGTCTTAAACTAAAAAAACAACATGTCTTGGCTGATTGACAGAACATGTCTTGGCTGATTGACTACATCTGGGGTAAGTGGAAAACTGTATATTAGACTTTTCACGGAACCTTTCTTTTAGATTTCAATATTTTCTCAGCCTGATCTACATCCCCAAACCTTAACAGTAAAAAGGGCTATAATTAGACTTTAACCTAAATCCAAACACAGGCAACAGCTTAAAAAGGTATGTCAAGCAATGCAGCAATGTCATGTGAGGTAACGGGTCTGCACAGCTCAACTAGGAAATCAACCTTATTCTCATGAATGCAGTTTGAAGGGTGGGCTCTCTACAAAAACAGAATGAGAGCTCAAAACAGTGGCACCAGCCCTGCATGCATCCTTATGTGTGTGAGTGCAAGACGTGTGTTGTGCAGCGTGACTGTTGCCCCCTCTCTCAGGTCATCCGGAAAGTGGTGCGGCGTGTGGCTGGAACGGAGGAGAAGGGCAGGAGGAAGAAAGGCAGGCGCTCCAAGCAGGCCTCTAGGGCTGAGGAAGAAGAGGAGGGGCCCACTAGGGAGCACCCTGAGGTCGGCAACGTGTGCAGTGACTTGCGCCTGGGTTGAAAGTGCTTGTGCGTGTCACTGGCACACTGCGAGTTAAACAGGGATGTGGCTGTGCTCTGAAAGTGCATATGTTTCCTGACTGGCTATTTGACAGCGTAGCATTTAACACAGTGCTTAGTAGTCTGACTCATCACTTGTGCTTGCTTGAGTGATTCAGTGCGTTTTGTTGTTTCCCAGGGTTCTCACAAGCTCCAGGGTACGCTGTTTTTTTGCAGGACATTTCATGGACAGCCATGGATGGAGCGATTTGTGGAGCAGTTTCATCATCTAATTCCCCTCTATGTTTCTCTGCTCCAGGTCGCAGAGGAAACCAAGGGAAAGAAGAAAGAAGGGAGACTAAGAGAGAAAAAGGGTCAGTCGTAACAGCCGCGTGTTCAACATGGTAAGTAAACGTCCAGAGCTCTACAAATTGGAAGAGCTACAGGACACTGATGCCAGTTACCAAAAAACGCCACAAGCTGGCCACAAAAGAAATGTGCATCTTAACAATTCTTTTCTCTCCCAGCACAATTGAAATGCGCTCTCACTGATAACATGCAGACACAGCTGAACAGGCTGCCCCATTGTTCTCTAATGCCACAGTGAGCTGATCACTAGAGAATGTTTTGAAGGCCTCTAAATTCTGTGAGCTCACCATGCAACCAGCCATTAAGGGAGGGGTTCAAATTGTACTGAAGTGCCCTTTTTCTGTTGTTATCAATGGGAGAGATGGAATTTGCTAACTGTTTTGCAGGCTGAGCCTTGTGTTCATGCGTCCTGAGATGAAAAAGTTCGAAGTGGACGACTGTCCAATGTCATGGGCCTTGTGCTGACTAATCAGATCAAAAGAAAGGCAGGCCTTTGGTGACAGTAGTCACTGAATAGCCTGAATAGTTTCACTGATCAAAACCAGCGCAATAAACAGGAAAACAGCTTTTTTTTAGTTTAGCTTGTTTTTGCTAGCACTTGCTAGTTAAAGGAGAATTCTACCAATTTTTGAAATTGTTTTGAAAAATCCAGAGTTGTTTGATGTGAAATGATCCATTCTAGATAAAATTGCAGAGTCAGATTTGTTCACAGTGGTGGTGACGGGAACCAGACATCTGAACGCCTCTAAAAGCTCTTGCACAGAAAGCTGTTATATGAAATGGTTACGAATAAACAGTCATTCAGAGTTTTTTAATGTGAAACGCTTCATTCTAGAGAAACTTGCTGACTCAGATTTCTTTACTGTAGTAGTGATAGGAACCAAACGTCTGAAGCTTTCTCACAGAAAGTTATTAGATGAAATGATTACTTCAGATTACACTGATTAAGTTGTCTGATGCCTGAGACATTGTTTTGTGATAGTTTTGAGATAAAAGTTTAGTCATATTATTTTATTGTTTTAAAATACATTCATAGCGACAATGCACATGTAGGTCATTGTCAGGCAAAATAGTACTGAAAAAATTATTTTTTTAGATTTACCACTATCAGTCAGTAAGTTTCTCCAGAACAGGGATGGTGAGCTGTGGTTCTGGAGGGCCACTGTCCAGCACAGTTTAGTGATTTTTCTGCTGTTAAGACACCCACTAAACCTTAGCATTCAGAATAGAATCAGGTGTGTCTGAGTAGGAAAATCACCACACTGTGCAGGACTCTGGCCTTCCAAGACTGGAGTTTGCCACCCCTGTTTTAAAACATTTTTGCAAGTCACAACACTCTGAATGACTTTGTTCACATCTCAGCGATTTAATTATGGAGGGATTTTGCAGGCAAACAGGTTTCCTTTTAAATTCCATCAGCAGTACACCTGCTTTTATTGAGTGATGTATTGATTAGCGAAGCCAGGTTTTGGATGATAAATATGTAAATACTGGACTTCCTCAAGAAGAGCTTTAGAAATGGTTAAGCTAACAAACTCACGCATACAAAATCACTGCTTACTGCTACGGCTTCTTAAACAAGTGCCTATAGCTGGGCCTACACTACACCATTTTTGGGCTGATTTTAACCCTGGGCAACCCTTCCAGCAAATTTCATGATCTGAAGAAATTTTACAAGTCGGGAGCTCGATCAGAAATGATTTACGGTGCGGATGATCTGGGACTGTGGAAGAAGAAACGAGTCAGACTTTATCTCTGGAATGAGCCTTCTGATATATTCAAACGTTTAAATTTTTGTGCTGTAGTGCGAGATGGCTAAAGACGTAACTGGAAGCAACAGCCAGTGAGAGAACTAGGACCACAGAGACAGAGGAGCTGCTTGTTGAACACAAGCAAATACGAGCCTTTATGATGTTTATAATGTATGGATCCAGATGTTAATGCAGCCACTTTAAAATGTTAAGTCAGCTGACAGGTTGCAGTGAAATATTCACCAGCTCTCACTGTGGTATCAGCATTTCTCAACCACAATTTTGTCCACAGTTTTTCTCTTCTTGACTCATGGAGGAACAAACAGGTCTGGTTCAGTTTAGCTTAGTTTATATCATGTTTTAACAGGGGAGCTCTGGGATGTTGAGTTCTTATTCATAGCCGAAACAGTTTGTGCGTTTTATACTCTCTCTTTGCCTTACTGTCTAAAGTGCGCACGTCATGAAGACAAGGAAAGGCTGAGTTTTACTTTGTGATGCTCTCCGTTTTAAAAATCTGTTAGGATTGTAGTGATCACACAAGCTTAAGACTTCTGCACAGAACTGTATGTACAGTCGTGTGAAAGGCAGTTGTGTGCTGTACCATTAGACTGACTTTCTGATCTTCTGTTTCTTGGTTGCAGATCTGCACTTGTTTCATAATTGTTTTCCTGGGAATGAGATCACTGGAAACGCAACAGCAGAAGATCAGTGGATGGGGGATTGTGTTCAGCTTTCACATAAACGCATGGTTTTCAGGAAGAGGACTTTTTTTGATTTCGCATGAGCATGAAAAAAAAACTCATTCTTTCTGTCAGTGGCACAGGACACCCAATCGGTGCCGCGAGACCGCCATCGGTGTGATGCTTCTTCTGCGCCGAATGTGGGAGGAGTGCCACACGCAAAGCAATGGCACCCAAGCAATTCCATGACCAAAGATGGTAAAAAAAAAAAAAAACAAAATGAAAAAGAGCATCGTGGACTGACAGAAACCTAGGGACACTTTTTTTTAAAATCACCTTCTCCACTCGCCTTACATTTTTTTCTTCTCGGACCCATAATGTCGGGCTGTATAATGCTGTTTTTGGAGATCTTGTACATAAATCAAAACTGTATAAATTCTAAAGAGAAGTAGCTCACAAAATTGTGAATGCACTGGCAACAGAGATTTGCAAAGTGCGTTTAAATAAAATGAATGAAATGAAATGCTGATACTGATTTAAACTTTAAGGAAAAGCTTGGGTGTAACTCCACATGTATTTGTGTAATTATTCACAGAAAAAAAAATGTTTTTACGAGAACAGGCTTGCTTGGTTTTAACAGCGGACTTTTCTTTTAAACCTACTGCAACTCTCAATAATGGTGACGGAATCTGCGTAGCTGTAGTCCTGTTGAAAGATTTCCTCAGAGTACTAATATTTTGATGCATGTGATTCACTTTATTTTTGATTTCTTTTTAAACCACATAACGAGGACATTCTGTGTGCTCATAGCCCTGCCGTTTGTCACTAATATTGTTTTCTAAAGACACCACTGCACCGTCAGACTCAAAGGGAGAGTGAATGGACACGATTCATGTACCACTTCATAAGGATTCACTGTGTCCCTACACGCAGCTAAAGGTTTCCTATGCTATGCAGTCACAGACAGGCCTGAAGCCGGAGAGGTGGAGCGAATGTATCATGTCGACTGGCACGCTGTAAACTTTTAACTGTTCTTATGTGTATTGGTTCTAAGATGTAAAGGTCTTTCTGTAAGCCAATAATTTGTAATCATTCTAGCAGTGTTTTACTAGGTTTCAAGGCTGCTGTGGTCTCGAGGGGCATTTTTATTTGGGTTTTGGTGAAATATTTCCTTATGTTGAGTATAATCAAACGAGATCACCTTCAGGCATTCATTGATCCATCTGATAACAAGCGTATGACAAAACATACACTGGATGATTGAATTAATTATTTAAGCTTAAAATAAATTGTGTTCAAACTCTCAAAAGGTCTGCTTTCATACTTGAAATTGGGAATGGAGCTAATGAAGTTTAGAATGTTAAATGCTGCACATTACTTGTCCGAATGTAAGACTCCTTACATTTCCTTTTAGTCCCCAAAGTACTACAAATGTCGAAGACTGTCACATTTTATGTTTTATTTTTTTTGCAAATTCATATCAATGTAAGATGAAACTGCCTATAAATATGTAAATACATTCCTGTGCAAGGACCCATATCTCCCATTATACGTTGTACCACACTCAGAATTTGTTTTTAAAAAAGTGCTAATATATTCACTAATCTTACATAGAGCTACGCAGAGTGTTATTAGCTTGTGCCTGGCATTTAAGTTTATATCACCCTTAATTTTATGTATTAAACCAATTTCTTTTGTACTTTTACATACAATAGTACATACATACATACATCATCTAAACCGCTTATCCTACTGGGTCGCGGTGGGGTGCTGGAGCCTATCCCAGCTGTCATTGGGCGGAAGGCAGGATACACCCTGGACAGGTCGCCAGTCCATCGCAGGGCAGACAGACAGACATACACAGTCACACACACACACTCACACCTAGGGGCAATTTTAGCACGTCCAATCGGCCTGACTGCATGTTTTTGGACTGTGGGAGGAAACCGGAGTACCCGGAGGAAACCCACGCAGACGCGGGGAGATCATGCAAACTCCACACAGAAAGGACCCTGGTCGCCCGGCCGGGAATCGAACCCAGGCCATTCTTGCTGTGAGGCGACAGCGCTACCCACTGCGCCACCCTACAATAGTACAGTAATATGCAAAGGCTTTTGCGATCTTGGTAAGATTGCTTATATTGATTTTCTAAGTGAAAAGTTCACATCTTCTACAGAGAACATGCACATTTTAATGCACAATTAATGTTCATTTGCTGATTTTAACATTTGGGGGTGCAAGAAGTTATGCCACATTTTATATTTTATGTTATGTTCAACAAATTTTGCACTAGAATTAGCAGAAAAATGCCAAATTTAAAGGGGAATTTCACATATTTCCTAAAATTTGCTAAGTAATCTAGCACAAATCTAATCTTTAACAGTTTATTATAAAATCTTTCTGTAACCCTTAAGAATGGGGTTAGGAATGAACATAATATTTCATAAATGCAAGTATTCTCAAAGCTGCCATTTTTGGTTCTGAATTTCGAGAAAAGCTGATTTTGAGAAAGAAATTAAGAATTTTAACAATGGCCCTCAGAACTGCATTACCCAGTGAAATCTCAGACAACATGCACCAATAAGTTGCTAACAGCACAAAGAAGAGATATTTAATATTTTACCTTATCAGCTTCATTGATTTTTGCAAATATTCACTAATTCCAAATTTGATGCCTGCAACACATTCCAAAAAAGTTGGGATAGAGGCAACGTGAGACTGGGAGGTTTGTGGAATGATCAACACCTGTTTTGGAACTTTCCAGGAGTAAACATATGAATAGGTAAAAGGTGATGCTATCATGACTGGGTATAAAAGCAACATCCCAACAGGCTCAGTCGCCACTTTGCAAAAAATTGCATGAGCAAATATTCCAAAACTTTAAGAATGTTTCTCAAAACACAACTGCAAGGAATTTAGGGATTTCACCATCTACAGTCCATAACATTATTAAAAGATTCAGAAAATCTGGAGAAATCCCTGTGCGTAAAGGGTAGGGCTGAAAACCAGTACTGAATTCCTGAGACATTTAATCCCTCAGATGGCACTGTGATATGCTTCTGTAATGAATATAAACACATGGGCTTGGACATACTTTGGAAAACGCTTGTCAGGATACAGTTTTTCGCTGCATCTACAAATGCAAGTGAAGACTCTACTATACAAAGTCAAAGCCATATGTCAACAACATCCATAAACGCCGCTGATTTCTCTGGGCTTAAGCTCATCTGAGATGGACTGATGCAAAGTGGAAATGTGTGCTGTGGTCTCATGAGTCCACCTTTCAAATTGTTTTTGGAAATAATGGACATTGTGTTCCCCAGGATAACTGTTGCCAAAGCAAAGTTCAAAAGCCGGCATCTGTCATGGTACGGGGGGTGTGTTAGTCCGAATGGCATGGGTAACTTGCACATCTGTGAAAGCATTATTAATGCTGAGAGGTACATACACATTTTGGAGCAGGATGCTGCCATCTAGACTATATCTTTTTCAGCAAGACAATGCCAAGTCATATTCTGCGCATTACAACAGTGTGGCTTTGTAGTAAGAGAAGGCAGGCACTAGACTGACCTGCCTGCAGTCCAGACCTATCTCCTACTGAAAACATGTGCTGCATTATAAAGTGCAATATGTGACAATGAAGACCCCGGACTGTTGAGTAGATGAAGTGTTATATCAAGAAACACTTTCACAATTACAACAGTTCTGTCCTCAGTTCCCAAATGATTATTGAATGTTGTTAAAAGGAAAGATGATGTAAAACTGGTAAACATGCCCTTGTCCCCACTTTTTTGGAACATGTTACAGGCATCAAATTTATCAAAAATAGAATAGATATCCAAAAACCAAAGTTGATTAGTTGAAACATTAAATATCTTGTACAGTTTTCAATTGAATAAAGGCCAAAAAATCATTGCTCTCTGTTTTTTATTTGCATTTCTCCTTCTGTCCCAAATTTTTTGGAATTGGGTGTGTAAATAACATAACCGGAGACAAAGTTTCTAACAAATCTAATCTGTTTTGTTCTTTTAATTAAAAAAAAACGAGATTTTCTGGCTTAAGATTTTTTTTTTTTTGCAATGTGAACTGATGAAACCTAAAATAACCCTGTTAAGTTTGACATTTTTATGATTACAGTTTAAGAGAAAAAGATGTTATATATAGTTTATCCAAAAACCAAAATCCTTGCTTTAAATAGAATTATCAAGAATGATACTTATGCAAAGCAAATCAGGACTGGCCAGATCAGTAGCGTGCAAAGGAGGACGCAAAAGGAAATGTCCTATTGATTGAACCAGACAAAAACGGACTTTTCACTCCTTTGCTGCAAACTACTTTCGTGGGAAGTGAAGTTGGCATCACTGTCGATGAATCTTCAAGGTCATTCCATTCATTCTTTCGATGGAACTGCGACTGGACTGGAGCACACTTAAGAGACTGCAATGTTGTTTATATAGAGACATCCAGGAATATTTTGTGGTCAGATTTTTTGCATCAAAGATGACTCACGAATCTTAATCAAGTTATGGAGACTTTGTCTTACTACACTGCCCATGAGCTGTAGATTTACTTTAAAATCACATGCAACAGAGGCCTACCATGGATCTTATGCTGTCATCTATTCTCAGAAGGGCAATAAGTGCATACATAGTGTCACATGCCAATTTAGTCAGTGTAGCAGGAGTTGAAGCACCTGAGAAGGTCCCATGTATTGGTCAAACCCCTACATCAGTGTCTATTTTGAGCTGGGAAATGAGTAATATGTTTTGACTTCACCTTCAACTGACAACCTGGGGCCAATATTTATTGATTTGTACACCCAGTCTATTAATGGATGTCTAGACAGTGAAATGCATGTGGGTGTGGCTGTGGCTGTGGGCGCAGGCAGATTCGAATGGGTGGATCTCAAAACCATAACTGATCTCTCCAATGACCTGAAAATCAATTGCCAGTAAAGGAATAGTTCCTGCCTGATGCAGATGACATTGTTTTACGATAGTTTTAAAATAAGATTTTGGCCTGAAACACCAAATTTTGCTCAGGAAACAAGTTATTTCGGTTACTGATCCTTCTTTCAGCTACTCAGAGATGTTTTTTCTGTTTTCATAGTTCATAGTAAGTCATACTGTATTGTGTGTGTTGTGTTGGTACCAGCGGATCAGACAAAGAGTAGACTAGAGGATTACTAACAAACTGTGCATCAACAGATGAGCTGCAGTCTCTGACTACATCTACAAGGTGGTGGTGTATATAACAAGGAAGCTGTATCTGATAGAGTGGACAGTAAGTGGGCGCAGTGTATAAAAACTCCAGCAGCACTCACTCGTACCTGTGCAATGCACACTAACAAACCACCACCACAGTGTCACTCCAGGGCTGAGAATGATCCACCACCCAAATAATACCTGCTCTGTGGTGGTCCTGTAGGGTCCTGACCATTGAAGAACAGGGTGAAAGGGGGCAAACAAAATATGGAAAGAAACAGATGGACTACAGTCTGTAGTTGTAGAACTACAAAGTGCACCTATATAGTAAGTGGAGCTGATAAAATGAGTGTAGATACAAGATAGGTGTGTTAAATGAAATGGCTGAATAGTGTAAGCAAAGCACAGTAAGGGAGGGTCGTTGAGCTAGATGAAGGTTTTTGCTTAACGATAGATGGGTGTGGTGGTGGGAGAGGAAGGTGAAACATGATACTATTGTTAATGTTATTGTTCTTTGCCCATTGGTGCATGGTGATGTAGATAAAAATCAGAAGATGTTATAAAGGCAGGCAAAAGTTATTACATTTTGATGAAATATTACAAGATATGAATCTTCCATATATGGAATCTTCCAATATGACCAGGGTATTAAAAAGTTAGAAGAGGTACATTTTGGGGAATTTCACAGATTTTTAATACTTGTACATAATACAATGGTTGACAGGTAAACAGAGTCATTCAGAGTGGTTTGATATGAAATGGTTTATTGTAGAGAAACTCTCTGACTCAGATTTCTTTACAGTTGTGGTGATGTCTACAGCACCAATAGCCATTTTATTTACTGTCCAAAACCACCAGTCAATCTGTCCTTGTCTTCTGTTTACGTTGGGTACAATTTTGCCTTAAAATGCCCTGCATGTACCACTCCACCACAAACGTACTTAAAATATATGTGTTTTAGGCCAAAATCTTATCTTAAAACTATCTTAAAACAATGTCTCAGGCATCAGGCAGCATGTCTCTACTGTCAGAACAAAACCTTGTATCTCTATTTTTGTTGTTTTGTACAATGTTACAGAAATTGAAAATGTCAACTGCCCTTTAC